TCGCAGATTAAAACGAGACGGTTATCTTTTAGAGTAAAATAATAAATTCTAATAGAGAAATAAAAAATGACTTCGAAGATAAAAGATAAACAAAAAATAAAATTTAAATCATGAATCATTTATTGACGAACAAAAATTCTATTTTTATTCTTCTAATACATCGTCTACTGTCATTCTATCAATAACATGATTTTTGAAAAATTGATATTTAAGATTTGATAATTTCATTCGCTCTAATCAAATTCATTGAGCAACAGGACAAATTAACAAATATAAATCAAAAGCAAGTCTAAAATCATTTGGACTATTTGCAAAATTTTATAGTGAAGTCATCCTTTTGTTTTTTTCATTTCTTAATAAGGGAAATTCTTCCTTAGGACTCTGTTTATTATCATCATATTAATCCCATTGAAAAATATTTGTTATTTTCTTCTGTAACAAACTGTAAATTCTTTTTAATAAGTTTTTATAATTAACTTTTATTGGCCTTCAAATTAAATTGGATGATAAGTGTAGGAAAATCATAGATATTCATTTTTAAGTGTGCTTTTAACAAAAATATTTTTTAATTTTCACCTAATATTGATGTAATACTAAACTATATAAATATTAATATTAATAAAGGAATTATTTAATTGGTAGTTGACTTTATAAAATTTGAATTGAATTAGATCTAGTTAACTACACAGCTATTTGGGAGTGTGACTAAAAGACAAATAGCCCATTTATCAAAATAAAATTAGTAAAATAGCTCAATAAGTAACTATAAGCAAGAAAAAATAGATTGAAATTGAATTTATAACATAATTTCATTGTTTACGATTGTAAGTTCTATTAAATTTGATCTTATTTATCTTTTTATTACTGTTCCTACGCCAATAACAAGATTATCAAAAATTCTATTTCTCTAAGCAAACAAAATATGTTGTATGAATATTCATTGAATTAGAATATTTCTTCGTTTGAGATATTATTCTTTCTGCCAATTACAAGATTGAATCTAAACTTTTGACTGATCACTAATTTCAAACAAATTTATTGAACTATAAATAGGTTAAGAATAGTATTGTATAGTAATTAAATATCTACTTAGAAGTCATAAATTATTTATTTTAATTACTTGATGTATTGATTATTAACAAATTGGAGTCTAAAATTGAGAGTTTTCATTGATTAAATTGTTGCAAATTTCATTATAAAGGTATAAGTTTATGACATATTTGCCACGCGCAAAAATGTATCGAATCACTCAAGATTAATAAATATTAAAAGGAGTTTATAAAAATCAATTAATTAAATTACTAGGATATAAATTTCAATACCATATATAAGTTTATGAGAGTTTTATGAATAATTAATTTCTAAAAGAGGGATTTTATGAATTAATAGAGGTCATTAGAGAAAGATATTAGGGAAATACTTTTCTACTGACTTTGGATGATAATGTTAGACCTAAATAAGTTTAAGATCAAAAATTAAATGCTTATAATTTTGAACTATTTATGAATAGGAACCTAAACTTTAAAATAAATAAAGATTCTAAGAATATTCTGAGAATTCTTTACTGTTCTATATAATTATTGGCAAATGAAATTACTCAAAATTTCTATCAGAAATTTAGCAGACGAGAATCTAATATTGATCTATTCAATGCTAATTATAAAATATAAACTCATTCTTCTATTTCTGTTTCTTTAGGTATAAAATCATTTAATAAATCACAAGGAGCCAGTACATCAAATAAAACTCCTTCTACGATTACATTGTATTAATATGTTGAACCTATTATCATGAATAAATTAAACAATTAGGATCATAATGTTAAGGATTTTATTGGATGGGTTATGCTTTTGTTAAGTTAACGAATAACTGAAATTGATCATGTTGATTATTGGTTGCTAAACTTGATTTTATTTAAGATTTCTAATCGAGACAAGAAGTATTTAATTTAAATTCCATTTAATAAATAAAATAAGTTTATTCAATTTGCAGAATTAATATTAATCCTTCTAAATATTTTATTGTTATATTTCCGTTAATTAGCTGAAGCTATCTTCAGAGATTTTAAATGATGACTCTTTCTCTCAAGGCTGATAAACGAATTTTGTTTTTTTATTCTTGTTTTTGTACCCTTTCTTTTTGAACATTTCCACATTTTGATTATGAGTTCAATTTGAGTTTATCATGTTCTTCTCTAGTTTTGTTTAATTTTCAGGCAGAATAATAAATGTAATTAATTCTTGCTTCTATCGGTTATGACTTCTTATTGTTTAATTGAAATAATAATCATCACCTAAGGGAATAAAATCATGGAAATTTTGATTTTAATCCACTATCGAACACTTTTAATGTTATGTTTTCACTTCTAAACCCCTTTTGATTCAGTCCTTCGGTAATACAAATTTTTGTTTTGTTGCATAAAACATCTTCTACTAATTGAATGATATATCTAAAAAATACAAGTTGAATTGTCAGGGAGAAATCTTAATTGTAACTTCATATCAGAATTGATATGAAGTTATTTAATAGCGTAAATGGATTCATTTAATTAACTACTTTCATTTTTATTATGTTCTCAACCAATCAAAGCTTTGAGAAGGAAAATACGATTTATTAAGATTAATGGTGCGGAGTTATTGCAATAGATGAAAAATATAATTTCCTTTTGGTAGGTCATAAATATGCCATCAAGGTATTCAAATTAAAAAATAGAGCCCTTATTACATTAAATCTACTTTTCAACCATTAAGATTTTGTTACATCTCTAAGTCTAATGTAAAAAAAATCATTTTTCTTGTCTGGCTCTCATGATATGAAGATCGCAATAATTTCCGCTCATTTGATGTCAAATCCTAAATACATCATAAAATTAGCAAGTCATATGGATTCAATTAATCATATTGTGTCGCATCCAATTGACTAAGAAATGTTTATATCTAGTAGTAAAGACCGTACAATCAAATTTTGGAGAATCTAATCAAAAATATCTAAGAAGCATTGTTTTCAAACAATAAATTATCACAAATAATCTGTTATAAAATTATCTATAAGTGAAGATGGTAGTACACTTATCTCTCTTGGGATGGATTAATTAATATTAGTTCTGATGTAATAGGAATCATTTTGGATTGTAAAGTAGAAAATATATATTAATAAAGAAGGCCCAAACATTCTTTTTATAACAAACGAAATGTTTATATTTTAACCTTATTAGGGTTTTTTGAAGGATTAGAGCTCCGAAAACATATGGGTTTATAAATTAGACAAAAAAAATGAACAGTACTCTATGAATTACAGCATATAAATAAGCGACAATAGCTAAGGTTGTATAGGATCTTTTCCACTTTTTTACAATCATGAGAAAAGACTGCTTTTATTTCAGAATGGTAATTCTCTAAAGATAATAAAATTATACAATCTAGAGAAAGGAGAGTTCAATATAGAGCAAGTTATCTTTTTTAATAATTCTATATAAGAGAATCCTTTAAGGTTTATTTGTGGAGCAATAAGCAAAGATTGGAAATATTTAGTAACCTGGGATAACACTTCTTTTTGTCTTCAAGTAAGGAAATATATTGGATTAGAATCAATATCAATTCCATTATTAATGGAATAAATAAATATATGAAATTTAAGTTATGAATTAACTATTAACTATTCAAAAATCATAATTTACCTTCTTTACATCTATAATATCAATTGGTATAAAGATAATTACATAATCTATATAAAAACCACTATTTTTTATTAGTTGTATATAAATGTTATTAAATTAAAATTGTAGATTTTTATCAATTCTATATTTTTAGTTAAAAAAAGAATTACTATATTTTCAAATATAATTCCTTTATATACACATATTATTATTAATAAATGGCTCAATCATAGGATAAAGTGAAGAGAAATGATAATGATTGCGAGGAGTCGATATCTTAATTATTTTTGAATTTAGTTAGATGTACTTTTTAAACAGTGTTTGGTTATATTTGTTTGGATGTGTGTGTGTCAATTAGTTTACATTATATTTCATAAGAGTATGCTATATCAATTAGGTAGAATAAACCCAATAGCAAATGCTGGTTATGGTTTTGCATTGACTTGCGTCTACATAATATTAACACCATTTGGTTTTGGACTTAATTAATCATTAAACATGCATACATCATAAGCATTGGGAGCGAATAAAATATCTCTTGCAAAAGGGTACTTTAATTTAAACCTTTATGTGATACCTGCAACACTAATCCCTTTGGGAATTTTACTTTTAGTTTTAAAATACCCTTTAAGTTTAATTATGGCAGAAGATTAACGATAATAAACATCAGATTACTCTTAAGAATTTTTATATTATTTGATACCAGCCTTTATTCTGGCATTTATATTTGAAAGCGTAAAATGTTTTATGGTAGCGCATAAAGTAACATACCCTTTTACAATAATCCACTTTTGTACTCTAATTACTCATTGGTTATTTTGTTGGATTTTTATAGTGTAGTTTTAATGGGGTGTGCCAGGAGCAGGAGCGGTAATAATTATAACAGAAATCTTGAACATTTTAGGACTAGTCCGTAAAACATCAGTATTATAATTTAGTTTTTGTTGAGAATACTGATTTAAAAAAGGAAATATTTGATGGAACAAAACTCTTACTTGATGTAGATAGGTTTAAGAAATTAGGACTTCAATATATCAAAACTTCAGTTCCTATAGTTTTGCATATATTTTCAGAGCTATTTGTTTTTTTTACTCTATCTTTTATTGCATTGAGTTTAGGGATTTCAGAAATGAATGCTCATATGGGTTTATAAAATATGTGTGGAATTTATTTTAGTATAAACTAAAGAATTATTATAGGAATTCCAATTTGTTTATCTATTGCATTGATGACTTTTGTGGGAACTGAAATGAGTAAAGGAAACATCAAATTAGCAAAAATCTATGTTTTCTTAGGAGTTATAATTTTTGTTATTGCATGCGCGTTTTCATCTTTTTTAATTTGGAGTCAAAGAGAATCACTAGCAAATTTTTATTCATCGAATTCAGATGAAGATGAGTTCACTTTGAGTGCTAAATAGATATTTTTAGACACTATTCCATGGATGATAGGAGGAATGCTCATTGTCGACGGTTTATAAGGAACACTGAGTGGAGCATTGAAAGGAATTAATAAAATTAATCTTGTCTTTGTATTAAATTTATTCATAATCAAGTACTCAACAATTTTAGCTTATTACATAATTTGCCTTCCTATTGTATCCTTTTTCGCATATAAATGGGGGCTAGATCAAGGAGTAATTGGTATTTGGCAAGGTTTTGGAATAGCAAATTTAATTTTAGCTATATTGGACCTCTTTATTTTATTTACTGTTGATTGGGAGTTGGAATCGAAAAATATCATTTAAAGAGTGGAATCGCAAAATTAAATCGAACTAAAAACCCTAATCGAATTAGAAGATAAATAAGCAAATGTGTGATATAGCTTAATTATTCATTATTTATAAAATATAATGAATATAATCATTATTTATAATATCATTTATATTATATCACACAATATCTTTATAAAATAAATCGTAAAGTAAATTACATTTTTTGACACTTGAAAATACAAACAAAGTTATTTCTATCATTGATCATCATTTCTATTAATTAAGAAGTTTTAATCAAAGCTTAACAAGCCCCAAGGGTTTCATAATTAAGAAATTACCCTCACTAATGTTGAATTCTTCTCAGAAATTAATTAAGTTTTCCTCTAACTACCAAATTTTTTATTTCACTCAAACAATACTTTTAATTTAACAATTATTATATATATATCATTGAATGAAAATTATATCTTAGAAATGTGCATATAGCGAAGGATGATCAAGTGAAAAACTAGATTATGCCAAACTATTTCAGTTTAACTTTGAAAGGGAATTGCTTGTCTTAGTAAATTCTCAACGCGATACAAATTCTTAATAGATTTGACTCACAATATTAGAACTCTTAATAGCAAATAATGTATTACCTCTTTTAAGAATGAAATGATAGAAGATATTTTTTTATTAGTATATTATAATTGATTTTTTTAGACTTTTTGTTAAATAATGTTCTAACTGACTTTAAAATTTATTAAATATATAATCAATTAAATTATATTAACCAATCTATTTTTTAAATAAATTTTTATTTCATACTAATTTATTCAAAAATGATTGATATCTTACACCCTTAATTAATCAATCAACCAAACTTTGAATAGGAGGAGATTTGCAAATTTAACAATTTTGAATAAAACCTTAAACAATATATTTTTTTCTATACAAACTATATTTCATAATAATTCTTGATGCAATGCTATCTCCCTTAAATATCTTTCTAATGTCTCGTCAAAAATTATGGCATTTATTGGGATTAAGCTAATAATTCTTCTAATTATGTAATATTCATTGGTTAAATGTTATTTTAAATAAAATAATAAGCAAAATGTGACGATGAATGAGTATATAAAAAATGCAATTGATAAATTCTAAATAAAAAATGCGAATTAATACATATGCTAAGTCAGTTTGATTTTATGTAAGCTATGTTAAGTCTTCTTTAAAAGTTAAAGACATATTCAGGAATGCTCTTGTAATTATTAGTAACTTCCTTCTTATTCATATAAACTATAGTCAGTTTTAACATGTGAAGTTATTAATAGCTTATTATGTTTTTACTGAGTATAGTTTATATGTAATTTAAGGAAGAGACTAACCCTTAGGATAATACACCGTCAAATGATAATTAGCAGTATGGATGTAAATATTCCTATATCATAATTTTTTACATACTTAAGTAAAATATGAGCATAAGGAATTAGTTTTTAAATCATTGAAAAGTATTATAAAAGAATCTGTAGCAAGATAGGAGTTAAAGTCTAAAGAATTACTTAAGTTTAAGTATTACTAAATAGAATCTTATGAATTGAAAAGCATCTGATACATATTTTCTCTATCTTCTTAAAAATAAAAAGTATAGTTATTAAAGCCAACCAATATTTCTTTATATAAAAAGCAATTTTCACCACACCTAGACAAGGCGTTTAGTACTACATTAGTACGTGCTACTAGGCTGTTTTTACATACTTGTTTAAATATATTTATGTTCTTTGATTAATTATTGCAGAGTAACCTCCAAATATTAAATTCAAAACAAATATGAGCATAAATGAGGAAAACCTTCTTAATTTTATGACTTTTTTATTTATAATTTCTTTGTTTTTAATTGATAATTATCGTTTATTTGTTTTATATTGTTGGATTGAATCCAAATCAATTTTGTATTCAAAAACATGCCTACCATTATCTTTAAGTCTTTTTATCATTTCTTTGTATCTCTCTATTTCTTAAGCCACCAAGTCCGATTCAATAAATTTTAGAGTTAATAAAAATTTATCATAAAATGTTATGTAATTGTAGTAGCAATAAAAATTAAAAATTGCTAAAATCAGGGCTCCAATTTAAAAGAAAATCCAAATCAGCATCCATTTATTGGCGACACTAAGACTTCTGTTTGTTGATTCAGAAAGTAAATTTTAAGTGAGATCCTCCAAATATTGATGCAATTTCACAAAATTTGTAAATAAAAACACTTAAAAGGTTGAGTTTGAGATGTCCTTCTAATTTATAAAAGCATCCAAAACAGCAAATTCATATTGAAGATAAACTATTAGGGCTTCCCTAACGGTTACATTCTTCTCTAACAATTAATAATTATCTAATGATTCTAATTAATAAATCATTATATAATAATCATCAAGAGAAGGTTATAAATTTAGATTCTAAAACTAATTGTATAAATCATTTTAATAATCTATGTATGCTTCAGTTAAATGATTGTAGAAAGGCGATATTAAATTTGTTACATTCAGGAGGACTTATTTTTTTTTATATTCTTAATAAATTTTGATTGTTGCTCTAATTGAAAAGTATATGTCATGTTTAACCATTAAACTTGAATGTAAAGATATTGTGTCTATTTCTTTAAGAACTTAAGATAAGTCATTAAACATCACAGTAATAGCAATTAAAGAAAATATTGTAAAGATTATATTTTAGAGTGTTAGAAGAGATAAAATTTCAATTAGTTTTAGCGGTCTTTTGTAAACCATTAATTTTTAAACGAGTTCAAACTTTTTCATGAACTTCTTTTTTTATTCATCCTCTATTGAAGACTTATCAGATAATTAATCCATTTTTAGCTGTTATTACTATTCATCATCATAAGGTAAATCTAATTTTTTTTCTGAAATCAAAGCTTAAATATCCACTTAGGAAAGTTTTTGTGAATAAAACTCTTATTGATTTCTTGAATGAAACTTTCGTTTGGTATCGGATGAACTTTCATTAGGTGTAATAAATCTTCCTGGTTCACAAATTGTAATTCTTGGTTAACTTAATGAATCTAAATAATGATGAGATAAAATGAATTCATTTTTTAGTCCTTGAAATACTTCAACTTTATTTGGTACATCCTAGCATTGAATGTTTAATTGCCCGGAAGAATAACTTTCAGATTCTTCACTTATCGAACATTCATTTTTTTATAAATAATCTTAAAATTCAATTCGATTTATCGAATCTATGATATTCGTTTATGAATTTGATTCTATTGACAAAATTTCTATTATTATATAATAAAACTCTTTAAATTATCTTCTCGTTATTTATAAATTCACGCTATATTTAAATAATTTATCCTTTCTTTGCCAAGTAATTTTTGAAAGTGTGTTAAAAGAATTTTGGACTTTTTTTTCTGTAAAAATAGTGCTAAATAATCTAAAGACGTTGGCAAAATATAAATCAACTCCTTATAATTTAATTTCTGATTCATTTATATCAATCAATGTATCATAATCAGGTAATAAATATGTAATTGATAAATTTAATAAGATGTTTGAAGATTTGATAAATTTAATCTCATGGTCTTAAAATCCTATTTTTTTAAAAAAGCTTTCGCTAAAATAACTAAATTTTGTAGTTCCATCAACTAAAATATAGGATTTGCAATCAGACAATTCTTAGAAGAAAACTGCAAAAATCAATTAATCTTATTATTTTTCTATTTTAGTTAAATCATAACACATTCTAACTCCTTTTATTAATCCATCCTTTGTGTTTAAAAAATTTAACTGGAAGTTTTAGAAAAATTTTGAATGACCTGTTATTAAAAAATTCTCCATTAAGGAGGGATGATATTTAATAAGAAATTTCGGTAATAAATCATCTAATTGTAACTTTTGGTCAAAACTTTTTCTTTCAAATAATTTTTAGAACTAATTAGAAGCAAATTTAATCTCTGTTTATTTAAAATCATTTGAAATTTCAATTATAAGGTAACCAATCTTATCTTTATTATTAATTAAGCTTGAATTAAACATGAGAAATTTTTCATCAGACATTGAAGTTTGATTACTGATTTTTCTGGCTTCATGATAATTGTTACTAATTTCAGATTCATAATAACAGATGGCGTTTTGAATGCTCAGACATGGAAATTCTGAAAATTTAGATTTCAGTATTTTGTTTGTTTTTATAAGCAATCTACAAGTATCTCTTGTTATTTATATAATATTATTAAGATTAAAAGAACTATCTTGATTTAGTTTTTAATAATAGTTAACTTTTTATTAGGCCTATTAAATAATCAATGTTTTAATATCATCCATTTAAAATTCAAATGTAAGAAATTTTTATAAATAATCAATAATAACATTCTAAGAGTAAGTATAGAATGATTAAGACAATAAATTCTTCATTTCACATTTAGCTATGCTTATAACTATTCTTATCTTAATTCTTTGGATAAGAGATAGATTAACCTTAAAGTTGAAGTTACATTCCCTTAATTCAGCTGTTTCTGAATTATTTGATAGTGCAAGCGTATTTGTATCGATTTTTGTTTATACCGTACTTGAAGATTAAAGTGCAATTGAAAAATAAGTAGATTAAGAATCACTTATTAAAATAGAATTGAGTGTTTTAATTGCAACAATGGATAAACCAAAATCATATTACATGATCGAATGATTTATAACTTACTCTAATAATTTTGCTCTTGAACTCTAAACTGAGTGATAAACTAAACAAGATAACTATCTTAGTTCGCCTTGGTAATAGGACTGTCTCACCTAAGATACTCAAAGGGAGCGATCTTTGACACATCAGAATAATGAAGAAGTTGTATGAGCAAATGCATTATGAAGCTTTAACAAAATTGCTTATGTGATAGGTAGATAAATGCATCATGAATAAGTGTGATGGGTTATTCTTCTTAGATCTTATTCAGAGTCTTAATTAGGGAATACTTGAATTTATCTAAAATTATCTCAGTAGAGGAACTTAAGCTCTGCAACCAATGACTATCTTATTTCTTGTTAATCATTATTGCCAAATAAAGTAAAATTGGATATAACATTATTAAGATTTATCGTACTTATCATTCACTTTAAGTTGCTATTCCCCAAATAATATCAATCGCATATAAGATATCAAAAATATTAATAACAAATAAGATAATTTGTGCTTCTTTGTAAATGTAAATCTGCTCATATAATTATTCTATAATTTCTACCAATGAAATTAGAATAGTTAGGATGGAAGTGATAAGCAATATTTGGTTTGAATTTATTTCATTTAAACTGTCAAATACAGGATATGAGAGAGCAATCCCAAAATATTAGAGAACAAAGTTGAGACAAATACTCGCGTCTTTCGTAAAATAGGATTTTGTAAGTCAAAGGGGATTCTGTTATCACAAAGCTAATAAATATGTCAATTTAGATGATGCATACAATTAACCATGATCATCTTATATATTAGATTTATTCTTGTGATTTTTATATTTACATAAAGCAAATTGTCTGCAAAATCAATCCTAAAAATTTACAAATGTTTTATTAATAAATTCCAACAAATAAGAGTAATAATTAATTAATCAGAGTTAGATGAGTGTTAAAATAATTTTAAAAATTATATAATAATAGCCCAATAATTAGCTTATGTAAAATGACCATAGTTAGTGTAACAATAAATATAATTTCGATTGGAATATAGTTTATAATTCCAATTTCAGGTCTTATTATTGAAATATACAATCCATAAAATAAAGTAGTCAAATTCTAATAATCAGTATTCGATTTAATATTTGTTATTGTGACTATTGTTTAAATTTAATTTGCTATGTGAATCCAATATTGTATTATGCTATAACATTTAAATTATTTTTTTATTATCATCATTAAAGTAATCCATCTTTCCAAGTAAACAAATTTTTTCAATTAATTTTACATATATGTATTAATTAATTTTCATTTTTAATAAATAAATTAAATATATATATTAAGTTCTCATTTTATAAGAGTGTGAAATTTTTTGGATTCAAAATGAGAAACCCATAATTTGTAGTAATAAAATGTTATTTGGATATTAATTTATAGATATTTAAATTAATAATTTCATAATAATAACAACTGAGACTCATTTCATTGAGGGAGCAGATGTGCATTTATGATAAATAAAGAATTATTAGTACTGTCTGAATATGATATTATACATATTTAGAAATCAATATTAATTAATAATCTATTTTTTTTGAGATTAGCGTGAACAAAAACATTATAAGTCAATATATGTTTCATTTCAGTTAATGATCCATCTATTTAATTCCTAAATTTCTTCCATTATTAAATTTCAATATTGTTTTATTTAAACTGTTTGTTATCCAAAAAAAAAATACCTTGAAAAGAGTGATTGATTATTTGTATTACATTTTTGGTGATGTTTTAGTTTTTATAAAATAATGTGCAAATAAGTCTTGAAAGTTGAAGATTTAGTGACTTATTTATTTGATACATATTTGATAAAATACTTTGCTAAACCAGCCATCCCTTAAATGTTGTTTATAGATTGAATTGATTGATTTATTTCTTTTTTCCATGAATTGAATATAAATATGAGGTTATTAACTTTTTGAAATGATTGATGGAGCTGCGCAAAAATGTTTATCTTTTAAAATGATTCAATATCGGCCAACTCTTTCAGTTAGAATTAACTATTTTGATTAATTTACAGTATTAGAGATGTATTTATTATGACAATTGGCACATCGTAATAAATGCAGATGGCATCAATCAAAAAATTGATATTATTCTAATTTTATATACAAATGATGGTTAATATTGTTTAATTTTTTTTTCTGGGTAATTTTCAAATTATAACATAAAAGCAATGAGATTTTTAAATCAAAATGAAGTGAATTCTCATTTATTCTTTACAATTCACAGAGATACATTATAAATAATTAAATTATAAATTAGTGGATAATAATGTATTTATAAAATTATTATGTTTAACTAATATATATATATGATTATAATTAATAAAATTGAATTGTTTCGGAAATAAGAAAATCGAAATTTTAATTATTGAAATATATATTTTAATGAATTCCACATATTAATTAAAAACTGATTAATAGCAAATTCCATAAAATCTATAAATTATAATTTAAATACAATTCAATTCCTTAAGAATCTATAAAATATAATAATGTCCAAAATTAATTGTTATGAAGTTGGACTGAACTAATTGATTATGCAAATTAGGAACCAAATTCATTAATCAACAAGAAAAAACAGATTCCAAATTTAAGAAATGAGATAGAATGATTTTGATCTGAGATCAAATCTACTTACCTTTAGACTGAATATGAGGGATAGCTCCGAAAACCCATAAGCCCTAACTGCATATTCAAGATCAATAGAAATAAAAAAGAGATATTCTCTTTTACCTCTTAAAAGCATTCTTATAAAATCTGCACAACAATCACAAAGAGAAAAGTATAAAAAAAAGCCCAAAGACTTAAATAGAGAAAAATTAATAAAATTAAAATGCGAGATTAGAGCTTGGTCTATTTCGAGCACCAACCAAACAGATTAATATTGATAATTTATCAATTATTGTTTATTGTATATTTTATATTTTCTATTCTATAAAATAGAGAGAAGACTCATTTGAGCATCTAATATCTAAAATCTAGTATTTTAGCACATAAAAATATGTTTAAAATTATATTCAATGAATTGCATCTACTTTTTATGGAGTTTCAATAAAATCGTTAATGCTAAATGTTGTCCTAGATTTAACTAACACAATAATATCATTCTATTATAAGGATATCAGCTATTTAAGCTTTATATTTGGTTTCTGAAAAGTCTTTAAATGATAGATATTGGAAATTTACCAACTATATGGATTCATTGAATTATTTCTAAGTTGACTTCATAACCATTTAAGTAAATACTGTGGCTCCTTATTCTTTAATTATTGTTCATGATGTATCATTAAATCCTAATTTAAACGCATTGATTCTAAAATCCAAATTATCACAGAGTTAATATCGAATCAAAATTTTGAGTAATCTTTATTTATATATATCATCTATTTGTATCCATTCCGCACTATCCAGGGGTAAATTTTCTAATTCTCTTATTGAAATTCTTTCATCAATTCGAGTTTTTAATAGAGTTTACTTATTCTTTGTTGAGGTGATTTATATTATTCAGTTAATAGAGATATTTCATAATTCTTTAATTATAATTCTCATTATTTTTTACATTGCTTCACTCAATTACAGTTTTTCTAATATACTTAATTTACATTTTCTTTCTGAAATATCAAAATATGGCGCATCAATTTCTTATACAAAATTATATAGTAATAAATATTATAATTAAGTGGATGAACAGATTTATTAGGTCAATCTTTTTCTAATATGATTTCCAACCTTTATTATAAATTAGTTACTTTACGGTTTAAATCACGATTTAACTTAGATTGCAATTAATAGTTATGATAATTTAATTAATTTTGATGAATTAATTCACCAATTTTTGTCTTACGGTTTTATTTTAACCCTTTAAGTCATCATATTTAGTTTTCAAACTAAAAATTTTATTCCAATTCGCTATATAATTTTTTCTGTAATTAGTGATCTTTATACCCTATTTTCAATTTGCTTCAAGATGTTTTTTTAAGCCTTATATAATATTTTTATCGTATCCTTAATTTTTATTATATTTGTATCCTTACTTTTGCTTTCTACCATTTTTAATACATGCATGTTTAACTATTCATGTAAGTTTTATGATACAGTTAATAATTAATTTACATTAAAACTAATAATTTGATATCTACATTATTAAGCTAGCTTATATCCATGCAACTATAAGAGCTTGGAGTCATTATCTGAGTCAATTTACATGTTGTCTATAATAACAAACAAGATTTTCTGTGCATTGAATAATTGTTATATTTATAAAATAAATATATATTTTCTGAATATTGTTATGAAGGTTGTGAATAATGATATGTTTGCATGAAAACATGTTGCATAATAATATATATGAATTTAAAAATTATTTCTTTACGTATTCCTATCAGGAATTTGAAAATTGTTTTTCATGTAATTCAAATCCCTCTTAAATTCTTGATAAGTCTCATCCAGACAATTAGTAAAAAATTTACATAATTATTTACGAAAGTGAAAATATAACAATAAGATGTTTTCAATATTGAAAGCTTAAGAATTTTTGTATAATTAGAATTTGAAGAAAAGAATTAACACATTCCTTTAAGTTAAATATTATAAACTGATGCAGATCTTGTATAACATCAATTAGATATAAAATTAAGTAGATATGTTGCATAATATTATATTAATTAATAATTTAAATATCAAAGTAAAGAATTTGATTTTAACATTGTATAATTGAAAGTGTAATGTTAAGATAGGAAGAAGGATCTGCACATAAATTTATAAATAATTCAAATCTTATATTTCATTTTAACTAATTTAGCTTCCAGATTACAAAACAGAACGAATACAAAATTCCATATTTTGAATAGAATTGTGCATATCATAAAGACTAATAGCCTAATTATTAATTGACAAATTAGATAGACATCCAAATGCAAATAATTGATTAGTCCTTTATAAATTATCTTAGAGTAACCTCAAGAATAGCATGTGGAAAATAATAGAAATAAGATTTATCTCAAATAATATTTGAATTAATATGATTTATTAGGTCTAATTAGAAAGGAACAAAAAAGTAAAAAGCCCTAGTTATTCTATTTTAGTAAGAAATATTAATTGAAAATGTGAAGGAAAAATCTCCAATGAATACAGATATTAAGGAATGAAGAGGAATAGTTTTAGACTTGGAAAAGAGAAGATTATTAACACTAATGGAAGCCGTTATGAAGAAAGTGGAAGAATAACAAAATGACAAGAAAAGAATATTGTATAATGCTCAAGATAAGGTTATTTATATGGCTTTGTCAATTAAAACACTATTATAGATATTGATAAAATTAATATTTCTGAAATAATATTAAAAATAAAACTGCTTTAGTAATTTATCTAATTTTAGCAAATTGAATTATAAGCTATTAAGGTAAAGAGTGGGAAATATATTATCTAATAATTGCTAAACATTAAAATTATTAACAAGATATATCGGTATAATTTAAAAAGAATTAATGCTCAATCGTCAATCAAAATTATAGCTAAATTTTAACTCTTTCCAGCATTAGTTACTATTGGAATATCATCTTCATCCTCATTTTTATTAATCTTATTAATATTCCGATATCCCCTATCAACTATGTCTTAATATGTTTTTATTGTTTAATCTTACAATATTAAATTTATTTATTCATCTTTATCTAATTAACCCTATATTTAGTATGATAAATACATTATGGTCTAATGCTAACTGGTCAATTGAAATTTCCAATTGTTTGATTCTTTCAATAATAAACAATTGGTATTTATCAATAACCAAATGGAAGCACACCTTTTTGCATATTGGACATATCCATTTTTTGTGTTCTACCTTAATCATCATCTCAAGGAAACTACACAAACAAAAGCACTATTCATGCTAACAAAATTCACCCCTAAATTAATGAATATAACGGTTACTTTGCCGGAATTTGAATTAATTCTAAAGTGAATTAACAATAGAGACTAATGATTGTTTTAGCAACTTATATTTCTTTTTTACTTTAGTCTGCTTTAATCTTTGGTTAAATATCTAATGATTTAAATTTCTCAATTGTTTGTATCACATTTAAAGGTTCTACCAAAAACAAACCAAAACAATAGATTGAACCAACTGTGTCTTTACGATATTATTATTCAGCTAGGCGTTCTATTATAGAGAATAAAAATTTCTTTGAATAGTTATTTTATCTGATTAAATCTTTTACATTTATGTAAATTGAAGTATCCCTTCTTTTTTTCAGACTAGATTTTTCTTACAATGGTCTGATCTCTTTTATAGTGACTCCATTAATTAAGAGAGTGCAGGACATTGGAAAAGTCAAATCATATAATCCTTATTTATTCAAGGCTACACATCTTATTTCAAGATTGCAATTGGTTGAAGTATCAATAGTGAAGGTTTGGCAAGTTTTTGCATTTTCTTTTCCTGAGTATTTGTATTCAATATAAGCTAATTTTGTTATGATTTTTTAGAATGGATTGATGGATACTAGCAAACATTATGTACATATTCTTACTCCATCCTAGATTTCAATAGTTTTGGAATCCATATTTTTGCAATAATTACATTGAGGTTTTTCTAGTTTTGATTATTCTTTTTCTAGTTTTTTGGTTACTTTATCATTGCTATCAACAATTATTACTTATTCTTAATTTTTTTTAACTTTAGAAGAATCATTGGGATTAGCACATAATAATTTTTCAATGATTGATTCTAATTCTTAAGTTTCCTTTTATCTATGTTTATCGCTTCTTTCTAATCTTTCCTATCTTTCCTTTTCTAATCTATCCTATTTTTCCCTTTCTTACCTTTATTTTTCTAAGAGTTCAATTCTATCTTATCTTTCTTTTTCTAATCTTTCTGTTCTTTCTTTCTCAAATTTATCTAAGCGTTCCTTCTCCAATCTTTCTTTTTCTAATTTCTCTTTATTCTATTTTTCTTTTTCTAATCTTTCTAATATTTAATTTTTCTCTTTTAATTATTATTATCTTTCTAATTCCCTTTTCTCTTTTCTTAATTTATCAATTTCCAACCTTTCTTTTTTCTTCCTTTCCTTTTTGTCAATCATTGGAATAATCTATTTAGTTGATTTTTCAAGTTGTTATTTAATATCAGCTTCTGAATGTTTTTTTTTTTCAATTTTCTAGAGTTTTTCTTTTTTATTAAAATTTTCTAAGTCCTTACTTAATTTCTTCTCTTATTTATTTTATAATTTGATGTTCTCTTTCCTTTTAATGCTATCTTCTCTCATTGATAAATCTTCTGAGGTTCTTATTTCAAGTGATTCAGATTGAGAATCTGGTTTGAATGGTTTGAATGGTTTGATATCTTTTTTTTTAATTAAGTCCAAAGATGGGGACAGCTTTTTCTTTTTGCAATTATTTTAGAGCTCTGTTTTAGATTGCAGAGATCTATTTAATTAAGTTTCCTTGAATTCAACAGGTTCAAGAAATGTATATGTTTTATTATTGTTGTCAATTTTTTGAGGGGTTTTCTCATTTTTCTTTTTGACTATGAGATCAGGAATGACTTTCAAATCTTTAGGTTTATTATCCTATTTGGTTGATGCTGTTTTTGTAGATGTATGTTTAGAGTTATCATTTGTTTTATTAAATTGATTATTATTAATGTCGAAATTAACCCCAATAAAATTTGGCACAGGCATATATGATTTAGGTACAAATGTCTCCAAATCAATTTTTCGCTTATTGGAGTCCCCTATTTCATCATCAATTATTTAAGCCGTATCATTTTTTGGTTTTACACAGATGGGACTTACAAATTACTAAACTTTTTGCGGTAATGCAATTTATTTATTTTCTTATAGTTCCTGTGCTTTAGACTAGTTTCTAGATATTTGAGCTTATTAAATGATAGATGAAAGTTCATTTTTTTCATTTAAATATGAAATAAAATGGGAAGCAAAATGCTTAAAGAAAATTGCATCTCTTTAACCTCCATATTCATTAACTCCTATTTATTTACAAATGTGTTAAATTTGAAAGTCTCGATACTAACATATTTTGAAAGTGTACTTAAATTAATGGGTTGACAGGACTATTTAATAAATCGACAACCAGAGTTTCTAATAGTTATCTGTGTTCCATAATATAATAAATAATGTATTATTTAATTGATCTTTTAAGATCTAAAAATCCTGTAAAAAAATAAGCATCACTAACTCATTCCAATAAAATGCCTCTAACCCATTTTCCGATTACTTCATTGGACTTTCCACAAAATGAGGCAAACCCACTCAGCACATCATCTATAAACTCTCTTATCTACCTCTCTTCCCTTGAAAATATAATACCCCAATAATAAGTCTTTTATCAGACTTAAAATTGCCTTCTTATTTTGATTATAAATTCCCAATATTCTTGAGATCTCTAAAATCATTAAATTAAGGAAAATTGGGATTCAAGCTGGTTCATTATTACAAATTATGATAATTGTCATTTTAAAATGATTCTTCTTGAAGTTTCCTCCATTATTTTACAAGCGATTGTCTTTAACTATGCATCAAATTTTCAAACTTCTACTTCTTTTTCAGATTCATAAGGATTTAACATTTTCTAATGATCACGCTATTATTATCAACCTGATCTCCTAGCTTTTAACATCATTTAGTTAGATTTTAGTTCAGAACTTTATCGAGAGCATTATAAATTGCTTGCACCCCCTAAGATCTTATATTTACCCTCCAGGTGTTGTGATATTAGTTTAGGATTAGTTGATGGCAGAATCTATTATGTTGAGTATATTTCATCAGGTCACTTCTTAACCTATAGATTAAAACATTTAGAATCTTGATATTAATTTTTATTTAAAAGCAAAAATACTCTAAATAAAAGCATTCACTTTTTTAGATCCCACAAAAAATACTTTTCATATCCCAAATCCAGGAACATCTTACTATTTACTCTATTTGTTAATAAATAGATCATTTTAACAGATAAACCCATCAAAATACATTAATGAATCGTTTAATCATAATTCAAGATGAAAATCTATAAAATCTTGAATTTATTATTCATCAAATTTTGATGATCTCTTAAAATCTATTCAATCACTTGATTAAGACTTGGAATTACTTACTCATGATATTTTTTGTTAGAATAAAATGTAAATATACTAGTTACTTAAAAAGTGTGTGTAAGTGAAATTAACTTTTTATCTGATATGTTATATGAAGAATGCAGAATTTATAAAAATATGCATAAAATTCATCAATCAACAATATTTGAAAATGGATGCTATTTAAATATTTCCCATTTTTAAGTACCAATTTCATTATAATCATCAATTGATATAGAAAATTAAGAAGGCATACTTTAATATTTATTAGCAAAGTTCTTCATCCCAAAACCATGATCCAAATACAGGGTTAGAAGTAATTTTAATAGCTATAGGACAATCATATTCGGATATTGGATTTTTTGCAATCTTACATAATCCATTATGTTTTTGCTGCACCTCCAGTTAGGATAATGTTTTATAATAAGAGTTTATCCAAACCTTTCGATGATAATTTGATCATATCTACCAAACCTTTTTGTTCTACTCCAATTAAGTTGAGTTGGAAGTAGATTTCTTAACTTCTTACTCGGTCGACACTTAATTGAACTTGACTGAGATTCATTCCTAATTAATGTACGTTAGCAATTGATTTAAGAAATTTGATTTCAAAATCAGGATCTAAGTTTTTAGTTCTTATTCGATTTCTTATAGTTTATATTTAGACTTTTCATCAGCAGAGTCTATTTCTTTGGTAACACTTCTATAGATTTCCCGATCCTTATCGTCTTTTCCAAAGTCATCCTCTACTTTATCATCAGCTCCAGGAAAGGCCAGAGTCTAGATTCTTTTCTAATTGAATCTTGAATTCCTACTATTCATTTCTTATTATAATTTTTTTCTTACTTGAATCTAAAGGACTATACGATCTCTTTTTTCATAAAGCATCTGCAAATATTTCTCTGGTTCTTCTAATTTAAATTTATTGGCATCTTTTTGTAATCACTTAATTCCTAATTTTTTTTTATTTTTTAAGTAATGCTTATTCATGCATGACCTTTTGATATCTCTTCTAATTTAATTAAGATGGTGTAAGTTTATCGTCAGGTACATTTAATAAATTATATTTCAATTCCTCTAAGCTTCTTTAGACGCTAACCCAAGTTTAACTTAGAGTGTTGTAATTTTCTTTTTTAGTTTATCATTGTTTTAGTCTGTTTCTAATTCCTATTGTAATGCCACTAATTGTTATCCAAATTGAGACTTCTTGTTTTGTCTACTTTATAAATGGACTCCTGTAATCTTACTTTCATCCTTTGTCTGTTTTCATCCTTTCTTTTTAAGTCCTCGGCACTTACAATTTTTTGTACAATAGGAATGTCAATATTTATTGGATCCAAGAATTACAACTAATCATCATAAAATCTATTTTGTTCTGATATTTTATCTCTATATCCATAATATTGTTAAGGTCCCTAGAGATAATGCAGTTAGAGCTAATAATCTATTGCCACATTAGCGTATTACTTATGCCAATAATCCATTTGAGCATATGTGAACTTCAAGTAAGGGTATCTTAATTAAATAGTTTAATAAAAGTATTTCAAACTGTTTAATCCACCCAAATTCTGCCTTTTAATATTGGAATATATCACTTAACCATTGACTATTGGCACTACATACACAGTCTGATCACCAAGATGAACTATGATTGTTTTAAACACGCCTCCAAATCATCCTGAAATACTGAAAATAAAGCATCAACTCCTAACATTACACTTGGTACTTGATAGCATTCAAACATTTGCTCTAAAACTATCATCCTAGCTAAATCAGTAGTAGCAAAACACTCTGTTAATATCATAGGATGATTCACTCTGCCATGTCTTCCAGCTTATAGCATTTCAAAGACAAAATCATTTAATTATTCTAATGCACCGAAATGCTAAATTAGATTCTTCTCAAATGGAGATCTATAATTCTTAAACACATCTGTGTCCCATTAAGCTATTTGATTTGATTGTGTAGAGTCCTTAAATTTATTGATATAGCTGCGAATCACTGCATCAGGAGCTTGAGATGTTGCATATCCCTCTCATAAAAGAAAGTCTTTACTGCTTTAATAGTATAGGATCCATAATCTATCAAGAGAGGCACATTATTTTTGGCATTCGCATAATTATCCCTTATATAATTCATTATTGATACTTAATTTAGTAATTTAATTGACTTCATTAACCTAATAAATATAGAGATTGTATAAATGAAAGTATTATTTAAACTTTTTTATAAAATTCTTAAATCATTTATAAGTAATCTTTTTTGCCTTTCAACTTTAGTTCTTTTGAGCTCAGTTGCATACAATCAATTTTTTATTATTATTTCACATTAAATATAACATTAGAGACATTAAAGCAAATAATGTTGATTTTTATATAACTAGCTTGTGATCATTTATAATCCTAGATATTATATAAATTATTAATATTATATGGATTTTTATGATTCCTAATAAAACCTTATTTAAAGTAGAAAATATAATTTGATATATGGATACATAAATTGTTCAATATAATAGTTTTATCCAATATAAAACAAAATCTATCAAACTGTAAATCTCCTTTAAGCATTACAGGGGTTCTCAACTATACAAAAAATTTCTTGTTTGTTATTCGAAAGTTCGGATGTTTTTGACGCTTTGCATTTTTACCAGATTGGATGAATAATTTTGATTAGATCAATTATTAAAGTCATAAAGAGTATAGTACTCATTAAACCAATTATATTCCAACCTATAATAATTAAAACATCTGCTTAATATTAATAAAAGTCATTGACTAGATACATTCCGAAAATAATGAATTGTAGGAAATGAGATGTGAATTACTTAAAATTTTCTGATGGTAGCATTTAGATTTTTCGAATATAAAGAAAGTAAATATATTGGAATTCGTTTAAAAGGCATAGTAATATTTGAATTTAAGAGGATTCAAAAAAAAAGATGATAAATGAAATAAAAAACATTTTTTGCATACATAAATAAGTAAAGCTGTTATTCTTTTATTAGGATAATTATTATGATTTTGCTATATGAATGGTTAATGAAGTATTTGAGATTAATAATAATATAACTCCATATAGTATTAAAATTGCAATTGAAACACCTAATTTACCTTCAGAATCAGATTTTTGATATTTTAAGGCTAAGAATGTATTGATTCCAAATTCATATATCATCGTTAAAAAAATTGCTTATATTGATTCAATTAGATTATTCATTTAAATTCTAAGACAAAGTTTTTGTATAGCACTTACTACAGCAACTAACACATGATTAGAATAAAAACCTGTCAATTAATCAATTTTTTTCAACAAATAAAAAGTTGCTTTTTTAAAGGAAAAATATGTAGGAAAAAATATTAAGTAAACTAAAATTATTTGGGCAATATTATTTAAATAATTTGCATTCCTATCATCACTTTCGAAGACGTATTCAGAATGGTAAAATGATACAATACTTGACATAGATCCATTAGGATTAATTCCAAGTAAATCAAAAAAATTGGTTAATTGAATTATTTTAAATGTTTCAAAAAATCTTTGTAGATTTACTCCAATTCTTGAATTAATGTATTTTAAATAATAAAGTTATTAAATAGTATCTAATAAATTGGAAATGATTTCAGATTATCCTGATATAGATGATATAGCAATTAACAATGCCGCAAATTTCAACATGTAATCATTAAGCCCAATTAAAGATTTTATAACCTTTTATTCTTATTCTTTTAAAAAGTTTGATGATAATAGCGTTATTCTTAAGATATCTTATTAAATCTCAGCTCCATCCTAATTAACTAAAATACTTTTATCCGTAAATCGTAATTTAAGTATAGGATTTTAACAATATTTAATGAATTCAATCGATACTTGAATATCTACAAATTAAAGGTCATATGTAATATTTATTTTTGGCATAATTTAAATAAATACCACATCTGTTTAATTTTCAATCTCAAATTTTAAATTATCGAGATAATCTTATTAAGTGAAACCATCTATTAATCTCATTTTAGTAGAGTATCTAAGTTTGACATATTGAACACCTGACTATTCTTTTTCAATTTCTAAAAATGAATATGTTGAACCTAATACAACACATTCATTATCTTTACATTTACTATTCTTTGATTCTGTGCAATTATTATCACAACCATCCCCATTTAATAGATTGGCATCATCGCACTCTTCTAAATCAGCCATAATTCCATCTCCACATAAAGAATAACACATATCATTGATTAAATAATATCCAGTCAAACAAGTCAAACATAAGTCATTTTCACAAAGTTTACAACCACTATTTCCGCATGAAATCGTTTATTCATAGCAAGTCATATTAACTAGTTCATATCCTTATATGCATTATAAACAGATATTTTATGGCGAACATTCTAAACAATTAATACCACATTATAATTTGCATAGATGGCATTCATCATCAGTAATTTCATTACTATCATCGCATTCTTCAAAGGGTTATACTATAATTCCATCTCCACATTATGGTCTACAAGATTAACTTGCAAATGAATAGTATAATCCTTATTCACAATTAATCTGATCTCTATAGCATTCTCCTTTAATGCACTTACAACCTGGTAGACATGAATATTTACATTTATGGCATCCATCAAATTCGATGTCATTGCCATCATCACACTCCTCTTTCTAATATATAACACCATCTCCACAAATACTATAACATTAATTAGTGTCTTGATTATAGTAACTTCCTGGTTATGTACATATTTCTAATACTTCACATTAAAAAGTGGCTGGAACAATAATTGTATTAATTTCACAATGAATACACTCGCCAAACTCACAAATTTCACAATTTGAACTACATTGATACTTACATTGATAACATCCATCAAGCACCAACCAATTTAAATCTTCACATTCTTCTGTTCCAGATATTATCCCATCTCCACAAATTGGTATGCATGTGTTAGTAAATATATCTAATTCAAAATTCTTATCACAAATAATACACTAAGCATTTATCTAAAAATAACAAAATTAAATAAACTAAGGTAAAGCTTCCAGAACCTTTAATTTAACTATTTCATTTTTTCTCTAAAATTAGCAAACATTTTAATTCAATAAATATCCTTTCTGGCATTCTTAACAGATTCCTTAGATAAATATTTTGCAAAATTCAATTATTTTTGGTTTGTATTATTCCTAATAAGGAATTATTGAAATTTCATGTATATCTACACAAACACCATTCTACACTTCATATCCATCAATACAAAATAAACAAACTCCTTTCAGACAATGCAAACATTATGTTTAACATTAATAAACACATTGATGACATCCATCAAATGCAAATTAATTGCCATCGTCACAATCCTCTCCTTCCACAATTACTGAATCTCCACATATATTTTTACAATAATGGTCTATAAGTCTAAAGCCAGCCGTACATGATGTACACCCAATATTTGTGCATGTAAAACATGATTATTAACATGACAACCTACAATTATAACATCCATCCAACATTAGAGTGTTCATATCTTCACATTACTCATTTCCAACTTAGATTTTATCTCCGCATGATTCAATACATACTCTGTTATATGGATCTAAAGTCCAGCCAAACTCAAGACATTCAGTACATGTTCCTTTGTTACATCTTGTACATTATGGTTAACATTCGTTTTTACATTGATAGCATCCATCAAATTAAATAGAGTTCGAATCATCACATTCTTCTAATCCACTAACTACTCCATCTCCACAAATGTCTAAACAAGGAAAAACTGTTGTACTATTACAAACAGTACATTAGGCAGGACATTGAAATCTACAATTATGACATCCATCAAATTAGATTAAATTTCCATCATCACATTGTTCTTCTGTTACTACTTATAAATCTCCACAAATAGGTAAGCATTAATCATTTACATTATTGTAACCAGATGGACAAATAATTGTAGGACAACTCTAATTAAACCAAATGGAAATGCCATTTCCACAAATCTTATAACAAGAGGTAAGTGAACTATCTTCCACAGCAGGACATTAAATACACGAATCTGAACTATTATCATAATATCCCAATTGGCATTTACAATCAAATCCATCTAGAACTCTTAATTGTGTTGAATGACAAGATAAACAAGAAGAATTTGATGACTCAAAGCAATTTTCACACTTTTTTGAACAAGCCAAACATTTCAATTAATATTCATCAAAGTAATATCCATTACTGCATTCACAAGTATTTCCATTTAATATTAAATAATTTAAAACTGTACAAGCTTAACAATTTTTATTAGTAGGTCCACTGCATTTACTACATAGTTTATCACATGGTTAACATTATTGTATATTATTTTAGTCAAAATAACCATCATAGCATATACATTATCCATTTTCAAGATATCGCAAAGATTTAGTTTCACAATGTATACAATAGTTGCTTGACTAACACTATTTGCAACTATAATGGCAATTTAAGCAACTTGTACCGTCATAGTATTAATTAAGTTGACAATTTAAAATACAAGTGGTAGATACCAATCGAAAATTAGGCTGGCATGTTAAACATTCATATTCATTAAAACAAGTAAGACATTCATTAGGGCAGTCTTCACATGTGGAAGTAGTTTCATCTAAAAATTAATTCGATAAACATTATGATTATTCTACTTTTACAACACTTGGATTGTAAGCCATCCATTAATCGCAAGTTAATTCATTTGTACATTAATTGCAATATGGTTTACAGTAATGAACAACAATATAATAGTTTGATATTCCACAATAGGAATCGACAACATCAACACCATAACATTATATAGCAATTGTCAATGTTGGATTATAGGTTAAGACCTTCTCTATAATCTAAACTGGATTTAGTGATTATAAAACTCTTTATTCAGTACCATTATTAATTTCATATGAAAAATAATTTAAAGGGGAAACTGGAAAATTGGGACCAAATATAATCTAGAAATATATAGTTAATGAATGATGTGGATCCAAAGTATATATCTAGGAAAATCTAGATTATGCCCAGACAAATTTTCCTCCAAAGATGGTTTTATTAGTTAGATAAGACCAAAAAATGTCAGGTCCTTTTTAAAAATCTGTAGGAAAACTAGTTTCCAACAGAAAAGTTGCATTTAAGGTATCCTTTACTGTGAAATCATAGAATTCTTTGATTAAATATTTGGAATCTAATTAGATAAAAATTAATATTACATTTAGTTTCTTAATTATAATATACGCAAATCGAATTGATTAGAAGTGAATCAGCAGGACAATATTATAAGGAACAAGTTCCATCTGATACTTTGTAGAATCCACTTGCACAAGTTTAACACATGTATCTTTAATTACATAGAATACAGTTAAGAGGGCAAAAACCAGAAGTTAATGTAAATAATCTAAAAAACCACCCTGCATTCGGTTAACTATTTAGGATAATTTATAATACGTAAAATTCCCTTGGATTATAAACATGAATTTCTTCTACAAAATAGGGAAAAACATATCAAGTTCAATAAAGATATTATTTGTACATTACCCTGTATTTGGATAAGCCTTTAAATCTCTTAAATTAACATTATCAAATTTGAATTGGGTACCATCATAGAAAGTTGAACCATAATAGGTAGAATTAACATAAAATGACACTCCTGATCCTGCTGGTATTGAATTACAGAAAACTATTTAGATCTGTGCTCCCACTGTATAATTTCCGGAATTTATATTCATAGCAATATATGCCCCTTCTCTAAAGTGAAATACTCCAAAATTGTAGGGGGAAACCTTTTTATTTGATACATCGAGATGCAATGGATCATATATTATATTCCAATTTAATAACGTTGTCAAATCTAAAGTAGCTAAATTAGACCAAAAAAATGATATTTGTTTAAAGTCAACACAAATTCGATTTTAAGACCTTACTATTGAATTTTTTATTGGGCATTGATTTACGCAAGTTCCATTAGGCAAAATACTTTGTCTAAGTGAACATCTACTGAATATTACATCCCAAACTAAGCAATCTATCATGTTTGGCCCATTACATGATAAGCATTTTGGATAGCATGATAAAAAACCAACATGTACATTTCTAATTTAAGCCTAATTTATAGGGTTGACTATTGAAAAAATAGGGTAAGTGAAATTGCTAGATGTGTAAGGTAAGATAAGATAAAAAGTTTTAATTTCAAATTAAATCGAACTGCATAATCCTTAAGAAAAATATAAAGGGTCTTATGTGGTATATCTTACTTGATAATAATAACTATCGTAATTGATATCGATTGCGTCATTCATCCATTAAGATGTGAAATAGACATCAAAAAGCAATAATTTTTTAACATTAGGAGTTAAAGGGCTTAAGGTTGTTTAACTTTAAATAATTGACATTTATAAGCTGTCTAATAAAATTGCGGTTTATGGGGAACTTGAGCAATTAACAAAATTGGCTGGACTATTTGTTAGAGAGTTTTTGAAACCATAGATGCAATTAATATTAGTACAATAAATATTCTTGGCTTCGTAAACTCCATTATATATAGTAGTCCATTAAGAATTAAGCTAACAATACATCCTTGTTGTGTATAAGAGGAAAATCATAATTATTTTATCCATTAAAATATTTAATTCATATTTTTCATAATGAACATGTTTTAAAAAATATTATAAATTGTTTTATAATGCTCTTTCTTGGTATCAATTTCAAACATAATAAATTTTCTATATTTTTGTAATTAACTGAAATGAATGTTTTTTTAGCGAATTTGCTCAATTTGCGTGTTTATCCAATTCCTAAATATTTTTAGATTAAGGGATTTTGAAATCAATTAGAAAGTAATACTTATTTTAATTTTACACATAATTATATGAATATCTGATAATATGAAACAAAAATTAATTTATAGGTAGCATTCAATTGGAAGAAATTTATCCTAACAATAATTATTTTTTACAATAATTGTTTTTAAAATGAGTATAATTCAATATATCGAATGGCACTTATTAATTAAGTTGATTTGTTAAGGTATAATAATACAATTGTGCAAATTAAATTTTATTAAGGAAATTTAAATATTATTATAATTTGCATCATCTATATTTTTTATTTATAATTAAACATAAAAACAAAAGAATTGTATTGATGGATGAGATTTCTTTGTTTAGGAGATATAACTTGTTTCAAAGAGAGATAACTATTTTTAGATCCATAAAACAATTTTAAGCTTTTTATTTAATATTTGTGTTTCTTTTATTAATTAACTTATATATAAATATACCCCAAAATACAGTTTGAATGCAAAATAATTTTATCAATAATATTTTTAATATTAATTGATTGTCTTATTAATATTATTTTTGTATAAAATCATCTATTTTATCATAATATTTAAAATATTTCTTACAAAATAGGATATTCATTTATACTATAGTTATAAATTTCATTTATTTAAGAGTTAAGAATATTAGTACTATTTATTTAATGTAAATGAATAAAACATCTATCACTATATACAAATAATTTTATATTTGTCTTATCATACAAAGATAAGACTTTCTGAAGATTTTCTTGACCATCCACAGTCATTGCCAGTCATTAAAAAATTTTGATTCTTGTATGAATTCGTTAATAATGAGTTTCTAAGAGTTTTCCTCCTATTTAAATCTATATTTTAATGTCTTTTATCAAGAATTGAGCCTTGATACCTTAGACTTTAAAGTGGTGACTTTATGGAAAATATGATTTTTTGAATCATCAAGGCTTTTTCCTCATTATCTGAAGTTGATGTATTAACATGAGAATTATAATTAGACTATTTTCTTGAATCAGATGACGACAATTTAAAGTAATTACTGAATTTAATTGTTTCTCTGTTCTCAGATTTGTACTATAGCTTAAACTTCTGACTTCGAATTGTTTTAATTCTTCTGCTTTGTTCAGTTTGCACTCTTTGTCCACTTAGGTTATTAATGACCATTTAATTAGCCATTATTTGTGAAGTTGAGTTTACTCGTATTTTTTATTTCGGGCAGTATATAGATATTAGGGTTGCGTTTTTGTTTTTATTTCCTTACATCTATCTTTAAATTTAATTTATATTAATTATTATAAGTATCAATTTAGATTAAGAGTTCCTGAAAATGGTTTTCAGTAATATTTGAATCACGTCATCAATATTATATTAATATTTTGATAAAAAGATTCATTTATATTACAATCTAAGCTTATGTACTCATTAAAGAATATACATTGTGTATTTGTTTAAATTAAATTATTTTTTCTATTTTAACAAAATTTAAATCTTTCATAATATTCAAAAAGCCGATCTAATCAAATGAGGTTTGGTTTTACAAGAAAAGACATTCATTATTCATATAATCAATAATTTCATCCTAATCTCAACTCTTTTGAAAATAAGTTCATAATCCAGCGATTATTAGAAAATTTGTTTGGTTATGTCCTATGTGATATTGCAATCTCATCACTTTTCAATATTCTGAGCAGAGGATCGTCATAGATTATTTAACATAATCATTTATATTCTATAGTTAATTACTGATTTGTTCCTTATTATCTATTAACAATATTTGTGGGAAAACTAGAACGTAATAAACTATCCTTTTATCTTAAGAGCATCTTTACAATCAATATATATATTATAATTTAATTATAAAAAAATCTTGTTTTCAAATTGTTCTCATATAATTCAGAAATCAATTTCCATATGGTATTGTTTTATTTTGTATATATTATTTCTTATTGTTAAAAAAATTCTCTATCTACTATTAAGTATGTATTTAAGCATTTATGCAGAATTGTATTATATTTCAATTTCTAAGTAATGGTTAAGTGTTCAAAAAATAATTAATAATTATTGAATTTGGAATTAAGTTTGAAATCTCTTGAATAGTTTCTTGATTTTAAACATCTTTAAGTTACATTGTTAGTTTAAGTATTTTAATATATTTATAAATATGAATAATTATTATAAATCAAGTAATACACACATTTATTGAATTATTACTATATATTAATATTCTTTTATTTGTATTCTAAATTTACCCAGATCTATATAAAAATGATCTTTCAAGCATAAAATTAATATTTAGAATAAAAATTTAATTTTTATGCAGTTAAATGAAAATGAAGAAAAAATCATAAAAGACTTATTCAAAAAAGTATGATCTCATTCATTAAATTAAAGGTTACATTATATTATAAAGAGTATATGTCTATGCCAGATGATGGCGATTTTCCTAATTAACATTGTGTAGATGATATTGCAGCATCATTTAGAATAATTTGTTAAATTGTTGAATCATTTTTGATAGGTTATAAATAATTATAACATCAGCATGTTTTATTAGAATAAAAATTAGTTGAAGCTGAATCAGAGATTAGAAATCATATTAGAGTATTCTTGTAGTTATATAATAGATTTAATAAGAAATAAAGGTTTGGGGAGATTCTTTACAGGATGAGATTATATCTTTACAATAGGACTTAAAACGATAGAAAGTAAAAGTGTTGGTAAAAAACAAATTTAATGAATTCTTAAGACACTTGAAAGAGAATTAAGTTTATAGAAAAATTATAAAAATGCATGCACAAGTTAAGAAAGATTACCAACAGAAACAACTTAAGATAGACAAGACAAAATGCTGAGTTTGCTATCATCTCAAAAGTCTAGATAAGTTTAAGGTTAAGGATATAAAAAAAAAAATATGAAGCTTTAATATTTTGAAGATAAATAGTAACATAATTTTTATAAGTTATAAGAAATAAGTCCTTTACATAACTTGCCTAATAGTTTTTAAATTCCTCGTTGTCTAAAACCTTAAGATCTGGAATAGTAACTCAGAAAAAGAAAAAGGCCACAACTAAATAATGTAAGACAAATTAAGTTAATCTAAAAATTAAAAATTAAAGATGCCATTCTTAATAAGAGAGAGCCAAAACATTAAATGATTAATCGTTTTACTATTGAAATAAAATTTATTAACATATATAAAATACTCATTTCTTTATTAACTTTTTAAACATAATTCAATCAGATTTAATTATTTATTTTTAATAGTTTTTATTTTAAAATGATTTATGAACTATAAAGTAGAGTAATTAACTAAATCTTACTAATGCTACAGTGTCTATTGTTGATAAACCGTTAACAGACTAATGATTTTTTAGATATTGGAATGATTCTACTGAATTCTTAATATATTTGATATTCGAATTAGTTTTAATAATCCAATGATTATTTTATTGAATTATAAAAGGGAGATATGATTCATATATCATTTTAAAGATAGAAAATAAAGAAAATTTTTCAAATATTGGAATTGTTATAATGAACAGAAGTATCTAGAATGAGAGGTTTAAATTTTGTACAATAAATTTAATAAATATTTATCAAAAATTAATTAAATGACAGATTCTTAACCTCAACAGAGATTTCGGGACATTTAATATAATAAAATAGAAATTAAGGCTATTTCACATACTACTGTGAAGGAATTAATAGGATCATTAAATAATAAGGTATTTGATAATCAATTCGAAACAAAATATGCGAATCATATGAATGAAAGAGTGTTTGTATTCAAAGTGATATATGATGGTTAAGGTTGGGAGATAAGAAGAACAGTTGGATAATTTAAATAATTAGAGCAAGACATGGCGAATAATATATTTTATTACATTTTCCAAAAAAAGAAAATAACAGGAAGTCTGGAAACAGATGATCCCAAAAAAACATTAGTTCTACTTCATAAATTCTTGCAGATGATCACCTGCAATGAGATCATTCCATAATGTGCATTAACATTTTTAGAAATCTCTTGTATCAATTTGCCATTCAAAATGAAGGAAGGTTTTATGGAAAAGAAATCAGGAGGCAGAGCCACAACAAACTGCTGTGAATCATTTGAAACAAAGCTTGCGAAATGGCAAAAGAGATATTTTATAATAACTCAGCAATCCCTACTCTATTTAAAAGGGCCTGAGAAGGATAAATGTTAAATTAGAGAATGTCTAAGTTTTGATTCTGATTTCAGTTTTTAATACGGCAAAAAGGAGACAGGAGATGATAATAAAATTATCATATAATTTTCATAGAGGAAATTAATATTGCGTGCTGGAAGTTTGACAATTTTCATTGACTTTATTTATTCTCTATTTAGATCAATTAAGGATAGTCCGTATACGAAATTGCATAGATTTGGATCATTTTCTCCGATCAGAACTTCTGAATGCAAATGGTATATAGATGGGGATAAATATTTTGAAGATGTCTGTGATGCCATCTTGAAAGCAAAATAAACAATCTACATAACTGATTGGTGGCTGAGTCCAGAGATGTATTTAAAGAGACCTGTAGATGTGAGGAAATACGCTTAATCTAGTGAGTTTCTGTATACTAGACTTGATAATGTATTGAAATTAGCAGCTGATAAGGGAGTCTAAGTTTTGGTATTATTGTACAATGCTCTACTATCCTTTTTATATAATGACCCAAAACATGCGAAGATGTAATTAGAAAGTATGTCTCCAAATATTAGGGTTTTAAAGCATCCACCTTAGAAAATACCAAAAATCTTTTCTCATCATGAAAAAATGGTAGTAATAGATTAAAAAATTGGATTTATGGGTGGTTTGGATTTATGTTTCGGAAGGTGGGATACTTAAAAACATCCTTTATTTGAGGTTCATCCTTTCGAATAACTATGGCCTTAAATAGATTTTTCAAATTCTAGAGTTCGAGATTTCTTTGATGTAAGAAATTATGAGGCGACTCTTCTGAAAGAAAATGAACCAAGAATGCCTTGGCATGACATTGCAATTTGTAAGAATTCCTTTTATATTATAGAGATTTAAGGAGACACAGTAATAGATTTATCTAGACACTTCGTTCAATATTGGAATCATGTGATGATGACCAAATAAAAGAAGAAGAAATAGCAATTAATACATGCCAACGATTTAAAAATGGAAGGATTTGTGCCTTCCAATACTTCTAGTTTTGTTGATTATTCGAATGTAGTTTATACAGGAAGAAAAGAATCTTTAATTCAGATGAAACAACCTATACTATTAGATGAAATAAAAACACAAGAGGTTTAAATAGAAATGAATCAGACTATAAAATAATAAGAACAAATTGAATCTTAACAACAATCCAATGCACAACAATTTATTCAATAACAATATAAGGATTTCCAAAATTATTAGAAGCATGAAAAAATGTTTATTCCAACATAAGAAGATGATGAAGAAGATGAAGATCAGAATTATTACATTTTATAAACTCAATAATAACAAATTCAGAATAAACAGAAAAGTAAAATGAAAATAGAGAAATCTGAACTCAAAAATTAAGGGAATACTGAAGGAATATAAGCAAGAATTAATTTAGAGTTTTTCATTCCTCACATTGACATAAATTAAAATTAATGTAATCTTTTTTCTTAATTTTTATAGAAAGTTGTATAACATAATTGACAAGATCATCTTGTAAATGGTCAACTGGTATTAAATAAACTGAAAAGTCTATTTAAAATGCTTATCTCTCACTTATTGAAGATGCTAAGCATTTCATTTATATTGAAAATCAATTCTTTATAAGTAACACAGCTGGCTATCCTGTTAAAAATTTAGTTGCACAAGCTCTCATTTCTAGAATCAAAGATGCACATGAAAAATAATAGAGATTCAAAGTTATCGTATTTCTTCCTCTTTTACCAGGATTTGAGGGAGAAATTGATCAATCCAATAGTGCTGTCCTAAAAGTTCAATTGCATTTTGAATATCAAACCATGAGTAGAGGGGGCAAATCTATAATCGAATAATTAAAATAAGAAGGAATCAAACCAGAAAATTATATTTAATTCTTTGGACTTAGATAGCATGAATTATCTCCTTAACCTAACTCAATACCTGTAACTGAAATAATATATATTCACTCCAAATTAATGATTATTGACGATCAAATAGCATTAATAGGATCTGCAAATATCAATGATCGAAGTTTGCAAGGAAATAGAGATTCAGAACTTGCTATAATTGTTTAAGATTAAGTAACAGTTGATACTATCATGGATGGCTAACCTTATGTAGCATCTAAATTTGCACATACTCTTCGTACTTCACTTTACATGGAACATTTTGATATGCCATACGAAAAAGTCATTGATCCCTTGAATTTATAATTTGAAAAAGAATCAACAGCATAAGCAAACATCAACACAAGAATGTATAAATAAGTCTTTGCATGTTATCCTCATGATGACATCAGGAAAGTATCGGATTATTAAGAGGTACTTTATTATTTCATTACTTTTAGTTTAAAGCAAATAAACATCTAGATGAATATGATTAATTCAAGTCGTTCATTAAAGGTCATGCTGTAATTTTCCCGTTATAATTTTTATGTGAAGAAGATTTGAATATAAAAGTTACTTAAAAAGAATATTATGTGCCAGAAAATAGTTTTACGTGATATTTGTATAATTATACATTAAAATATAATTGTATTACATTTCTAATATCATCATTAATCATTTATTTGTAAATTTATAATATTTGAATAAATAACTGCAAATATTCATTTATTTTTGGATATATTTCTGTTTAGTCTCAATACACCCATAAATTACCCTTTTTTTAATTCCTTATCCATTTTCCTTAAGGAATTTCCATTTAACCGTTCAAATGATGAGGTTAATATTGCTTTTACACGTTAATGTATTAATTGATATGATCATATTTATTTCATCTCTAATCAAACTCTTTTATTTTTATTTATCATCTGATATTTTTTTGTTTGTCTCTTTTTTAATGATAGCATAAATGAATATATTTGCCTTTCTTAATTTAAAAGGGGTTATTAATAAAGTTTTAAGATTATTATTTTATAATATTTTTATTCTTTAATATAAATAGAGTAATTCGATCATAAAAATTTAAGCACTTTACCTTCTACGGTCCTCAGTCTATCATTTTACTAATGATTCTACCATTTTCTTACATATTCTAAGCTATCAACAATAAAACATATAAAATTAATTTAACATATAAATTCAGGGGAGAAGAATATTATTCCAATATCTGACTTTGATTTTTATTTAATTCTTTATATTTCTAATTCATTTATTAAATATGTGTAAAGTGAGAATTAGGTTCTTATTTAAAAAATGCAACAAATAAAATTTGCAATTTTTTATTCAGTCACATTTTATGAAGTATAAAATCGAAGTGGCGTGGTTGATAATTATATTGTTAATCATTAAACAATAGGAAAGTTTTATAAAATCATGTTATTTTATTTATAATTGAATAATAATTAATGTTTGATAGATTCGGACTTTTAGAGCCATATCGATCTTAATCTGAAATCATAAAGATCAATAACCATTCGATTTGGCTTGGTGATTATTCAGCAGCATTAGATATTGTTGGTTTAAAGGTTAATAATATAAAAAGTGTATTGTCAATTATTCATTCAATGGATGTGAAATATACAGACATCAATCATAAAATCATTTATATAAAGGATAAACCAGATATTGATATATTCTAATATTTTGATGTAACGAATGAATTTATTGAATCAGCTTTATAATAAGGTTCATTATTAGTTCATTGTTCAATGGGAATAAGTCGATCACCTGCTATTGTTATAGCATATATAATGATGAAATTCAAATATCCGTTTTCAAAAGCTTATCATATCGTTAGAAAGTAAAGACCAATAATTTGCCCAAATTTCGGATTTTCCTTCCAACTAAAATAATATGAGAGGATTTGTATATAGCCTAAAATAATGCCTGAAGTTGTGTATAAAGAATTCAAATGCCCACCTATTTAGTAGGTTAGAAGTATAAGTTTAAGGAAGTCCCCATAACAGCAGTTTATCAATAGTTAAGCTTAGAGTGAAAGACAATAATGTAATACAAATACGTCTCTAAGTGCAAGTTCAGAAAGGAAAACAATACACTAGAAAAGAAAATAAAAAGAGAGGAAGTTACCGTAACTTCAACCTTAAATTAATTTTGTTTCTTTCAACACAATCAAAGAATTTGCATAGAAACTTAAAGCCTCAAGATAAAATCAAATATTATATGATTGATGTTTATATATCTTATTACTAAATAAATATACTAAAACTTGCTTATTTATTTTAGAATTAAGTAACAGGTTTATGATTAATGAATAGAATTATGATGAATAGTTGGTTACATAAATTTAATCATATTCAGTAACAAATAATTGATTGTTTATTAATTGCTGAATTATTCATCTTCTTTGTCTATTATTTTTAAACAAATTTGATATGCACTTGCAGTATCTTTAACAAAAACTTACAGGTTAACGAAATGACCTTCTCAATCCACTGAATTTCAGGATGTGATCTAATCCTTACTATGCCCAATCCCGAATATCGAATTCATAAATATCAATTTCGAAATTAAATTATAGACATTATAAAACATTTGATAAAAATCTTAAACTAGATGAGTATATTAAGTCATAGTGTTGTTATTCTAGATGCTATTAAATGGCTATATTAAGATACCTTTATGTCTCTGTATACGGTCTCACTGAAATATTCAGCATCTGTCTGATATAGTTCTTCAAAGTTGGATGCCTCAAAGTCGACTTGTTTTATTAAGAAGAGCAGGTCCTTTAATTGATCAACCATCTATTAGTACAATTCTTCAAACTTCTTCAACAAATCTACCTTCTCTTCTAATGGAGACAAACCCTTAATTAACTAAAAACAAACCTGCTAAAATTTCGATTAGATGCATATTATAGTACGCTTCTAGATGATTCAAGTAAGAGGACTTTCCTTTTTATATCGAATTAGTAATAGATTGAGAAACGCTGTTATTAAAGGATGATCTACTCTTCCCTAAACTTCTTGTAAATCTGTTGTTTGTTGACGCAGGCTCTGTAGCTTCCTATCCAGTTTTTTGGCGACTATCTAATCCTTAATAATGATGAATGCGATTCATTTAATTATATTTTATGATATTTTGTATGTTCTAAACAAAAATAAAACAACATTTTAATGAGAACTATAAGAAATTACTAAATTAATACACTCTCGAATAGTTAATTCCCAAGAAGTAAAATTTCAATAATGATAATCCATTCAAATTTAAATTATAAGAACTCTAATGTAATCTCTATCTTTTGGACAAAAGACTGTTTATGCTAATCAGAACCCCGTTCTCTAAGATTTGGGTCTGTAAAATATGTAGCAGCATAACAAATGATGGGTTAAAACTGCTTATTAGATTATTATTAGATTATTAGGAACTTTTGAAGATAAATTTATATTTGATTATTCTATATACATAGAGTTTAGTCAGTAGCTACCTTAAAAAAAACTGGTTGATGTATTTCTAGTCCAACAGTTTATAGTTGGACTATTATCTTTACTTCTTTCTATAATAGGCAATCTAATGCTAATTTTTTTCTGCTCTTTAGTTTAAGATTCATTACACATTGAGATGTGGCATACACATTTAGATGGTAATCTCTATGGCTTTGTTTATATCCTTGGAGTGTTTTTCACGCTCATCGAAGAAGGTTAAATTATTTTGAGACAAGAATTGCAATCAAAGTCAGGCAATCTTCGATATTTGCAACTTCTCTATTATCTTGGCTTTTTTACTCTTGTCTTTTAGACTTGAATTTGATAAAACATTAATGAATTGTTATCAAGGTTGATGGTTGGGGGTATTTTTCTTTCTTTTTAGAATTTGCAAAATTGATTTTGTTGAGAGAAAAGGTGAATAGGTTCAAACTGTGGTAAGTCCTAAAATCTGTCAATTATATCGATATTATAAAATAGAGGAGTGTGTAAAGGAGGTTCTATACTAAATTATGTAATGCTCATAATGTAAAATTAGTTTAATATATTAATATAGATTATGGCATTTATACTATAGAGCTTTTAAACTCAATATCTAATAGACATATCAGAATGATAACTATGGAAATAGGTAGTTATTTGAATAACTTAAGATTTTTGAGATTATATAAAAGATTATTAACTTACGTTGTGCCTTGATAAATATAAGATTTTTGTAAATAGTATATATTTAATTGATAATTAATATGAAACACGATTTTATTAAGGAAAGGGATTTCAAAATAATCGAAAAAATCGGAGAAGGTGCCTTTGGTTAAGTATATAAAGGATTGTACAAGGGAGAAGAAGTTGCAATAAAAGTAAAAATTTATTAGATTCATAGTCGATGCAAGGTGCTTAATTATAAGAAAACTCTATTATGGAGAATCTTAAGCACAAAAACATTATTAAATTTTACAAAGTAGCAATAGTCATGATTAATGTAGTACTTTAAACAAGGAAATAATCAATACTTGGTGATGGAATATGCTGGAGGTGGTTCTCTTAGTGATTACATGAAATAAAGTTTAGATGAGGAAACAATAAGCACAATTATGAGATCTATATTTGCAGCTGTAGAGTATCTCCATTCTCAATAGATAATCCATCGAGATATTAAACCAGGTAAGGCTTTTGAATATTATACATTATTAGATAATATCTTAATAAAAAATAGTGAAGATCTTTCGAGTGTTAAGATTGCTGACTTTGGCTTAAGTTACTAGTATATGCCAGAAATTCGATATTATCAAACAGTTTCGTAATAATGTGGCACATTTATATTTATGGCACCTGAATAAATATTAAATAAAGCATACAATAAAGCTGTTGATATGTGGTCATGTGGTGTCGTCTTATATATGTTATTAAATCAAGGCGAGCATCCATTTTATCCTCGAATTTCAACCAAAAAGGAATTCATCAATAGTTTTCCAGATCTAAAATATGAACAACCTTTCCATGCATCATTATTGGCAAGAGATCTTCTCTAAAGACTACTGCAATATGATTAGGATTCTCGATACACTGCAGCATAGGCATTGGTTCATCCATGGATCACTCGAAATTTTAGTCAACCTATTCCAATGAGTGTAAAAGAATTTGGCATTTGTCAAGAATAAAAAAAGAAAGTATAAGTTTTTGAGTACAATTAGTTTTTTCAATTTTTAAAAGCTTTATTATTTTTAAATCAAGTTCAAGAAGATTCAATCAAACAATCCCCTATCCAATCCAAAACTGATTTAGGAGATTTTAAGATATCAATTGTCGAATTTGATGAAGACAACTATGAACAAGAATATTAAGATACGAACAGTCCTAAAAATTAGCAATTCTTAAATAAGTTATCCATTCAAAGACCAAATAAAATTTTAAAATCCTATCGCACTCTTAATAACATCCCTTACAAAGGCAAACATTATCAATTAAATTCAATTCTAAATTAAACCAATGAGTCACCAATCAGAGATTTTAAAAAACTTAAATTTTAACAGCAATTTAGCATTGACAATGATTAAATAGTTATTCCAAAAGATCCAGAATCTCCAAAAAAATAACTAAGAGGTACCTAATCAAATAAACTACTCCTGCCTGCATTAACAGAATCAACATAAGTTTCTCTTAGTCCAATAAAGCAGAAATAAAAACCGCATATTAAACAAAACTCCTTTAGAAAATCAGAAACTTCCTTTTTTATGGGTTTAAATAGGTTGAATAATGATTCTGCTTTAGAGACAGGAACTTTTAGAAATAGAGTTGAGACATATGATAGAACTCAAATCCCAATTATAAACACTTAGAGATTTTATGGAAGAAACACAATTACACATTTAGTAACATCTCCCAAGAATAGCATTGCTACATCAACCAATCTTCTTCTTCCAAAGAAAATAATATGATAAAAGTTTAAATATGAATAAATAAAATCAACCTAATGATGATCTTTATTCTTCGCTTTGCTATATATTTTTAACCTTTGTTTTTTAATTTTATTTTAATATAAGGATTGTTATATTTATCTAAATTAAATTATTGAAAAATTAGTGTCAATTAACTCAAATTCTCTAATCTTAATAGTTTTTACTTATATTAATGAAATTGTTTTTGGGTTATTTATTTTTAAATATTCGAAATTCTAAAATTAGATTTTATATTTTCCCATTAATTTTGGATTTGAATATTTGTAAACAAAATTAATTTAGGATTGGAATCATTATTTTAAGAAAGATAAACTTCTTAGTAATTTACGAAATAATTTTGTTTATTAATATTTTTATTAATCATTCAAAATTAAGTGAAACTTAGTAAAAAATTAAGTAAATTTAAGATATTTTTTTTTTGAGGAGGATTGAAGAAAAATATGTTAAAATGTTAAATAAATATATTTTATCAATCTTAATTTTATTGATTAAAGTCATTTTCTTATTGCAGTTCCTATTGATTTTTTTTCTCTAATAGATCTATGATTATTATAAATAATTACCTTAATTGAGTATTATTTGAGAATTTGTTAGTAATTATTATTACAATTCTTCGATAAATTTATCTTTTCTCTGAGAATCTTCTAAATTGTCACTATTTATTTTTTTTAATTCATCATTCTCTTACAATATTTAACTCATTCTCTAATAGTATTCTTATTGTTAAATTTCATCTAATTATGCTTGGAGTTATGACATATTGTGTTTCAAATACAATATTTCCTATTTCAATTATGAAACATATTCATTATTTTCTTAAAATTGATTATCTTCGTTTTAGTTATAATCTCCTTCTTATTATTACGTTTTTTGTTTACTATATTCTTATAATAGAGAATTTTTATTATCTATTTCTTAATTCAATTCATCAATTTATTAAAGCGCTTATCCTAATCTATTATAGGCCTCTAAAAATCATATTTAGTTAGATACCTGTATAATACATAGTAAGTTCTTCATATTTTATTTTAAATGCTGTAAAATTTTGAACTTCTTATTTGAGATTCCTTTCATTTTCTTCATATTCTCCTATTTCATCAGCCAATTGTTATAAATTGTTCTTCCATTCTTTAAGGAATTAGTATTAATTTATTTGTTTCTCTTAAACAACCATATTATCATCATCATCATCTTCTTCTTCTTAATCTTCAAATTCTAATTTCCTAATTTTAGAGGATTTGTATATTTTTGTTAATTCTTATAAAAACGTTTATTGACTTTTAATTAGATCATTATTCTTTCTTCTTTCTTCATTTAATTCTATCAATACTAGATAAATAGAATATATTGTTACATTCTTCTTTCTCTAATTAATCAATTTAATGATGATTTTAATTTACCATGTATTCCTTTTTAGAATGTCCATTTTAGAATTAATCTTTTTAATTTTCTTCTGTATATTCTATTATCATAGTGGAATCTTCTTAATTTGGTGACATCTTTTATATTTAAGATATATATTGAGTTAATTCTATAATTTTTTTTTCGTTTTATAATTTTTCATTTTGTAATTTTTAAATTAACATCCTGTATGATTTAATTTCTTCGATATGTTCATTTTTTAATTAATTATTAAGATCTAATGATTGCTATTATTATTTTTGAGAGGTCTTTTCATTTTGATAATTCGGATCCTTATTTTCCTCTAGTCCAATCTTTAAATGTATGCAAATAATTACCTATTGTTTTTATTCGTTTTATGATTGGTTTAATATTTAAATCGTGTGGAATTATTCATTTGTAATAGAATTTACATCCAACTTTAATTAATTCTCTAAATCATTCTTTTATAAATCATCCAATTCAACTATTTTCTATTAGTTAATTATATTTTTTGCCGCAGTTTTCTCAAGTTCTTATTGCTTCTTTTGTTTTTTTTCAGTTTCTTAATTCTGCTCAAATTACATATCTTATTTTTTAATCTAATCCTTTTTAGTCAATAATTGAAATTCTTGCTTTTTTTTACCCTACTAACAAATATTTAGTTTATTTACCAAATTTTTTTTAAATTAAATAATTTAATAGCCAGAATCTTATAGAACTTTTGTAAAAATCTAATGTTATGATTTTTACTTGATCTATTCAAGATATTTTAATTTAATCGATTGTTCTTAACATTTTAATCTTAAAATGTAGTTTTTTTTTTCCAATTCTTAATTCTTAATTATGAGTTTTTCTATTAGTTCAATATACATGATTTTCTATTCAATAAAAACAGTCTCTTGTATCGAATTCAAATCAAACATGATCATGACCTTAAAGATGAGCGAATAATTTTTATTTAAAATAATTAAATTTTATTTTCATTTTTATTTCATAATAAATGCACTTCTATTGATAGAATTAGATTTTAAATTTATATAATATAATCCTCAAATATTAAGACAAGACATTTTCATTGACATTTTTTGTAAATAATATATTTATCAAAGGAGTTTATCTCGAATTTTTAATCCATACCTTTTATAGATTTGTTAACAAAGTGTTATTAGTTTTCGTCTTGTTCTAATAATGAGCATTTCACAGTGATCATTATATTTGAGTTTTCTGACTGGGTTAGATCACAAATATAGAGAGGTTATACATTTAAGTTGTGGTTACATTTGAAATATTTCTAAGCCATCATAGGGATTAAGGATGAGTCATCTACATCTTGGACAGGCATTTAATCATCAATTAGAAAAACCTAGGTTTTACTATTAATTAAATAATATTGTAAAATAATCTTATGAGATGCATAATTAGGCAATCTAGATGGTTCCTTTTGCAACCATAAACTAAATAATAAGTATTCTTAAGTGCAATGATGCATTTAAAATCCTAAATCTGAAATCAATTATGATAAATTCAATTGATGTTTATCTAATCTTAACCAGATGGCATTCAAATTTTTGTTAATGCTATCCTACAATATTTGTTCTAATTTCTATTTTAATAATGTTTGGTTGACCAAATACTTGTCCAAACTTTAAGGGTTTATGTGAAGACAATCATAATTATCAACTTTTTGGATTAATGAAAAATAATACTTTTTTGTTATTCTTTACATAATTTAATACAAAAATTTAACTTAATTAGACTTAGTTGCTTTTTGATTTTTTATCACAAACATTTATCAATTATCTTCTAAGTGTATGAATTGAAACTCATTTTTAATTAGAATTAAAATTATCTCATATGCAATTTTAAATCTGAATTAACAATATTTTTTCAGCCTTTAGATCAATTTGTAATCATCATTCATTTATTTAAGAATTAAAATTTATGTATGAAAATGCTTTTGATTGAAAATAAAAACATTAATATTAATTTTAATAGAATTCTAAATTATTTATGTACATTTAAGGTGATAAGACATTCATTTAAAGATCTTATAATAGATTCAACTAAATTAATAGGACAAGGATAATTTGGCATTATCTTAGAATGCACAACAACTGTAAAAGATGATATAAAATATTGTGCGAAAGTAAAATTATTTTCCAATAACAGATGATTAATCTCAATAGTTAAAATGAAAAGTTTTGTTAGAGAGAAAAAGAGATATCTGAATTCATTAAGAACAATTAAGGCAATATAAATCTGGTCTCTGTTTTTCATGTCGAATATCTTGAGAAGCAAAAATAGTTTGTAATAATTATGGAAAGGTGTGATTCTAATTTAAAGGACTTATTGTATAAAAAATAGAAATTAAATGACTAAGAAATTAGCGACTTTCTAATTCAATTTCTTAATGGTTACAAGTTCCTCTATAATAATAAAATTGTTCATAAGGATATCAAACCAGATAATATATTATATTCAAAATAAAATAGCTCTATTATTTATAAAATAGGAGATTTTGGACTTGCAAAAGTCTACAAAAACAATTAGACTACTAATGATTTTAGTCGAAACGGCACTCCAGTCTATTCTGCCCCAGAAGTCAGTGTAATTAATACAGATTAAGAAATATAGAAAAAATTATTGGAAATGAAAAGTATTCATGCCAAAAGTAGGATTGACATTTATTCAGTAAATAATTCATAATAATAGAAAGCTTGGAATAATATTATATTAAATGATTTTTGGAAATTTTCCTTTTGATTTAAATAATTATTCAATTTCCAAATTTTTTGAACATATTAAGCAGCATCCCTTTAAAATTCCAGATAAAAGTTCTATTCATGCAAATCTTGTAGAAAAAATGCTTGTTTATGATCCCACGTGCAGACTAGACTTTTCAGAATTATTTAAAAGTTACAATATAGATATTCTGCCTTAGAATATTATTAATTAACCGAAAGTGTTAATATAAAAAAACGAGTTGTTTAACATTGATAATCTCTAAAATATCAAGCACCCCATTCCAAATAACAGCAAATTTAACTTATCTAATTAATTTAACTAACAAAACTAATAACCCGAATTTAATTAATAACACTAATAAAACTAATTTAACTAATAAAACTAGTTTAACTAATAAAACTAATTTACCTAATAAAACTAGTTTAACTAATAAAACTAATTTAACTAATAAAAATAATTTAACTAATAAAACTAATAAACCTAATAAAAAAAATTTACCTAATAAAACTAATTTAACTAATAAAACTAATAAACCTAATAAAACTAATTTAATTAATAGAACTAATTTAACTAATAAAAATAATTTAACTAATAAAACTAATAACACTTCTTTAACTAATAAAACTAATTTAACTAATAAAACTAGTTTAACTAATAAAACTAATTTACCTAATAAAACTAGTTTAACTAATAAAACTAATTTAACTAATAAAACTAATTTAACTAATAAAAATAATTTAACTAATAAAACTAATAAACCTAATAACACTAATTTAACTAATAAAACTAATTTAACTAATAAAACTAGTTTAACTAATAAAACAAATTTACCTAATAAAACTAGTTTAACTAATAAAACTAATAAACCTAATAAAACTAATTTAATTAATAGAACTAGCTTAATTAATTTAATCGAGTCTCAAATAATTTAATAAATAAAATAGTCACAACCATCAAATAAGAAAATCCTTATTAAAATATAAAAGATTTCCTCAATTATTTAATGTAAATTTAAGTATTAACAATAGGTGTGATCTTTTTAGTGCCTTAAATGAACCTATGAAATAATTAATTGAAAATATAAACAAATCGCCTTAAATTAATTAATTTTAGATTTAATAACTTTAGTAATAATTTCCTTTTGAGCTTTTAAAATTAGACAAATATGAAGAGAGAACTCTGAAATTTTATTATTCTCTTATATGTATACTCAGGAAACCCTAATAGTGTTCTCTTGATTATTCAAATATTAATTTAATTAAGAGTGATCTAAGAAACTTTTATTTAAAAAAAACATGAGTCATTAAATATGTGATTTTTTGATATTTATAACATAAGGGTTTAAATACTTTTCTTTTAATTAATAAATCAATAAAGGGTTAGCCTTTTTCTTTCTTCTTCAAAGACAAATAGCCCTCATTATTCTAAGCTTTCATTTACTTTATTTCAAAAAGAATTTATTCTAAAAGTATACCTGATTCTAATTCATCATCTATTATTCTCATATTTGAAACAAATTATTCAATATATATTTGATTGATTTTAAAAGATATCTCCTAATTGATGATCCTTTTTGTAAAAATAGTTTCATGTATAGCTTGATGAATTTTAGATCCTTATATATTATTTCCTCTTTATTCCTTTTACGTATATAAGGTCCTCAATTTATTGAATTTCTTAATAGCTACATTTACCTAAGGTATTTGTTTATAATTTTAGCTTAATTTATCAAAACCCAAAAATCCCTCAATCATTCACCACAATTAAAGGGGTTACTTCAGAAGTGATTAATGTCCATTCTTCTCTTTTATTATTATTAATTTATTATTGAAAATGTAAAGAGTGTTTTCATAAATGGGGAGAATTGCAATTCCTTACCCAAGACTGTTGTCATCATCAAACTTATATTCACCATAAGTCTACTTATAGGCTTTACGTATTCAGAGGCATCAGATTCCTCAGAGTTAGATTTTGACATCTATTTCAAGAGATAATACAATTAATCATTATTGTGAATAATCGATAGCAGTTTTAGATTGTCTGAGTAAGAAAAAGAAAAGAGCCAGAAAGAAGTAAATCAGAAGAAAGGGTAACAAAATTATCAATTCCAGAAATAGATGAGCTATCATATTAATATTACATATATATATATAATATATAAATGGGTTAGTGTAAATGTGCAACATAATGTTGTTAAAAGGACGAAATAGCATCATAAAAAATATCTACAAGATCTATTTAAGTTTCCATCAAACATCACAAACTTTAGAAGGATTAGACTTCTGATTAAATTGATGCTTTGGTTCAAGATGACTTAGACTCAGGCATTATGAAAAATTCAATGAACAGCAAAGTTTCAATTCAAGAGATTTCTAAAAACTTGGTATCAAACAAATAGCCGATGCCCTAATAAGTTAAAGACACCATTTAAAGTCAAGAACGCAAATTACTTCCTGTACATAATATTTCAATAATTAGATGATGTTAATGCCTAATGGAACTAAATATGAAGGACAATGGCTAAATGGTATGAGAGATGGCTATGGAAAGTAGATATGGCCAGATGGATCAATCTATGAGGGCCAATGGAGACAAGACAAATCAAATGGTTAAGTAAATCAAATCTAATATGAAGGGAAAATTGATTCATGCTGATGGAGATATTTATGAAGGAGAATGGGTTGATGATGCAGCATGCGGAAAAGGAACCTACGTTCATTATAATGGAGCTAGATATGAAGGCGAATGGCTTAACGACAATCAACATGGATATGGCATTGAAGTTTGGCCTGATGGAGCCAAGTATTAAGGTCAGTATTAATTTGGTAAAAAAAATGGAAAAGGATAATTAACCTTTATTGATTAAGCATATTACGAAGGTAGATTTAATTATTAATTAATTAGGTAATTTCATTGATAACGAAATTTCTGGCTTTGGCATTTATAAATGGACTGATGGAAGAGAATATGTTGGTAATTGGTTAGATAATAAAATGCATGGAGAAGGTACTCTTAAATGGCCAGATGGAAAATGTTACAAAGGAGTATCTTAATTAAATATTTAAGAATTATTAATAAGATAAGAAATAAGGCAGAGGAGTATTCTATTTTGGAGACGGTAGGAAATATGCAGGCACTTGGATAAACGGAAAATAATGTGGCATTGGAATATTTTATTAGACTCAAAATTAATATAAAATCGGAATATGGAATAATGGATAAAGAACGAAATGGCTCAATGATGAAGAATTAGAAAATCATAAAGATGAAGTCACTCAGCTTTTAGAATTGTGAATTTTATAACTACATTTAATATTTTTAATATATTATAACAGTCATGTCAAAGGGTTATCAAGCCTCTGTCACTTCTTTAGGATAGATTACATAATAGTAAGAAGTAAATAATCCGATGGCGGAATCTAAATTGGCTTCTAGTGTAATCAAAGTACCCAAACTAATTCAAAGTTGCAATGAATTCAATACTCACAACATTCCAAAAGTATTACTTTATAAAAGAACAATTAGATCAATTGTTACAATCATCAAGGTTACACTTATACAAACTTCTGCTAACTTGAATCATGTTGCTTTCCATTATGTCCTGAATGTATTCCTTAACATGTCCAGGAGCATTTTGAATCTCAGTCCAAACCGAAATTAGATAGTATAGAAAATGTCTTAAATAAAGTCTAAATGACAGTCTTTAATGAAGGTAAAACTTAACAATATCTAAAAGCAAATAAGTTGGCATCTTTCTCTTAGAACATTGCAAATTCTGTATTTATGGCCGATCAAATGAATATGTAATGCATTAAACTTTTAAATGAGAAGAAGGAACGAATTATTAAGATTATTGATTAATATTTCAATTCATTGCTCATTGAAGTATAAGGGAAGCATTAAAAAAATATTGAAAATTATAAAAGAGATGCACTCTTTTTCTAATAAGTCATTATTGATAGGCATAATTCGCACGTTGAATTATTGGATAACTTAAAGAATTCTGATTGCATGAGACCACTTATAAGATTTTTGAAATCCAAGACTCTTTAAGAAAACGAACAATATTTTATATAAGCATAAGAATTTACAGAACGTTATGCTCACTATTAAACAAAAGTTAGTTTTGATTCGGAGAAATCGTATTTATTAATATTCATCTTAGTGCTTAATTGGGTGGATTTATTTCTGAGTTTCTTAAAGTGGTTAATTATGATTTACCAGAATATGTGAATATACATAAGTTGGCACCTCCAGAGATAACCACTTAGAAATCTAATGCTGGAACAGCTAACAATAGTAAAGCATCAATAAGATAATCTGAACAGAAGATTTCTTAGGTTTAATCGAGGAGTGGACTTGAAATCTCATAGTAGGCTTAATACATGAATCAATCAACTAACATTAACAACTATATGCAACAAAGTTAGCAATAATTTGGATCACAGAGGTAAATGCGTAACAATTATGGAGAATATCCAAGTTTGGGTAATTTTGGATCAAGAAGGAATTGATTATTCTAAAAATATCTATATATAAATATAGTATGAATTAAATAAATCAATATTTAATAGTGTCTGTTAAGGACAACTTAAAAGTATTTGTTGAATATGGTTGTGTTTTTAATCTCTCCCATATATTTTAATTAATTGGCTTGTTGAACTAAACCTACAATGACGTACTTTTAGCATGAATGTTTTGTTTTGTCTTCTTTTCCAATTCTTGGTATTTTGATTTCCACATATTGATTTCTTATTCTAAATTCTTATTCTATTATCTCAATTGTGAATGACTTAAGTGTAATTAATTATATGCAGCCAATAACAGCTCAATTTATATCATCTCTTTTGATTTTGAAATATTGATTGTTGACGATTCCTTCAATTGCTTTGATAATTTCTCAACCACTATTTACTTATTGATCTTTTGGTTCTATTAATTTTACTACTTTAAGTGAATTAACTAAAATTTGCAATCCTACAATCTCGATCTTGGAGTGGACATTTAATCACTAATCAGTTCAGAATTAAAGTATGTCTTATCTCTGATAATTGGAATCTAGAACTTTTTGTCACTTTTTGATGTCAAAGGAGGCTTCGATTAAATTCTTGAGCCTATCTGGGTTTCGAATTGTATTGAATCATTCAACTTAGGTTTCACACTACTTTTCAAGCTGTGTGTAAAACTGAAAGAGAGATCACTAATATTCTAGTCGATTGGCTCTGTCTTATACTGTTTGCCAATACTTTGGGGAAGAAATTCTTTGATTTCACTATCAGTAATCATTATAAATATAAATATATTCAGATAAACTCATTAGATTGATTTTATCATAATTTTTAAGGTTTCAAATTATATAGTCTCTAATTTTACTCAAAAAAAGGAGTTGCTATAGTTTTATAATTAAAAGTCATCATTTCCATAAATTTATACTCCTGTCTAAATCTAATATTTTTTAATGTACACGTATTAAATTAAATCTTATTTCATTCTCCTTTGGAATGTCGTTATTTCGATTATAGTACAGTATTTAAAAGTGAGAAGATAATGAATATTGGTAATTTTACTATATAATATTTGTAATTAACTCCTCATACGGTTTTTTTAAGCTACTGGAATCACAGCATTGGAAAGACTGTTGTTTCTTCCTTAAATGCATATCATATTCTTCCAATAAATATATGGATGTCTGTGAAGTTAAAATTATCAATTATTGAATTTCTCTTCCAGTGCCCTTTTTTACTATTAGAATATATTAGTATCATAAATAATCAATATGCAAGCTAAATCCTATCGATTAGAGCATTTAAATTTTACAATTAGTTAACTGTATTATAAATGATGAGAATTGATTGATTCGTCATGTTAAACATTACATAAGAGAGGTTAATTTTACAGTAATTTTAATGCCATTGCAATTGGTTACATCTTCTAAAAGGTAGTATTGATTTGCATAGGTACTTTAATAATTTTAATTAACATTTGAATGAATTGAATTTAGTATTAACATTAGTGTGACTTCAGTTTAACAATTATAAACTAATAAGCAATTTTATAATTAATTATGTAATATCAATTATATATTAAACTTAATTATTAAAAAATAAATAAATGGATGATAAGCTTTATTGATTCATCATTTAATTTTATATATTTTTAGACTACTTTTGGATGTTATTTAAATATATAGAACCATATTTAAGTAAATCCATATTAATAAAATTATTCTACTATAAATAGAAATGTGAACAAATAAACAAATCAACCTTGATTTGTTTAATAGATGTCATTGGCGAAGAACTCTTTTGTTTAAAAAATGAAGCGCTTGGATGCTTTCTGGTGTAAAGATCTCGCCATTCTATTCTCGAATAACAATTTCCTTGTATGACATCAACTCAATCTCTTCAACTTCTTTAGGGTCTTAGATAAAGTTGATTATCTATCCATCATAAAATGTATAAAATATTTATCCCCAGATTTTATTTTTCTTACTTTCAAAATAGAAAGAATTGATATATGTCAATTCCAAGTCTAATCCTGTTTCTTAAATTAATTTTCTTTTAGCACATTAACGATAATCTTCAGTTTCTAGAACAATTCCAGTAAAACATGTGCTAAATGTCCCAGGTTAGTATTATTTTGATTATGAACGCTTATGACAAAAGATTCTGAATGTCTACTTCTCGATGACGAATAAAAAAGTTGCTTGATGAATTACTTTAGATAATAGTTTGTAATCAATAGAAATGAAATCTTATTAATAATTATTACTATTTATTACCTATAACATGATTGTTGATGTCGACAACTTTGGCTTTTATTAATTCAGATTCATTTTAATTATCCTTCATAATTAATTACAATTCAAAATATAAAAATAATTTTTGATTTGCAAATCATTATGTAACATATTCCTATGATGCACTTATTAGTTTATGAAACATTTAACATTGGTACAACAATTGTTATCTAAGGTAAAAACATAGACTGTATATTCTATATTGATATATAGTATTATATATATTCTCATTTCATCTTTGATCAAATTTCTCATTTTTCTTTTAAATCAAATTCTGAATGGATTAGTATAATTGAATCCAAGAAGATCAATTCTATAAATTTACTACGATACTGAAATGGTTCAAGTGAATATTATAGCACTATAATTTCTTTAATAAACAAGATATTCTAAACTTTAATAATTACTTATTTTTGGATTATTAAACTTCAAGTGAATTGTAAACTGTGGTTTAATATTTTCAGAATTTATGTGAAACCAAATTAAGCCATAATCAAACTCACTTCAAAGGTGTTAGGCAAATTTAAAATATTTAATTCACATGAATTATCTATTGTAAACATATTTAGTAAATGTATAATAGGGAGAAATAAAATAACATCATGGAGTTCTTTTGATGGCTTCAAAATACTCATACTGATGTATTACTTTTTCTCCCACTTTAATTTAAACATATAATTTAGAGTCATTCTTGTTTAACGTACACCCAGCCCTTTTGGACTCTGAATATTCATCCATGTTAATTTATTTTTTCTTATGACAATGTAGTATTGTTTTCGCAGTGGCATAGTTAATGTTCAGGTCTTTTGCTATCTGAAAAATCTTAAGAAATTTTACTTTCTTAATTTTGCATTTCTATCTCAGTACTGTATGAATCAACTTAGCTTTGGTTTCTTTTGAAATATGAGTATAAACTCGTTTTGGCTTCATTTCATGCTATTTCTAATATACTTTCATAGATCTAGTTTTCATTCCTAAAACTGATTTCATCCCAATAACACTTTCGTCAATATTCATTAGATTTATATATTATTATAATGAAATTGGAATGTCTTGAGATTTAAATTGATTATGGAATCTATGGAACAGATTAATAATAAAATTTGGATTTTATACTAAACTTAATAAAGACATATTTAATTGTTAAACATTTGTAATAATTGAGAAGAATTAATTTCTTATTGGTTGCTGGTATTGCTGGAATTTGAAATTATTCAGCCTAAAAATAAGGACAAAATCTTTGGAACTTCTAATAGGCTAATTATTTAATTTATTTTTTCATCATGTATTAGGTAATTATACATATAATTGTCATATTTACGATTGAAATATCATATAATTAACATTCAAATTTAGGATACAAAATTTTAAACCAAAATTCATATGATTAGATATTTTGAATAAAATTAATATTATTTAATGACTTGAACAAATATCAAAGGAGAAGTAAATAAATATTAATAAAGTACTAAATAATAAAAACAACAATTCATTGTCTACTGCTGCACATACTGAGATACATTTTGAGTATCTTATCTAAATCTTAAGATTAATGTGATTCTTTTTTGAATCTAGTTATACATTATTTACTTTACCCTTTAATAACTCTATCGGTCTTTAAATTTAATCTGTTTTCTTCTTCATAGGTATGTTATTGATCTTCAATAGTAAAAGATGGCATTGATTTAAACTAATCTAGTAGTTTCACAGTTCCATTTTCATCAAGGTTTCTTGATTTTGAACAGTATTTACTCAATTAGATCTTTTTTGGTTGAGGACTTTTTATTTAAGTAATTTTTGTATTTGAATTCTTGATCAAATTAGTTAAACTAGCCTAATTTCGTTTATGCATATTAGTAGCATCCCTTAAAGGACTGGTTTATTCATAAATGATCTTCCTTTTGATGTCATCGAATATATTATTTGATTATTTCTTAGAATCCACTCTTGTTTTTGATATATTAGGAGATTTGATACTCAAGGATGACGAATTATTCAAATTATTTCCATTTGTTTAGTTCAATCTACCAATTGGTTGTTATTTGTGACTTATCAAAGGAGATTGATATTTTTAGATAGAGTTTTATTCAACTGAAAAACTAGACCTTGGGGACAAAGATATCTTAAGTTCTATTATTTGCATAATATTATTACATCCTTATTATGGATAGCACCTCTGAACAAATGGAGATTGATAAATATCTTTGAATGATAATCTCTAGGATGGATCTTTTTATAAGATGTTCTTAATAAGTTCTTAGGCATCTGAATTGATCGAACTGGAATAACGTATTAAGCCACTCTTTATGTTAGCAGCAATTTCTTTGTATTCCTTGCCTTTGAATGGAGCATAACCATGCAATAATTCATAGAGCAATACCCCAACTGACCAGATATCAATCTTATAGTCATAGGGCAAGTCAGAGACAATTTCTGGGGCCATGTATTCGTAGGTTCCACAGAAGGTCTTTCTTTTAAGATGAATGTTCTCTGCACACCATCCAAAATCACACAATTTGATATCGTTATTACTATCCAATAACAAATTTTCAGGCTAAATATATTTATATCATTGATTACTTTGATATCTCTATGGAAAACATTTATTTCATGCAGATATTGTAAAGCTTTGCAAGTTTGTATAAAGTACTTGCAGGCTTCTTTTTCATCTAATCTCTTCTTCCTTTGCACATAATTATAAAGGTTTCCATTTTCAGCATACTCTAATACCATATATACGTTTCCATGCTCGATGAAGCTATCATACAAATTTATTATATTAGGATGATGACACTTTAAATGGACTTTTATTTCTCTTTCCACTCCTTCCTACTCATAGGGAGTTTAGATATTGCTTTGTTAAATTGATTTTATAGCATAAAGGGATGATGATTTAAGATGTTACACCAAATTAACTGTTCCAAAAGATCCAGTTCCTAAACTAGTCTTACCATTAGATCTTTGTTTAGGTTCAAATTGAGCCATTGAAGTAAAAAGTCCTTTATTATAGCATTCTATTTTTCTTTACATGATTGTTCGATTAACTGACAAATTTTTATAAATATAATCAATAAAATTTATATTCAATTTATTTAAAATAATCATCTATTTTCATTCTCGCTCCAAAATTGTCCTTCGAAATTCAGCAAATATATATACTTACACTATTAAATCTTTAAAAACTGATTAATAAACCTAATTAACTTGTTATGTATCATCATTCTACTTACAGATTATTAAATAATCAAAACAAATTGAATATAATTATCAAACAGAACTTTATATTAAATTTCTATTCATAATTTTTCTAAAATTAAAATATTTAAGAATCTCAATTATTCTCTATTAAATCATATCTAAGTAAATTTACTTTTAGAAAATACGAAAAATTAGATGTAGGTATACTTTCATTTTCTGATCGATTTTATAATGAGATTAATATTTTAACTAAGTAATTTTAATTCATAATATGGCACTTGAATAAGTAAAGAGAATTTTGATATCGTTTTATCATCTTTCATAATAAAAACAAAGCAATTTAATTTAGTATTAATCTCATTGATAGATATTCAAACTTTGGGAATGATAATAGGCTAAGAAATGTGTTGTCTATTCAATAACATTTGAATATTATTTGGATTAATACAATACGTTTTTAAATGTAATTTGACTCACGGTTCTTGAAACATAGTAAATTTCGAATTTTTTTGGGAAAATAAATTAGCCGAAAATTTATATGAATAAAAAAGCATGATAACAATAAAATTACAAAAATTATTTTGGATTTTGAATTCTATAAGTTATTTCCATTAAATTATTTTTATTGCATAATTAATGTAGAATGATATAAAGTGGTAAATGTAAAAAGTGCGTCACTCTACAGAAATAATGATATAACATACAAAAAATAAGATAGTTCGTCGATAATTGTAAAAATGAAAATCATTTTGTTAGTTCTGGTACTTTAGGTTTTCAGCCAAAGTTGTTTAAGTTCAACAGGAACATAGGTGGATTGGTGGTTGATTTTCAAATTGCCTGCTGATTCTGCCATACCATATAGTGGATTTGAATATTACTATTGTGATTCACAAAATGATTGCTCTGGCATGAACCTAATGAGTGATGATTTAAGAGACCGTACCTCACCCTTGTAAAGAACTGTAGGATAAATCTCATTTACATCGAGTACAACTATGAATGTGGTATGGAATGATTAACCTTATGGAAAATCAACTATTTCTGACAGAGCTCATTCCAAAGGCATATTATCTGCCTCTTCTAGTGGATAGGGATTCATAATTAACCATTCTACACCATAATTCCCTGTATTTGATGAAAGTTAAAGGTAAAATTACATAGTTTAGATTAGTAATATAATACCTGGAATGCCAAGCAGTGCAAATGTGAATGGACAACATTACTTTTGTGTGACCATGACAACCTCATAAATTAATGTAGTAGCAGAGCAATATATCATCGCTTAAACCTTAACTCAAAAGGCTAATGAAATTAGTACATTTGAGTCAACCTACCCCAATATTTTTGCTCTTAGAAACAATTCTAGGAATATTCAGGCCTAAAGTGGGTCTAAACAAGTCAAGAGTAAGAATGGATTGAGTATACTTGTTATTTCGAAAAACTAAAATTTGGTGGAAGACTTCTATGCTAATATTGTGGCACCTAATTTAAAGGTTGGATTAGTGATGGAAACATGGGGAAATGGAACTGGAGGGTTACAGGAACCCTCTTGCTCATAGACTTATCAGACTTATAGCAATATTTATAGAAATCATAATGTAGAATAATAACACTATTTTATAGGGTTATAAATTTAAATATACAAAGGACCATTCCAAATTCGGAATTTCAGCTTAAAGTGCTATGCCTTATGTTTGTATGGCAGATTTAAATAGAATGACAACCTAAAATAAAAGAGGAGGGACTACTTTTTGTTTTCTGCATTCCAAGATATGGAATGTAATAAACAAGGCATTTGTCGAAAGACAAACATGTTGAAACGCTAATATATTTATATTTTGCTATTTAACTTAATATAAATATCAATAAGAGTCATAATTGCATACGAAATAATAAATATTATTATGGCAAAAAAAAGTAATGATGTAGATGTTGAAGCATTGAAGAAAAAGGTGTTACCCATTATCAGAATTGCTGTTCTTGGGCCTAAGGGAGTAGGTAAAACAGCCATTGTCAATTAATTTGTTAATAACTCATTTGAACCGTAATATGAGGAAACAGATGATGATATTCGTCGTTATAAGAAAGTCCATGATCTAAATTGCAGTCCAACTGATCCCTAATATGTTGTATTCATAATTGAGGATATGTATTGCAAATTTACACAACTTTAGATTCCCTACTAATCATCCTGATTTAGTAAGAGAAAGCGATTTCCTCAAGACAAACATTTATTTTGGGACATTGGAAAATAGGCAATAAAGATTCAAGGAGGAATAAAAGAACATCCTGGACTTCGATAAGTAGATTTATGGCTATATATTTGTTTTTGATGGCAATTAAAACGATTCATATAAAGGTCTCGAAGAACCTATTAAATATATATCAGAATATTGTGAAAAGTAAAGATCTTTCAGTATGTTGACATCCAAGAAGGTTGTAGTAGCAAATAAAAGCGATTTGATTGAAGCTTAAAATTAAGACAAAGTGTTTTCAAAGTGGAAATCACTTGAGAAGTTTAATATCCCTACAAGATTTGTGGTATCTGCCAAGACCGGACACAATATTAATGCAGTGTTTGAAGAAATTGGCAAATAGATCTTGCAAGATTAAAAATTGGACATGATTGACAAGGCTTGGCTTACAGAAATGAATAGTTTAATTATGGGAATAGAGTCCTATAGGAAAAAGAACAAAAACAATAATTAAGATGACAATAGCAAAAAGAAAGGAGGAAATAAAGGATTCCTGGGTTGTGGAGAAAAAAGGAAACAGTTTGTTGCTGACGATGTAATTTACTATTATATTGTTAATTCATTAGGAGGACGAAGATGAAGATGAAGAGGATGAAGAATTTAAAAATTTGTAATAATATCCTGGAATGATGGAAGACAATAAGGAAGGCTGTGATATCTTTTGATTTATATATTCAATATAACTGAGTATCTTATTTCAATTGTTGAATAAAATTGAATACACTAAATTTTAGTTATTTAACTTAAAGTGATTGATTTTTAATTTATATTTGTCATTAGTTTATTATTCTACATTCTGCATGATCTTATAGTAATTATAAGTTGAAATAAATATATATTATAGTAAATTATTTTAAAATCATGTCAACAACTTTACAGATTTGCATCCTCTCAGTCTTAATAAAAGTCATTAAGAATCAAAGCTCTAAATTATCAGAATGGCAATATTATTCATCAGAATTAGTTGATAATACTTTTCCTTCCACTGGTTGGAATGCTGTACCTCCTACTTATACTTGCAATCCTATTGTACCTCCTTTTTAATAATTCTATGATTTCACTGGATAATCTTGGTCTAGAAGTATTGATCTAACACAGGAAAGAGGATATATGTAAGTAAGAATAATTTTTGATTTATATATTTTTTAATACCCTCAAGATTCCATTTTACATCTACCTTTTCTTTTTAAATTTGATGGAAATATAATCCCAGATGATGTTGATTTATTTCTATAATAAAATATAGATATAAATTGTACTTATTGTAATTCTAGAGCATTTACAGATTTGAAATATGCTTTAGATTTTTAGATAAACATACCATTAAACACTGTAAATTTTAATCACTTATTTGAAATACGACCACTAGATGTTACTACTCAATTTTCAATAAAAAACTTTAATATTTTTATAAACAAATGCTCTAAAAATTGCTTGCAATGTGAACTAAAATAATTCTGCAAAGTTTGTAAGCCAAACTTTTAATTATTGTCAAATTCCTGCAGATGTTCTTATCCAAAACCCTTTATTTTTAATGACGATTGCTTTGATTCCTGTCCTTTAGGCTATTTTGATTTTAATGAAGTTACTTGTAAACCATATGCAAGCAAATCCATATTATTTGTGGATGATGTTAATCAGAATTTAATAAAATATGATTATATAAAGGATACTTTGTCTAATATTTTTTATAAATCGTCAACATATGAGGCAGATTAAGATGTGCATGGTCCTTTTAGATTTAATGATAAAATACAATATTCTTTTAGAAAGTCGTCAATCACTAGCATTTTAGAATTTGAAATCACAATTTATCTTTTTGGAAATTTAGCTGTAATTATCTTAAATTATGATTTAGGAACTGTCTAGATTGATGATTGAAGTGAATAATTATAGAGTTGCAACCATCACTTATAGCTTAATAACCTCCTCATTGTTTACCAGATTTGGTCTTATCAAATCAGTTTAGGATTGTTCACGTATTGGATTTTCAAGTTGCAAGAAAGTCTAATTTTACATGACACTTTAAACTTTTTTTGAGTAGGATATTGTATTAGGAATAGGATCTTAATTTAAGTATAAATTTGGATTTTTATCATAGCATATCAGATCCTTTCTATGGCTGGGGAATAGATTAGGTCATAGTGAATGAAATTGAACCTGCAATCTAATTGCCTTTAGTTTGTACCCTTTGGTATAAAGGGAATTGCATAAACCAATGCCCTTCTTATTCAACATAAAACGGAAATGTATGCGAAGATTATGACAGCGTCTTTAAGAATCCACAATATATACTAAAAGAGTTTTATCCTAATTATCTTGTAAGTCCTGATTAAAAGTTGCTCATGAATATTTTGAATATAGCATGGTATCAATTTGAAAGTAGATTTCTTTATTTGTTTAATACGAAATTATATGGTGGTGGTATTTTACAGTAAAAATTTCAAATGTAAAAACCTCATCGAAAATTAAGATTAATGATATCGGTGTTATTAATTGATTGGTAAAATAATTCATAGGATTATTTTTTTGAATTAGTTGTTGGAGTAGGTCTTAATTAGTAAAGACATAAATTTTATGCTGATCCATTATATGAGTTTACAAGTTATCAACTAAATTAAGAATTTCCTGATTATATCTATCGTAATTACACTATGGAATTTATTCATTTTTTTAATACAACCAGTTTAGAATTCAGATGTTTTTCACCATTTGATGGATACTGTTCATTCTTTGATTATTTTATAATAATTGAAAAGGTTAAAATGATGTTTAATTTTAGTGCGATCATGGATGTGAATAATGTGATTCAAATGGAGTCTGTTTAAAGTATGAGTTTAGATTAGAAAACTAAGTTAGTTACTAATTCAACAATTACCGATGTTCGGATGGTTATTTTTATGACTAAGAATAATGTAACCCTTGCTTTTTCAGTTGTGGTAAATGCAAAATAGATATTTGCTTATAATGCAAAGATGGTTTTGAATTGAAAGAAGGAAAGTGCTTTTGTTAGGGCTCATAAGCTAATGAAATATGTAAGTAATAAAATTAATGTCCTCAATAATGTTAAACATGTCAATTAAATTATCCAGCGTGTGATTCATGTGATCTCAACTAATTGAAAGTACTAAATATGAATACATGTGTATGCATAAAGGGCTATTATCTCAACCAAGATCTGGAGTGTATTCTATGCAATCCAAAATGCATCACTTGTAATGGATATGAGTCATGTACAAGTTGTAATAGTGAAACTAATAGAGAATTATTTGAAAATATGTGTGAATGTAAATAAGGCTATTTTGAAATTGCCCAGAGTATTTTTTGTCAATAATGTCATCATTTATGTGTTAATTGTTATTTTGAATATGATCGTTGTACTGAATGTGATACTCAACTATTTAGATAATTGTCCAAAGGTAAATGTGTATGCTAAACTGGTTATTATGAAGACAACCAATAAGTATGTTAGAAGTGTAATCCAATTTGTTACACTTGCGAATAGGATTCACTTTGTCTAAGTTGTGATATTGCAGTAAACAGAGTTATCAACAAACAACAGATTTGCATATGCAATTAAGGCTATTTTGAAAATGAAACAAATTAATGTTAAAAATGTCATTACTCATGCATATATTGTAATTAGTCTGAAGAATTCAATTAATGTACTGCATGCCCAACCTCTCGTATTAAATCTTCTGATAAAATGAATTCTTTTGAATGTAAATGTAGAAAAGGATATTTTGATCTTGGAGTATTAGAATGCATCAGTTGTAAACCATATCAAAATGTAAATGCCTCACATCCTTGTTATTCATAATGTGGAGATAATATATTGCAATGGGATGAGGAATGCGATGATGGAAACAATAATTCCAGAGATGGTTGCGTTGATTGTTATTTCACCACTGATAGATGCAGATCTAATATTTGCAAGAAGTGTTATTAAGGTTATTGTTAAATCTGTAATGATGGATACTATTTAAATGGAAACAATGAGTGCTAATAATGTTCCTAAAGTTGTCTTACCTGTATCACTTCTTAGGACAATTGTGTATAATGCAGATTCACATTAGAAGATAAAACTTGCAAGATGTGTGAATAAGAATTTGGATTTTAAATTAAGGATGATAAATGCACAGCTATCTGTGGTGATAACATATTAGTTGATATTGAATAATGCGATGATGGTAATATCATTGATGGAGATGGATGCAATTCTTAGTGTCAGGTAGAAGAAGGATTCATATGCAATCCAACTTGCGAAATTATTAATCCAATAGATTTTATGTTGAAATCTGATCCCAAAGACAAGTATTTCAATAATAAGAGATATTGTTACTTAGATTTCAATTAAGATGTAGCCATTTATGGAAATTTATCTTCTATGATCAATTTGTAATTTAATAATTCATAGGTTGGATATAATTCAAATATCACAAATTTGAATCCCTAATCTCTTTTAATTGAAATCCAATTTTTGACCGATATTGAAAATCCTTTTCTATAGGTTGAAATTACTACTCCATAAAAAATTAAAAATTAGCAAGGAGCTATCTTGGAAAATAACATCTAAAAAATCTAACTACTATCGTATATTAAACAAAGTGAAGGTACTAAGTCAGCTACAAATAGTTCATCTAATTTTGCTTATTTTATTATGGTATTTCTATTGAGTTTAGCTGGTTTTTCTTTTATTACTGGTGGATTGAATATATTTTTTAACTTATTGGATTCAATTTAAATGTTAGCCTATTTAAAGTACTTAAATATTATTTTCCCCTATAATTTGTAGATGTATTTTGAAACCTTTGGATTCGCCGAATTTGATTTCTTAAAAGAGTATATATCAGTTCAGTTAACAATTCTTGATTTTGATTTTAAAATGTCCGAGAATCAGCCAGATTAGAAGTTTGCAGAAGAAGGATACTCCTCCTTATTTGTCATAAACATACTTAGTGTGTTGAGTGTATTTGTTATTACTTATTGCACTTTCATGCTTTCAATAATACTTAATAAACTATGTAATTACTACATTCACTATCTTCATAATAAAATCTCTGATGATATTTATTTCGTCCTGGGGATGTTTTAATATTACCTCTATATTGGAGCAAAGCATCTATTATTCCTATCTGGTATTTATACTTCTCAAATCCACAACAATATAATCAGAACTATTTTGACTGTTGCAATGGATTTTAATATGGCAATGTTTTTATAATTGAAGATGTATCAAAATGATATGGGATTTAGTTATTATTTGAGTGTAATTGCTTTTATTGCTCAACTATTATTCATTTATTATGGCTTAAATGCAATATCTAAAAAATAGTACGAATTTGTTACTCAAACATATAAATAGAAGCATGAATCCTTTTTAGAAGGCAACCCAGAAATTCATTAGAATTAATTCGTAAAATATTACAATCTAATGATCCTAATTAAAAAAATGATGTTCATGTTTTCCTTAATATTTCTATACCATTGTCCTTCCTTTCAAATTTTGATATCCTCTATTTAGAATATCATTTTTATTGGATACATTATCCTGACCAAACCTCTGAAAGATATTAATGAATTCTATAAGGTAATTTTGACAGAGTGTATTTTGTGGTTGGAACAATTGTTTATCCTCTTAATTTATTATATTCAATCAGGAACCAATTAATTGGATCAATCTTAAATTTCAAATATGGAAATCTTGGGATGGGTTATTATTGGATTATCAGTTGTCATGCTCTTAATATAGTTTTTGATTGATATTAAACAGCATGCTTATTTTCTATATCAATAGTATTCCTTCATTTAGAGGATGTTTAAATTCGTTAGTCTGGTCTTCAATAAATAAGTATAATAAGTGGACTAGATTGCAGAGGAACTGATAAAGGAGGAAAAAAATATAAAGTCAAAAACTAAAATAATTACTTATCAATTCACAATGGAGAGAAAAATTTATGACATATGATATTAAACATTCGAGTATTTCTGTATATAGATTTATATTCATATTAAAGTTAATTTAATGATTATTTAATTAAAAATAGCAAATATTATAATAACTATACTGCTATAAGTGTTATCGATTATTTAATTGTTATTCCATCTAAAAATCTGATTCTTCTATTTAGGTATATGAAAAATACATTGTTTTAAGTTAATAATTATGTTTATAATATTTTGACAAAAATTAAAATGCGAAATAGAAAGGGGAAAAAAATCAATAATAATACTTATTCTGATGAGATAAAAGGATAGACAAAAGAGCAAAGGAAAATACTTAAGCATATCGAAAGAACTAGTGTAAATAGTGGATGTACATGGTGGACCCAATTGTAAAAATTGGGGATAGGTTGCTCGACATTTGGAGGCCCAAGTTGGGATAAAGATTGAGAAGGCATACAGATTGAAAAGAGCGTAGAAACTATGATATATAATTAGATGGGAGTCTTTTGTTGATTACAATGAGAACATGTCTAAGGAACAACTAGCAACATTATTCGAAACAGCCATAAAAACAAGAGGGAACATGGAATACGCAAAACATGAATTTAAGAGATTGACAGGGATCTAATTATATTCGACTCGATATGCCGATTATGTGAAAACATGGTTGAAGCCAGGATTATTGGGATTTAAAGATTGCTATATATTTTCAGTTGTAAAGTCTTTGAGGAGATCTGATTTCTATTAAAAACATACAATGATATAACCAATAACAGTATTATCGATGTTGAGAATATTGGATCATGATATTGAAGAATACAAGGATGATTTTTTTGTAGATGGATTTCAGGGATAGTGCTGAGAGACTGCAAGAATTATTAAAATGTTATGCTAGTTGTTTTTCGGACTCGAGAGAAGAGAGATACAGCAAGTTCTCAAGAATAACTACAAGACATCAGTTCAAAAAGATCTACTTTTACTTATAATTGATGGAAGAGTTTAGAAGAATTAATAGATTTTTCACAAGCAATGTGAATCAATTAACATTTCATCCGATGTTATTAAAAACCATCGATCAAAATAAGCAATGTCCAATTTATAAGTTGACACTTTTAGAAAATGATTATTCGAGAAAACTAAAACTCTTTAATGAGTCAAATAATAATGAGAAATGAGTAGTTTTCAGTTCTTTTGAAGCCAAAGAAAAAGAGGAACTCGTAGAAATCAGGAAATGATGAAGAAAAGAATAAACAGAAGGAGTAACAGAATCCTTATGTTTACTAATTGGAGGAGGAAGATCTGGTTAAATAAATCAAGGTGCCTAAGAAGATGAGTGAAACAAAAAAGAAATACAAGGATTATCGATATTTTAGAGGCCATTTTATTAGAGATGGGCAATATTAATGCAAAGGATTAACAACAAAGGGTTTTGAATATGATGTTCCACTTGAGTAATGAGGTGTAAATTATAGAAATAAAATTAATTTTTATTAATGCAATTATCTTAATCATTTATAAAAACAGATAAAAAGTGTGACAGACAACATGATGAGGGAGCAGATAGGTTGATAGCCATTTGCTTGAACCCTCATTGTGATAAACGGTTGATGTGTTGCTTCTGTTATCACGACTATCATTGTGAGCACGTAAAGGATGTTAAGACAATTGCACAAGTTTAATAATTGTGTAAAGATTCAATTGCAAAATTCGATAAGTTGCAGCTCACTATTATCTTGTAGTAAAAGGCCGATTAGTTTAAGTCAATTGTTTAGAATATCAATGAAGAATTGGAGAGATTGCTATAGTATTATATTCATGATATACAATAATTGTATTAGATGTTGGAGGACTTGGCAGATAGTTTTGTGATTTTGCAATCAGGTAATATCAATCAATTTACAAATGAATAATGTGAATTACTATCAACATTTCATGATGAGAGAATCCTAGATAATATTGAAGATATTTCTAATTTTATTGGATAGAAAATGGGAATATAAGATTTGCTTAAAATTAGCAATGATCTACATGAGAAATTAATGATGCTGGAAACGAATGAGATATTTGAAAAGAATATTTACAATGAACAATTGAAAAAGTTTGTGTAATCACATGAGATTAAATTTGACTGGATTTAACCTGAGTTTCTATTGACTAGGAGTCCTGAAATAGCCAAAATAGTCTATCCAAATGAAGATTTCTACATTGGCGAAGTCAAAGGAGACAAGAAGTTTGGTAGAGGTATGGAATGATATTAATTTGATAGGATTGTTATTTAATAAAATTGCGCAGACATATTAATATGGTGTATTTAGAGAGGATAATTTTGTTTGGGGTCAACAATTGATGGTTGATTAGAAAAAGCGTTACTGGATTAAATAGGGCAAATGGGTGAATGGGAAAATAGAAGGCAGAGGGATTCACGCCTTGTTCAAAGGAGAGTACTATCAAGGAGATCTAAGAAGTGATATAAGAGATGGGTTTGGAATAATGAGGTACACTTCAGGGGACGAATATCAAGGACAATGGAAAATGGGACAATTTCATGGTAAGGGATTGTACAAATATGCAACTGGAGATGAATATGAAGGAGATTACGTGCAGGATAGAAAGGAAGGCATAGGATCATATCAATACAAAAATGGAGAACTTTATGTTGGGTAATTTAAGGCTGGTTTGAGACATGGTAGTGCTATAGTAAAATTTCCGAATGGAGAAATGTATGGAATGATAGTTTATTTAGATATACAGGAGAATATGTGAATGATAAGAAGGAAGGGCCTGGAGTGTACAAATATATAAATGATAACATTTTTGAAGGAAATTACAAGGATGGACAAAGACATGGGTAAGGGATATTCACTGATGTGGAGAATAAGACAAGAGAGATTGGGGAGTATGTTTAGGGTAAGTAACATGGAGAACACATGGTTTTTAAGTTGTTGAAAGATAAGCCATATTGTATAAATGTTTACGATAATGGAAATCTAGTTAATACAAAGTCATTATGATTTTAGGTTTCATTTCAATATTAAAACACTATTATTCTTATAATATTCAATCAGCAATTTGGGGAATCGTTCTCTTAAAAAATAGAAGGGATAATAAGATGTTAACAAGTTTGGATTTTAATATTGTAATTCAAAGTACAATTCGTTGTCTGTTTTGACATGTGATTTAATATTAATGGGAACACTGTCAATTGTGTTCCCATGCTCCTTGTCAAAGGGGACCTTCTTCATCTATACTATTGGTTATTGTCTTAATCTCTCCAAGATGTGTCCACTGACTTCTTCTTAAGTGTCAATCAAATAGAATTCTCTGGGATCTTCTTCCATGTTGGTTTACACAATTTTGTCAGTCTTCTGTTTCTTATCCCTTTTTAGCATGTTTTTTATTGTTTGTCATAGATTTATTAAACTATAAATATAAATAAAAACATGATTATTTTATTTCAAAATATAACTGTTTTAACTTTGCCTTTCCTAAATCATATATGAATGTCAATACTTGTATATCCTTTTATTCGAGTTTGGCTTGATGGTTCCTCTGCTCTGAAAATGATTTAATTTGTCTTTCATGGCTTATGCTTTCTGAATGGCAATAAACAAGAAAGAGTATAAGGAATTGATGTTTTTTCTATGATATGTAGAGGCCACTCTCTAGAGGAACTTCATCACTCTGGAGATGTTATACTCTGGATAATACTCTCTGAACTCACAGATTTTATCGAAGTCTCCTACCGAAGGCTGTGTTATGATGGGCTATGGTTGGTAATGAAAGCAATCTTACGAATTTGATTTAATAGTGTTCTTCCTCATACAATTGTTAAATATAATTCTCATAAATTAAGCTTGACCTTCTCTTCCTCATCCCAAGCTAGTTCTGATCAAATGTCACTCTTTATGAAACTCTCCTGTAAATTCTTGGACTCTTATCTGAATAATAAAACTATTAAGCAGCCTTTTAATTCTCCTACTATTGCAACTAAAATTCTTCATCTATGATATCAATGACTGGTATATCTTCATCATTTTCTTGAATTGGATTATGCATCTAAGATTCGAATTTGGCTCCGAATCCTGCTGTCTCTTTCTATTGAGATTTCCTTTACAGGGACATCTTCTTCAACACCTCCTATTCAAACTTGCCTATTTCCTCCTGAGATTTGGATGACTGATAATTTTAACTTAATCCCACTGTCAAAGTTTAAGATGGTCTATGACTAAACCTACTCAATTGATTGCTATATTAACTAATAGATTTGCTTAAACTTTTGGTTTGGATATTCGAAGTGCCTATTAGACAAATCTATTATACTTTTTATAGTTCTTGTTTCAACATCCTGGGACTCGTCTTCTGATAAGTTCTCACCTCCTTCCACATGTTCCAAATCCTTCATCAATTCTTTAGCCAAATCTTGAATTACTGCTTGTTACAACATGGCATTGATATACTTGGATTTACGTTATCTTGATATATGTCAATTTATATTACATCTCCTCTCTTTCTTATTGGATTGGATACAATTGTTATTTGATAACTCTATCTTTATCTGGCTAATAATGTAAGAATGGACATTAATTCACCAAATGACTAGTAGATTTGCAACTATAACATCTCACATCCAGCATTGATAAGTCTTGCTGAAATTAGACCTTGTCCTTTATCATGTAGAATTTCTCTTTATCGTCTGGAAATTGTTCGAGCAAATTTACAAAATGTCTTCTTTGTATCTTGTACAATTAACAGAACCCTTTGCTAATTATTGTGGCTGTCCTAGTGCTTCCAGTTATAAACCCTAAAAATCCAAAGTACTCTCCTTTTTGTAAAGTCTTTATATGATTACGAGAGTGCTTCTCATTCATGTTGTTTGTTTATTCAAATATCATATTCACTTCACCCTTGTTTATAAAGTAGATTGAACTGTCATCCTACTCATCCAAAGTCAAGATTCTTTACTCAGGTATTGTTTTCACTTCCTCCATATAATAAACCAACTATTTTCTCAATTTAATAGAGAAATTTGAGGATATCATTTTGCATTACTCTAAAATATTAGCCTACAATTGATGCTTCAATTCACTTCTTAATTACAGTGATAATTTACCCATTATCTAAGTGATGTCTTCATCATTCATTTACTGTTCTTACTAAATAAAATTACTATTTTCAATTACTTTATATATGTATTGCAAATAACTACGGATTCTATGTTGTAGATTCAAATTTATGCTGTTCAAATTCATAAAATTTGTCATCATGTTAATGTATTAATTGTGTTTAATTCTCTAAGAATGATTATACAAAAAAAATCCAATCTTTATTGTGACAAATCCATTTATCAATATTGAAATTATTGATATCATAGATGAAAATATCAATTGTTCGTTATTGTTTGACTCCAAATTCGAAAGTCCAGAACTAGTCAAATAGACTGATGCCCAATGGAAACATTAAACGTATTATTGAAATACATTCTCCAACGATTTTAAATTATTTATATCCTTTATTAAAGTGTACCATATACATGCTACCAAATGGATCACATAAATTACTGCAATCAAGTTGATAATCAATGGGATTATATTGTTCTGCTAAAAATTAAAGTATTCCTGAGTATTGTTCACCACCTTCAACAATTTGGCTCCTTAAAGAATCCCAAATATACACAACAATACCAGATTCAATTCTGCCACCTCCAAAGTTTAGAATAAAAGAACTATCACGGAAACCAAACAGATGAGGTCCTTAATCATGTCCTATTTCAAATAATTATATATTATATGATAGCGCTAACTAATACAATAAGAATTTATTACTTAATTACTTTCCCCTTAAATATGTAAGCCTAATTAAGGGAGATAATCATTTCAAATATCAGGATCACCACTAACAAATATTCAATTATGTAGTAATAGTCATAATTTAATATTTATAGAATAGAATCGAAATCAAACGAATATTTAAATGGCAACCATATAAAAATCATCAATGTGTTTATAATGAAAATTATATCTGAACACAGTTTTAAACTGCTTTACGGTTATATGATAGGATAATTGTTTAGATAGTTGAACATAAATTTATAACAAGTACTGTCTATATCATCTATTTATGTATCCTACCCAAATTACAAATCATCAAGAACTTACTTTTAATAGTTGTTCATTCGGCTGGCTGGCATGGCCTTATCCAGCAGTTGTTTGATGAATGATTCTTAATACAATCTTTGCAAATGCAATCTAAATTATCTTTATTGATGTAAATCCTCTTGCTGCTCATATTTGTTTCTTCGACTTTGTATTGAAACATATCGATTCAAATTACCCCGAAACGAACAACTGATCTCACGTAAGCTGCTTGGAGGAGTTAAAATGAGTAAGGGATCTAAGCTCTGATTCTATTTATGAATCGATTTCATCGTAGGTGATCGATTTATCATCTCAAAATTTATATATATAATTATTATTTGACACTCCATTTAATTTTTACCTTTAAACAAATTTATCATAATATCATATTACACAGAGATATTAGAAGTTAGATAAATTAGTTCTCATAATAATTGATATTGAAATGAAAGTTATCATTGTTATTTAAGAAAATCAAAATTATTAGAATTTAAACATTTGATAACTAAAAGAATATTTATTTTAAGTATTTGTTCTTACCTTCATCAACTCATATCACAAGATTCATGGATAAAATAATTAAATTTAATCTAACTATCGTTTTGAAGGAGAAGAATGAAGCATTGAATATTAGAGGTAAGGTTTGCAATTAGTATTGAATACTCTCTGCACAATTGTAAATAAACATCTTTGTGTGTGATGAGAAAATGACAAAAATATTCTTAAAATTATTAAATTTTTAATTAAAATGGATAGAAATATTTTTGCAAATAACCCAATGATCATTGACATGGTATTTAAATATTAGAAATGAAAAGGGTTCAAGTTAAATTAAAGCAGGGTTTGGAGGTGAGGATAAACCAAAAGTGATTTTTAATTCATAGTAAAATAATCGAAAAATAATTAAGTATTGGACGCCCAAAAGTAAAGGCTTTGTCTGCTACAAATAGTTAAGAATTATATGTAGGAAATTAAATTACAGATAGTATAAGAGGGAATATGAAAATAAAATATCCATATCAGAAAGGTATAATAAAGGATATGAATGATATGGATCAACTATGGAAATACACTTTCTAGGAATTGCATAGCAACCCTAAAGAAGTAAGGTTTAATAGATTAATTAGTGCCCAATTTTATTGACTGAACCATCATTTTCTAGTCAAATCTAGAAGATGGAGATTGCAAAGTAGTTCTTTGAAAATTACGATTGTCCTGCTCTATTCTTTGCAGTATCTGGAATAGTTAGTTTATTTGCAAGTGGGAAAACTACTGGAGTGATTTTGGATGTTGGAGACACAGTATCGTAAAGTATCCCAATTTACGATGGGTTTTACATTTAACATAGTGCATAAAGAGTAGATTTGGCAGGAAGAGATGTCACCGATAATTTGAACAATTTGTTAAGAAGATCAGGATACATATTCACAAAATCTGTAATATTTGAATTCGATATGGTTAGGCAGAGTTGGAAATTATTAAGAAGATCAAAGAAAAGCGTTGTTTTTTGAGTCCAACAATGATAGCAGAGGAGAAGTTTTAGGAAGAGAGAAAGATAAAAGATCAATATATGCTACCTGATAACAATACGATTGAGATAAGTTATGAGAAACAGAGGGCTCCAGAAATCTTGATGTCTCCAGAAAAATACGGTCTAGAATTAAATTGTAAATGAGATTCTAATCTACCTATTGCTAGCCATTCCTGAAATTCTCGCCAATTCTATATAGAAAGTGGATTTGGACCTGCGTAAGTCTTTATACAACGAGATTGTTTTGACTGGAGGAACCTCTTTGATGCAAGGTTTTCCCGAGAGATTGATTGGAGAAGTCAAAAGATTGATTCCAAAAGATGCTAAGGTATGTGTTTATTACCATGAAAGGTCAAAATTTGGGCTCCTCCAGAGAGAATTACTTTATGTTGGTAAGGTGGTTCTATTTTATCTAAATTGGCTTCTTTCAAAAGTATGTGGATATTAAAAAAGGAGTTTGAGGATGAAGGTGAAAGAATTTTAATAAAAAAATAATTGTGAGCTTTTTTAGAGATCTTCAATTTATATATTTAATGTATCTGTACTATCATTTTTCAACCTTGCCCAACCACAAAGCCAAAAGTGACTTTCCTTTAACAGCAATAATCTTGAATCTGACCCCTGGAATATCACCAACTGCATGTCCTTTTCTTCCGAATCCAGCTACTGTGACTTCGTCGTTTTCATTTAAAAAGTTCAAGCAACCATCCTTTGGAACGAAGGCTGATATTTTTTTACCATTTTTCTTGAGCAATACTCTAACGCACTTTCTGACAGCAGAGTTTGGCTGTTTGGATTCACTAAGATGATAGAATATTATAATTACACTCCGATTTTTTCAACAACCAATCCCTTAGCATGTGATGCACCCATAAATGGATTTTTATATCTTGATCCAATCATAGCCTTATTATATTCCTTATCAGCCCATCTGTTAACTCTTCTGTGATCTTTGAGCTTTCTTCCAGCTCTCATACCTCTAGGTTTACCAACACCCATGATAAAAAATAAAAAAAAGATTTTATTTAATTTGTTTTTTCAAAAATATTCATTTTAAATATTATGAACCTCTTGGGTGTAATAATTACGCACCCTTTATTACATTCTATTCATACGATGTAGTTGTTCCTCCTCCATGAGTGCCACTCTTTCTAACTTCAGTTTCCTTTGTTACAGTCACCTATCTCTTTTTAATGGCTTCTAATTATGTTTCAGCCATAGTCAACTTCTCTGCCAAATCTGAGTTCTACTCATTCACCTATTTGAACTTTTTCTTCCACAATTCGACTTCTCCCTGGAGACTTATTATTTATGTTTCAGATTGAGAATAGTTCTCGCACATCATTTCCAACTCTCTTATTCGAGCATCCAATTAATCTAACTCATTGTCTTTATCATGCAACAACTGCTTCAAATTCAAAATCTCATTATCTCTCAATTGGATCTATTCATGACTGCCTGCTAGATCCTCAGTTAACTCATTAATCTTCTTCTTCAACTATCTAATTTCTTCATCCAAGCCTGAACTCTTTGAATTCGACTCCTAAAGTAACTTATATCTAGATTTCCAAGATTCCAAATCTTCTAACAATTATTTGTTTTGTATTCTCATCTATTATTCTTAATTCCTTATCTCCTTATTTGCTTACATTAACTCATTAATCTAACCATCTAAAGATCTAAATTACTCTTGTGTCATCTTAAATGTATGTAATCTAGCCACTACTATTTTGCAATCTCAGTCTTTAAATCTCCACTTGTAATTCATATACATGCATTTCTAGTCTTACTATCATTCATAATACTAATTAGATACAGCATTTCTCCTTCCACTTTTATTCAATATCCTCTTATGGCACTACTTACAGGGGTCTCTCAAAATGATGAACATCTGCTCTATTCCCTTGTCTGCTTTATTATCTTCCATATATATCAAATATTTACGTCTGCAATTATTGGTTTTGAGCTGTCTATTGGAACGAACTAATTGATATTACAATAAACTTACGGAATAGCAGCTTTTGGAGAGCCATACTACTACAATTATTAAGGATATCCTTATGATCCATATTACTACATTTATCTCATTGATGGGGTTTAACTAGAGTAAGAATAATTAGAAATGTTACTTCATTTACTGTTAAATATTTTATATATTGAAATAAAAATAGTATTATTATTTGTTTATTCATTTTTAATATCCAGCTTAATGTTCCTAATTTATGAATAATTTGCTGGAGAAATTGCAATTTCCTTCACAAATAAGAATTTATGTCTTCGTCTGTAATTTAATCAAATTTGAATAAATTTTAATTATTGAAGATATCATTTATTAAAATAAAAATGGATTAAAGTATACTATTTAAGCCTCTTAAAATGGGAGATGTCGAACTTCCTAATCGTATTTGTATGGCTGCTTTAACCAGATAGAGATGCGAATCAAAAGACCTTGTTCCCAACGACATTATTAAAGAATATTATGGACTCAGAGCAGAGGCTGGATTTATATTGACAGAATGTGTTCCGATTTCCTAAAGATCTTTGGCTTTTCCAGGAGAGCCAGGAATGTTCACAAAGGAGTAAGTAGAAGGTTGGAAGAAGGTTGTTGAAAATGTACACTCAAAGGGAGGAAGAATCTATGCTTAAGTTTGGCATGCTGGAAGAGCAAGTCTATCCACTTTATAGGATGGATTAGAAATTTGGGCTCCCTCGCCAATTAAGATAAGAGGCATCCACAGAAGAGGGTTGATAGAACATGAAGTACCTCACGAAATGACCATTGAGGAAATTCATGAAGTCATTAAACAATTTAGACAGGCTGCTGAAAATTGCAAGGAAGCTGGATTTGATGGGGTTTAATTACATGGGGCTCATGGATATATCATTGATTAATTTCTTAGAGACAGTTCAAATAAGAGAACTGATGAATATGGAGGTAGTGTTGAGAATAGAAGTAAATTGTGTTTATAGGTCATTGATGAATTGATTAGTGTTTTCGGAAGAGGAAGAGTTGGGATTAAGATATCTCCAGTCGGTAGATTGAATGATTAATGTGATTCTGATCCTCTTAAATTATATACACACTTGGTCAAAGAACTAGAAATAAAGAAAATTGCTTTTATTGAAGTTAAAGATGACAATGATCCAGCCAATTTGTTTGATTTTGGTTATCCTTCAAGCAAAGAGTAAATTCCTGATCTGTTCGAAGTCTTTAGACCATTATTTAGTGGCATATTATTAGCCAATAACCAATATACACCAGCTACTGCTATTGAGGGCATTGAGAAGGGAAGATTTGATGCTGTCACCTTTGGTAGACTATTTATCTCAAATCCTGACCTTGTGGATAGAGTTCGAAATGGATATGAACTAAATACAAAGTGGGATATCGATACCTTCTATACTAAGGGAATTAAAGGGTATTTAGACTATCCATTATATTCATAAATATAGAAATGATAAATATTATACATGTTATTGTGAAATGAATATCAAAATACATTTATAATAATCTCATAATTCTCTTGATAATTTTTTATAGTCAAAGACATATACAATAAATAAAGTTTTTAAAAAGGAATAAAGAAGTTTAGTATCCACAGAACGAAAAATCCATTGGTAGCCTTGTTCTTGCATTAGTTAATGTTAAATTTATGCGTAGGATTTGCACTCAATACTAGTCAATTTTTAAATAGCCAGGATTTTGAATGGATTTGAGATTACTTCTGCAGTTAAAAAAGCAGAAAATAAATAAAACATAGAATATTCACTCTTTTTATTTTCTTCTTGAGTATTATAATTTTAGTAATTTTACAATGCAGGAAATGCTCCTAAACCTCCAAAAAAGCTTCCACACAAAAAAGACCAAAATCCATGATAAAAAACTAATCCACCATTTTATTTGACTTTATAAAATAAAAGCTCTTTTCCATCAGTATGTCCGTAAACTTGTTAAAAGTAATACAAAGAATTGAATGGTACAAAAGTCTACTGTATTGTAGCTGCCATCACAAAGGATAATAACAAGTTTATTGGATTTACATTATTTTGCGTAATGTTCGACCATGAATTCAAAGCTTCCAGAAGCACTATAAATTCCGCACTTTTACTAATATATCTATAAAAGAACCCTATGAAAATCAAGCTGAATTACCACTATAAAATCGTTTGAGACCACCTTCTTTATAAATTAATTTCAATGAATCTTGCAAAAGTGTTCCATGCTTTTGCTAGAATCTAATGAGAGTTTTGATTGGGTAGCATAGGAAGATGGAGATGAATTTGTGTTATTTGAGAAAGTTCTCTCTTAAGTTTATATCTGTCATAAATAAATATATTTAAAATTAGAATATAAATAAATTAAAAAGAATAAAAAGGACTAATTTGATCCATGAACATCCTGGATATGGAGAATCAAATAGTGATGAAAGAACGATAGCAGATGCAGCTGGAGGAGATCAGATCAATTTTGGATCAAAAGTTGAAACCCCAAAGGCCTTTGATAATTCAATAGATTGATAAAGATCAAATATTCAGCAATCCCACAGATAATACTTACCTGCAGTATTTGAGAAAACCACAGAAAATTCAGAATAATCAGGATCTCTGTATAAGCAAAGGGTAGTTGAAGATACAGGAGAACGGGTAGTAGGTGGAGATGTACGAATTGAGGAATCTCACATTTGTTTAGTAATTAAAGAAGAATAGATTGCACTTAGTATTCCAAGGCTCTTAAGGTACTTACTTATAATTTGAAACGTAAAGAAAGCAATTAAAATTCTATGAATCCTTGAACTTCGCAATAGAGAATAAATTATTTAAGTGAAATATATACTTTTATAAATATTTATAAAATGTCTTTAGGTTTTATTTAATTAGGATAATGTGGTAACTAGATTGGACATGCGTTGTTTGATTTTATGATTTAAGAGTAATAACTTATTGGATTATAGAACTTAAATGTCTAGTCCAGGAGCTTAGGCTCTTCTGAATGAAATTTTCTTTTTTGAGCGGAAAAACAAATAGATTGCAAAATCATTGTTGATTGACATGGAGCCGAAAGTAGTTGAGAGATGTCTGAAGGCTGAATATTATGATAAGGGTATAAGAGAATATTCATTCAGCATTTAGTTTGACAAAATAGGAAGGATCAGGGAACAATTGGGCATATGGATTCAACAATCATGGTCCTGCAAATAAGAATGCGATTCTTCAGATAATGGATACTTTGTTGGAAGAGTGTGGATATTTGGAATCTTTGTTTTTCATATCTTCATTGGCAGGTGGAACTGGTTCTGGTTTAGGATCGTATATTTTGGAATTGATGGCTGATCGATATCCTGAGATCGAATTGTTTAACATTTGCGTAATGCCTCATTTAACAGGAGAGGTGATATTGCAATCCTTAAACACAGTCTTGACCATAGGTTCAATATACTAGCACAGTGAAGGGATAATTTTATTACAAAATGATGAGGCTCAAGCTTTATGCAATAATCTCCTGAATTTGAAGAGTCCAAGTTTGAATGATATCAATCAGGTGATGTCCACAAATTTGGCCAGTTTCTTTTGGCCTTGTCTGACAAATCAAGTGTACAGTACATTTCACAATAATCTACAATATGTGTAAGAGTTACTGAATATCACTAACAATCAATACAAATTGCTCTAGTTGAATTAGATCCCGTAATTGCCGTAGCAATCTAAGGCCTTCCAGAATGACACTTGGTCTGCCTTAGAAAAACGAATTTAGTAGATGGTGTTGACTGGAACGAAGGAATATAATATCAATTGGCATAAGAAGGGATAATAGCCATTCAAGCAGTTGATGATTGCAAGAGGGAACGACGTGAAAAAGCATCAGTTCAATTGGAACACGGTGTAGGATGAACATCAGTTTAATAAGAATGAGAAATCAATAACAGTAGTGCATAATTCGAGCAATATTGTAGAATCATTAAATTAGATATCAGACAGAGCAAATTAAATGATTTAAGAGAGAGCATATCTGTATCAATACGAGAAGTTTGGAGTTAAGATTCAACACTTTTAGGAGAGTATGGGAGTGGTGGAAGGTATAATAAATGATTATGAATAATTAATTTAATGATGTATAAATATATAAACAATATACACAGGAAAAGATTTAGATTTGATCAGCTGCTACTTGAGCTGATGGTAAATGTTACCATTCTTCCTTATTTGAAATTACTTGGATTTCTTAACTTATTTGTCATGATGTTGGTTTGCGAGGTCAGATTTTCAATTCCCAATCTTCTTTTTCCTTTGAGGAAAATATTCTCTTCTTCTTATTCAGGTTATCTTCCGGAAAACATCTTCTTGAGTTTGTAGAAGAATTTCTTAACAATGGCATATTCATTAATTAAGAAGCCAACATGTTATTTGACATCAATGAATAGTTGGAAAATGATTAGACAGGAAGTTAAAGCAATCACAAACCAACCAATAGTGAGTTGTGAGTCTACACTAAGGGAATTGGATTATTCATTAATAGCATAACCTAAGATCAGCATTTCAGCAAGCCATATCAAAATTTCAGAGCCCACTTACTTGTACTATTCATCTTTGTCTTCCAGAGGCTGCACTTTTATGAGGTAAAGAGCCATCGCAATGTTCAGAAGAGATACAAATCCCACTTGTAAACAGGGAGACGAATAGAACATTACTAGACAAAGCATGAATAGCATTTTTTTAATTAGGAGTACTATGTTGAAATAATAGGTGAATGGATTCTATTCTAATTTGATCCCTTCATAAATAGCTCCGAAATTGTCCAAACTTAATTTTTATTTAAACACAAAGGCTGGTTTGGACATGAAGTTGATGGCCATAGAAATGAATTTCACTTCCACGGCAAAAGCTAATAGACAAAAGAGAAAACTAGTGAATAGGATGGGATCACTCAATATGAAATCCTTCAACTATAAAAAGAAGGCAAGGTTGTAATCAAAGGCTACAGCCATGAAAGTTCTGATCAGACCTGATGAAAAGGCTTTATTAAAACGTAACAATTGTATTTGGATGGCTCTTGTGATTCTGTAAATGAAGAAAGTGCAAATGCTCTGTTCTTATGAGTTCAGTGGCACATATATAAAAGAATGCGAAAACTTAGTTAATGTCGATAGCAATGCAGTACACGCAATGTAAGTGAGAAGAGTGGTGACAAATACAGTAAGGACTGGGATGATATTCACGTAGAATACAGTTGAATACCCTTGATCTCTGAATTTAGGATCTGCATCTGGAGTATTCACATATTGACTGATGAATGTCTCCAAATCCAAGTAATTCTTAATGAAGTCAAATTAAGCAAATCCAAAGATTGTGAAATAATTATGCACATTATAGGGATACGATACATTGAAGAACTGAAGGTAGGAGACCAATTATAAGGCATCCAACAGATTCCAGAAGATGTTCAATCCTCCTAATAGGAATGCCAATATTGCAAATCCCAAGAGCAAATAGAGTACATACTTGCTCAGTTTCATCAATCCATCAGTGGCCTACTCAGTTAAAAGGGAAGGCTCTTCAAACTCCTTTAATTTGATCATGTAGTTCTTCTCTCCAAATGTATTACCATCCTAATTCAACACAGCATTCTAGTTAATAATCTAACACACCAATTCTGGATCAGGGACAGACTATTTAAATGTTATCGTCAACTCTAAGAATACTTAAGTGAATTTATCTGAATATTAAGTCAAGTCAACAAGGGTAAGATCGTAGTCATCACAATTGTTTATTTTGAATGCAAAAATAGAGCCTATGCTTCCAGTGATGGAAACAAGAGAATCTGTTTTGATTCTCACCAGTCTTTGTTTGTCAAACTTCTTGTCTGATGTGTTGACCTCAAATAAAATATTAGGATAAATAGCTTTTTCACAATGAGATCCACATTCAAAACCAGGTTCAATTTTACAGGTTTAATCACACCCATCTCCACTTGTCAAATTACCATCATCACATTCTTCTTATTCAACTTTAATAGCATCTCCACAAATGGGAACACATTCAGAATCAACTATATATAATCCCAAATTTTAATCACACATCACACATCCAGATTAATCTTCTTTGTAAATGATGCAATTAGTGCAATTATCAGCTCTTTGAACACAAGTCTTACAACTTGAATTGCAAGGCAAACAAATGAATTCTTAAGTTAAATAGAATCCATCTATGCAACCAGTACATTATCCTGCTAAGCATCCAGTACAAGTGTAATCAAAACAAAATGAATTGCCATGTAAACATTTATAACAGTTATCTCTACCGATATTATTACCATCATCACAATCTTCATTCCATTAAAGAATACCATCTCCACAATTTGAGTAACAATAATGATTAATTGGAGGATTCAAATAGTCTGCACAACTAGAACATTGTTATTAATTTATTTCATAATATCCTCTTCTACATTTGCATTCAAATAGGTTTACATTACTATTACTATGATATTTAGGTTCTCTTGTAGTAGGACATCTGGTGCATGATTCAAAATTATTATTCTATTTACACTCTAAACAACTTGAGTGGCATTCTAAACATCAAATAAATTACATACTTCCACATGTAGTGTCCGAGCTCTAATCAAAATATCCAGATTGACAAGTGCAAGACACATTATCTATACTTAATATTCTGAATTAAGTTTCATTGCAAGTTAAACAAGTGCTTTCATTTAAACAAGTTTTGCATTTCGAAGGACATTCTATTGTTTATTAATAAATTCATACTTTTACAAACTAGGTCTCCACTCTCATAAAATCCATCCATGCAAATACATTGATCAGCATTTAATCTTCTATTCTGACTGGAATAACATGCATTACATTAATCTTTTGTGAAATTACAATTCTAACACAAATCACTACACTTAGCACAAACCAGATCGTTGTCTTCTTAAAAATACCCTATTTGACATCGACATTATTCTTTATCTAAAACTCTATTCTATCCAGGATGACAAGCTGTACAAACTCTAGCCTACTGATAACATTTCAAACAAGTCGGTAAACATAAATAACAGCTGAAACCCTCCATGTAATATCCATCCAAACAACTACATTGGTTTACATTGAGCCATAAATTTTTAGTCTCATCACATGATAAACAACTTTTAGGATGATTCTAGTTCCAAATTCCATAGCTTTCTCTTGTGTCGATACAGGTTTTGCAATTATGAAAACAATTCGTTTATTCACAATATTCTATTCTTTCTTTTAATAAACTACAAAAACAAGTATTGTATTTTAATTCATAACCTGCTTTGCATGCCTGGCATTTATTTATACTTGTGCATTATGTACATCCTGAAACACATTATAAACATGTATCCTTCTCTAAATAATAGCCAGTCTTGCATCCATCGATGTCTTGACTTACAGTATCGATCTCATTTATACAATTTCCATGTTCATCGCATTTTATGCAATTATCCTGACATGTAGACACAATTATTCTAAAATCATAGATACCACAATAAGCATCAGTGTCAATCCCTTGAATGCATTGCAACTGAAGTCTGAGTTCCTTAGTGGAATCAAAACCTTTCACATATGAAACACTCTAAACAACTTCACCTTTGGATTAACCAACTTGATTCCCAACTGAAATACTGCTTCCAAACATACTGTATTGTGGCAATTCATTATTGACACTAGTACGGAATAAGATCTAGTTATTAGTTGAATCAATAAACACCAAATTGAAGTACACTTTTACCTTATAAATTAATTTGTCATGAAAGATTCTTAAGTTGATTTATTAATTTTCCCACATACCATATCCACCTAAAATGATACGATTCATAAAGTATGATGTTTTAATTTCTGAATATGGTACTAAGGTACACTTATCTAATGTAAGAATACATATGACTGTATCTTAATGATAATAATTCATATCATGATACATGTTTAATAGATATTTCTCATTAAGCGAAGTAAGTGTGGAATCATCACAAGAGTTTCCAATAGTAACGGTATAATTTGGACATTAAGATACACAGTTACCATTAAATAATTTCAAAGTTCCTGAACAGGATAAACACACATTGAGTTTCGATTGATCACAAGTGTAACAATTGTTTGAGCATTAAATAGCATTTGATATTAACTCATATTTAGAAATTTAGAAATCTCGAATTCCCCATGTTCTTGATGGAGTATTTAATTAATATTTGGATTTGAACATTATTTCTGTTACCAATTCATTCAATTCTACTTGAAGTGTGATTTCATATTATGCACAATGATTGTAGGTTGAAATAGAGCAGGATTATGCTTGACCCACAGTGGTAGATTCAGCAATAGGGGATATGAGTTGGACTTAATTGAAATCTGGTAATTAAGCAACAACAAATTAATTAAACAGTATTTAAATGCTATCAGGGTAGATCTTTGATATTTTACCAGTAATATAAAGGTGGAATTTGATCATGTATTTAAAAGCCGGTTGTAAATTGACGTCATCGTAAATAATTGAATCTGTATTGGAAAACATACCTGCAATTGACTTTGATCCAACGTTGTTGATCTTCAATTAATTTACACTGTAATATTTATCAGCAACAAATTTAAATTTATAAGAATTAAATGTATCTTCTTAAAGATCAGAGTAAAGTGCACTAACAATCGACGGTTAGCATATTCGATTCTTATCGGATGCATAATTGAGAGGACACTCATCTACACAAGTCAAATCAGGATTAAAGTAGGAAAATTGTAAAATTGGATTACATATACATTAATTTCTGATCAATTGAAATCCAGTTTTACATAAGACACACTCATTTTAATCACACTCTTCACATCTGTCGTCACAAAAGTATACTTGCAAAATGAAATTGCCAATTCCATATTCACTGGTCGTTCCAATTGAAGCTCTGTCATGGGCTATTTCAATTGTTAAATTTGGATCATTAAAGGATATTTCCTAATCTATACGAGAGAATTATTCAGCGTAAGATTTCCCAAATGGTCTCGAAACGCAGAATCTTAGAGGGTAATCTTGATTAATAAGAGTCCGCGGTTTATCATAATGAACCAATAAACTGTTGGCATAAACAGTAATAGATTCAACCGAACTCCATATATTTATGTAATAGAGATCGAAACTTATTCTAATTTTGCTGAATGATCGCGAGGTTGGCATAATAATATTTCTACTCAAAAGCGCATCTCCTTAAAGAAGCTTGGAATTCAAACTTGGCTGAAGGTCACAATATTGAACCAGATTTTAACCTGGGGAGTTGTTGGAGTTTTTCCAAAGGGAGAAGGTCGAACTATCTATTAGCTCCGATTTGAAGAGTTCCCAACCTTAATGGATATTCAATATCTTACCACAATGCACTATCTACATAAGCATTCTCAAGACAAATAACTACATCCATTTCATTATGTTATTTAAATAAATATTTCCATATACATCAATGCACAGATATACTATAATTTATTTGATAAATTCTGTTAAGAATATAATAATTTATGTAATCATTGTGTCATTCCGTGGATTACCCTTCCAGAAATCAGCCACACCCCTCAGAAATTGTGTACTAAAATTATATTTAAAATTTTTATATTTTATACACTTACTTTGCATACCCCAAAAATTTTCAGATCTATAACCCTGCTTTTTCACCCCAAAGTACCTTATCATATGACCTAGACCAATAGATTTCAACAAAACCATCACAGAAGATAAATTTCATATTAGATATTAAGTTAATTAATACACACGAATAAATTTAAATTCCTTCATCAAATTAATTAAAGAAAATCTTCTTTCATTACAAATTGAAAAGTGTGGCTCTAGCATTCTTATTTTACTCTTCTAAACCAACAACTCTTGTAGTTGTCAAGATATTCTTTATGTAATTAAATGCTAGATTTTGCTAAAAATATAATTTTTATATTAATGTTCATATTAATCTGAGTTGATAGAAAGTTCCCTACGTAATTTAACGTATTCTCTAAATTATATTAATATTGATAGATTATATCATGATTTACCTTTCAACTGACATAGTATCAATTTCATTTTAGAAAAACCATTCACCAAAAATGATTTTGGAGAAATATTTTAATTAGAATAAAGACAATTTAAACCACTCAAATTAAATCAAAATACTTTTAGTGTCACATTCATGAGTCAGATGAGAAGTTATCACAACAATCACCTTCTTTACTCAAAAAGAAATATATACTAAATCTTATTATAATTTCTTTTGATTTATTATAGTAATTAAATACATTTTAATTATTTATTAAAAAATATCATTATCATAATTAATATCATTCACAAGTGCATCTTGAACCTTGTAAATGAAGATGACATCCTTTCTTGCAAATTTGACACTGATATTTAGATATACATTCTGAGCAATCAGATACCTCACATCTTTGGCAGACTTTATCGTCACTTTCAAAATAGCCAGCCTTGCATTATTTGGTTTTATAATCAAATTCATATGAATTCCTTGTAAACTCCAAGCATTCGGATTTACTAGGTCCAGTACATGATTTACAATATGGAGTGCATGTATGTATAATTAAATAATAATCTTACAGAAAGCAAAAACCATTTGTATTACACCCAATAGTTATCATAATATCATTATTTGTATGTTTGAAATACTTACTATATTCAACAATAGAGTCTGGTTTATTAGCATCACCATCAATTTAAATCAAGTCCTTTGGATTTATGAAATTGTATTCCCCACCATCCAATTAATAAAAGAATCCTGTTTCTTCATCCTTATCTGACAGATCAATGTAGCTTACTGTAAATTTGTAGGTCAAAGCATAATGAGGTTAAAGGATCAATATCTTAGTAAATTCTTACCTTCTCCATTTGCCACCAAAAAGCAAATTAGTTTTGTTGAATCTAAATTAAAACACACTATGTTGGTCTGGCAAAGAAGTCTCTCCAGCCCAATTTTCTTGAGTTATATCAATATCCTTCAATATGAGTTAGCTGTTAGTTTGTTTATTTAAGAAAGCTTTGCAATAGAACCCTTCCACGACAGTTTCTTCAGGACATTAACTAAGACATTGGTTTTCAAATAAATAAAATCCTTCTTTGCATTACTTGCACTCATCTTATTCAATGTATTTTAAATCACAAACTTTACAATTGTCTTAGGAACATATAGATTCATCTATCAATAATTGAGTTAATTGGATATTCTGGATGATTATTTCAGAGTCTTCAGATTTGGTTGGATCACCTAAATCTTCAAAACGATTATATCTTTGTTTATGACCTTTACTTTTGGTGGGTCTAAATCCAATATTCAGATTCAAATTTGAGGAGTTCACATCAATTAGTGGAGTTTATAATTTGATTAGAGTGCAATTACTAGAATACTGACATTTAGTTTCTGATATATTGAATATTGAAATGTATAGATTTGAATAGTAATTTGTTATCCCTCCTTGGTAAATATCGTTAACAGTTATTTCTATTTATTAGAAGACCTAAAAATGTATTTGATTTTGAGTACTTTGAAATTAGATAGGATTAATTCAAAATCCAATCTGACTTAAGAGGACTTCTTTAATTGTATAGATTATTCAAAGTTCTTATTGATTTTGAGGTTTGTATTCTGTCCAAAAGTGGAAGTCTCCAAATATTCTAATAAAATCAACACAATGAAATACCAACTTTTTTACATCCACTAAATAAGCTTGCAGAGTATCCTTCAGGACATTGTTTCAAACATTGGTTTTTAAATATGAAATTCTAACAACTACATGTACCTAAATTTTATTATAGAGTGAAATTCTGTTGGCAATCTTAACAATAAATACGATTTTCAGTTTCTTCACAATTCTAACAGTGTTGAGGACATTAAATCTAGAAAACATGAATTTATTTAATTCCCACATACCTTCTTTATTAATTTGATTTGTTATCCAAAAGTTAGATATTTATAGAAATTTCTGTATAATTTTTTCCTTCCAATTCATAATTAAATGATAACATTTTATAATCTGAGGTATTGAAACATTCATTAATCATTGAAAATCCATATCCCAATTACCATGTTTGCTAGCTATCGATTGTTTTATTTTAAATTTATATTGAATATAATGAATCCAGAGGAACTATAAATTCTACTAAAATTTTGGTCTTTGCAAAAGGTGACAAGTCTTTAAGTGAAATGACCTTTTGTAGACTTCCTTATTAAGCTATGATTGGCAGATTGTATGCTTGACAATTTAATTGTATGTAATTATCCAACGTATTTTGGGTAAAAGATTTGTCATAGCCTTCATAATGAGTAATTGTCCATTGAGCAACTGATGCATTCACCAATAAAATAGCGATGATGTAATTCAAGTAAAACATTTACGAAATAAATTTTATAAAAACAAATAAACAATATTAAATTAAGAGGACATAGTCAAAGATTCGGTTTACAAATAAACTCAGCCTCCCGCGTATCCTAACATTTGAGACATTTATTCAAAGACTAACATATTAAGCAACCTTGCGAACAGACTTGGCACCCTTTTTCACTCAAGTAGTATCCATCTTAACACTAATGGTTCTGATAATCGAATTTTTCAATATTAGACTAATAAACTTTACAATCAGATTAAGATGGACCTGTACAACTCTGACAAAGTGGAGAACACTAGAGAAATATCTAAAAACACTATTACTTTCATAGTCATAAAAGAGTAATTTGAAATCACACATCTACCATTACTCGAGATTTTACATCCTAAATTTAGGTTTAGGATGTTTTTATTATGATTGATTGTATGATCAACATAACTTGTATTTTTATAAACATTAAAGGTTCTACCATCAATCGAATAAAAAAAACTGTCCAATTCTATACTTGAATTCTCTATAGATATATTGAACATGATTCTAATTGCATAGTGTTTCCCCAAATTCATTTACTTCTAATATGTCGTGCGTCGCCATTGGTCCAATAACCCTCCTCCTATAAACGTTGTTTCATTCTCATATCTTAAACTAATCTTCTCGTTCAAATCATAAGATATTTAACCAAAGATCTCTTTTATATCCTGGAATGGTGATACTAACATCACTAATATGTTTAGATCTACAGGTTACTTACTTTCATACCTCTATGCTTTTCATCTAAATTTATGCATTTACTTTCATCTCTTACTGTATAAAAAGGACATTTCTTTATGCATTTATTTTAATAAACATAAAATCCTTCAGCACACTTTGCACATTAATTATGATATGAACATTAACTACAATTCTTTATTTCACATTCGTAAGATCTCTGTTCCACATTATAAATCTTAAGACTCTCGATTTCCCAAAATCCAGTTTATTCTATCTTTTTTGAATAACTATTTATATTAACTTAATTTTATTTAAGAAAATCTATCTCAAATAACCCCTTTACTTAAACACAATCCATTTCGAACCTAGACTTACATTATTTTTTGAATTGTAAATTCCAATAAGTAAATAGAGATGGATACAATACTTGAGAATTACCATTCATCAAATCTATTTTTATAAGTTGGTCTTCATTTCTCTCTTATTTACTATAACAATTAAACACAATTTCCAAATATCCATTAAAATCAGTTTCAAAATTTAATTTGACTTATTTCTCCCCTCCAAATTTCTTAATTGTATTAAGTTCCTCCTACAAAAATGTTTTCACTTATTCAATCTCAGTTAACTCTAAACCTTAGACAAATATATTACTTGCTTGTACACATGAGTTATATTCAGCTATGGTACCTTGAGGACATTCTTCTAAACATTAGTCCTTGTATCTCAATTTATTACAGTTCTCAAATAACTCAAGATCACATGAGCCTGATAGACAATATTTACAACCCTTTTGGCATTCTTAAATAAACACATTAAAGTTTTTTATTTCTACTTTGGTGTATTTTTCAAATCTAATCTAAATCACTACATCTTGAGCTTGGTGTTAAAATTACAGATGAAATTGAGTATACTCTCCTGATAACTAAATTACACCTCTTCTAATTCCATTTACTATTATCAATATACCACTTTGACTCTTATTTGTTTTAGCATCAAAAATTAAGTATAATTCTCTATATCCTGGCAAACCTTGATAAGAGATAGAGAAGTTTCCTTCAGCAGTTATTTAATAATCATCTTAGATTATAATATTTTCATTCATCAATTGATTCTATTACTCTTGATGACAAGAATGGGGATTCCAACTAGGAAATAACCTTCAATCAGGAAGATATCAAGAATTAGCACATTGGCATTTATGGATAATCATTATTTATTCAAACAAATATTCTCTAGTTTTACCACAGAGGCATATATACATAATCATTTTATAATAATACGTATTTTCTCTAGATGCTTTAAAAATTATAATTATAAAATTATAAGATTTTAACAAAAATCAATCTTTTTATTATATAATTAATTATAATTTATTTTTTATATAATTTCTTTCTTTTAATTTTGTTATTCTCATTGATTTTACAATGGATTTATTGTATTGAATGCTGTTTCATTATGGAAATATTTAAAGCACTTTGAATCTAGCAATATCCTTTATTTTAAATAATATATTATCTAATTAACATACATATAATAGATTACAATTATAATAAATACATAAAAATGGTATTAATTATAGATGACATAATATTCTTTTTTAGAAATTAATTGGTATTTCAAAATAGAGATAATTTATATAATGTAAATATTAAAGACAATGCTTTGTTTATAATTAATTACATTAAGGATTATAAATAATTACTAAATAAATAAACTTTTATAAATAGAAAATATAAAAATAAAAGAAAAGTTCAAAAATAATAGGCATTGAGAACAAAAGTGAGCTCCTGATCTCTAATTGGCTTCACTAAATAATCAATCATTCCAATTTTCAAACAGTTCTCTTTTTCAAAATTGTCAATATAACCAGAACAGGCAACAATAGTTTGATTAGGATTTAATTGCAGTAATTATTTAGCGGCATTTAAACCATTTAAAATTGGCATCTCGAGATCCATAAAAATGATTCTGTATCCTGTACAGAAAGTTGAACACTTCTTGTTTTTAACCTTTTAGATACACTCATTGCCATTAGAAGCAGAGTCAATATCTGTTATATTTCTAAATGTTAATTAAAAGAATACTTTTTGTTTAATATCTTTGTAAAAGTAAAAATATTAAAGACTTCATCATCAACTAGTAACATGTGTTTACATCTTAAAAGCGGGGGTTCTATATCAATTTTCATATTGTCTTCAGCATGAAACGTTTGTCCTTCATCAACTTCTTAAAACGATGCAGAGATCTCCTTAATCCTAAAGCTGGAGACTTTCTTTAATCTGGTGGTTTGAATATGCAAATCAAAATAAAAATAAGTCCCTTGATTTTGCTTAGAATCTATTTATAGACCTCCACAACCAATGGATATGGCTATTTAATTGCTGATTACTAAACCAAGTCCTACACCTTGTTCATTGCGTTTGGCGCTTTCTTCCGAATTGACCTTAGAAAATGATTTAAATAACTTTTTTTAATCTTCTTCAGAAATTCCTATGCCATCATCTTGAACTCCAATTCTTAATGAGGTAGAATTGATGGAAGTAACTGAGATGATTATTTTGCTGGAGGCAAATTTAAAACTATTGCTAACCAAATTAACTAAGATTTATTTGATTCTATTTCTGTCAGAAACAATAACAGAGGAGAGTGTATTATCAAATGACAAGGATAAATTGATGTTTGTTATTTTAGCTTTCAATTCAAATAACTTTAATACTTCCTTTATTAATTAGATCAAATTGAATTTTGATCTCTAAATAGCAAATTTACCATTTTTGATTTATGCCAAATCTAGCAGATCATTAGATAGATTCAAAATATAGTTTGAGTTATCCAAAGCAGCCTACAAGATTTCAATCAAATCATTTGACAATTAATTAGAATGAAGTGCATCTTCTATCATTTAGATTATACAATTTAGAGGTGATCTATACTCATGACTGACATACGAGAGCATTTTAGATTTCTGCATATCGTATTCTTTCAAATATCTAATTTTCTGTTTATGCGTAATATCTCTAATCAGCATGAAATACAAATTCACATGTTTTTTGATGAGTGTTAATTCCAACAACTTTTCAACTTGCTTTTCACTTTAAGACATGGTAACACTATTAATGGGGAACAAGACATGAATGATAAAAGATTCATTAAAAGAATCAGATTTGAATTTATCAAATATGTCTTTAAGATTAGGGGCTTAATTTTTATCTGAATGTGTTTAGAACAAGTATATCACTTCTTGGTTATGAGGTGATTGATTTATGTGGTCACTCTTAAGAAAAGCCATACTTTTAGTATACAATTGTTTTGAATGTTTCAAATGAAGTTCGTAATCATCATGATTTTGATGGTATATATAATTTAAATTAGTAAAGGAATTTAGAACTTCTACTATTTCTTTCTATGAATTCACAGATAATAATGCCCTTGAAGCTATATTAGAATAAACGATTTCCATATCCTAATTGTTATTTTACTTCAATCGCAGCCCAAGCAAACCTTCATGGGAATATTACAGCTTTACATCTAATATATTCGAATTTAAGAACTAATCAATAAAGGATAACTCTGGGATCAATTGAAAACGTGGAGATTAATTACTTTTTGGCGATATCTTTTCTGATTCAGCCAATGATAACGCTCTCTCTTTTCTTTTGATCATTTGAGTACAATTTATGTGCTAGAATGACTCATTTGCTTTACTTTACATCATTGTTGGCTTTCTTATACTAATTGTGTAATTAATTACAAATGAAAGTAATAGGCAAATAATTCCTTAACAGTAACATAAGTCTATTTCAGAAGTTTGGGAAATGTAAAGAATTTAAAAAAAAGTAGACTGTAGTAGTAATAGGAACCAAATTAGTCGATACCTTATTTGAACTTATTACTCTTGAAATCTCCTAAAATCCTGGAATAATTAGGTTGTTAAAAAATGAGCTATTATTACCTAGGCCTCACTGTTATATTAAATATTCCTCTGATTCGTTATGACTTACCAAAAAAGACTAAATTGAATTATTATAATATTTCCTATATATTAGATTCTCTGATTTTTGGTTTAAATATATAACAGGATCAAGCCAAGAATAGATTGTAGAATCAAATAGGCCAAATTGCTATTTTCTGAACTTGTTGAATAGTAATAAATAGAAAATCCTAGTCCGTTGATCTAATATAGCATCACTACAAATCTTTAAATAACTTTCATTTATCAAATAATAAATATTATCAATAGCTCTTATAATTAGCTTGTATTATTAAAATATATCAAAATAACGGAGTTTTACAAATCATTAAAACTACATCATCTCCTTAAAAGAAATTCCTCTGATCTTTCTGTTTTCTATAACTTTATTCCTCCAATACTTTCCATTAAATATTATAAATTATAATTAAGCATACTAAATGATAATAATAATGAAAAAAAGACTGAATGATCTAATTAATTAATCAGAACTTAAAATATTTCTCAAAATCTCTTCCCGTTTAAGGACAAATCGTATTACTTTTTATGCAAGTGTGATGTGCTAACACAGAATTCGGATATACCACAAAAACCTATTTAATTAATTATATACTTTTTCTCCAATTGTTTTACTGCAAACAGAACATTACTTTTCACTTGTCATTCTCACATTCGATTATTTAGTTGTAGCAACTTGACATTACACATACAACAAGTCCACTTAAGATAACTGATATGCTGCTTTAGTTGACCTTTTCTAATGTAACGTATGACCTAAGTCTCACCTTAAAGTTTACTTATTACACTTTTCAGAAATTAAAACAGTCCATCATCTTCACTTTAATCAGACAGTATCCAATTATCAGGAATCAGATCTAAGACCTCCAGAACATTAAGCTAAGAGTGAGTTGCAAATTTTTTTAAGAAACTGTTAATAGTAGTCTTTTTTAATATAACACATTATTAATACTTTAATTTAATTAAATGCATTTTACGCTTGTTAATCTGTTGGTCTTTCTTTTTATTTCCCTTCCAAATAAAAATAAAGTTCTTTATACTAGATTAAGACTTTATATTAGACTAAATACTTTTTTAAATAGTTTTGTCAATAGATTATCAGTATAATCACAACAATACTTTTCAGCCCATTCATAGAATCCAAGACTCAAAAGTTAATTAAGTGCTTCTTCATGTTTTTTCTCCCTTCCATACAATAAAATGACTTCATTTATCATCCAAGAATCCTTCACTTTTTTTTCTAAAATACTAGAGGAGTTGTATTTGGCATTAGGATTTTTCAAAAACCTTTTCAATGCTTGATATTAATCACTAACAACCTAGTTTTTTCTTAAATCTATTTTTGAGAAATCCATTTCTTTAGGGTATTATTAAAACAAAGAATCAATATAAGAATATGCTAATTGAGTATGAAATCTTTCTTCTTCAGTTTGTTTTTCTAAAACTAAAATTTCTAAATATTTTTCTTTCAATTTCCTTTTTAATTCAGCGTCCAATTCTTATTCTTCTAAAAATTTCAACATCTGATCAGGTGTGATAATTTAGTCACTAATTTGAAATATTTGAACCCCAACTTTAAATTGTTTTTTAAAGACCCATACTATAAATTTAAAGATCCTATTCTTTTCTGGGTTCTACTTTAGAATTCTTGTTGTTTCTTCACAGGCTTCCTGTTGTTCTTGTATATGTATTGATTCTCTTCCAACTTTCTTCCAAATCTCAAGAGACTGATCAATTTTATTAAATGATTCATAGAATCTAGCTAAGATACCTTATTATTATTCGATTCCTCTGTTATTTTAAAACAATCCTTATAATTGATTGTACATTTAGATACAATAGATTTGATTGCTAGTAAAAAATGCCTTTAATTTTGGAAAATATTGAGAAGATTCTAAGTATAATTTAATTAAAGCAAAATCTATTAATTCCAACAATTACTCACAAGGGATAGGTTGCCATTAATTTTAATTAAAATTTAAAGTTGTCGTCAACAAGTTAAGCTTATCCTTCATAGAGTACGCATATTAAGGTGAAGTTAGAACAGCTCTCTTTTTTTCCAAAATTTCAACTAAAAACTCTTTAGCTTGAAATTTGAGTTCTTGAATTTGTGTTGGATCTCCTCTGGATTCCTATACAAATTTATTTATAATTAATGAGATGGTTTGTAATGATGGATTTGGATTCACTGATTATAACTTTTCAGCTGCAGGATAATAGTCAGGAAACAAACAAATGAAATCTCTAGGTTCGAAGTTAGTTTATAAAATGTAATTGAGAGAATTTGAAAATTGCATTTGTCTAACTAATGACCATCCACAATCCAATTTCAATTGTTCCAATTGTTAATTTTTTGAAGGATCAGCAGCTTGATTATTTTATGAATAGACTTATAGAGCATCTTCAACTCTTCCATTTTTTAGTAACTCAGATATTTATTATTCAGCAGGAGTTTGATACAAATAAATTATCTATTTGAAATGAATAATATACTTCAGCAGCACTACCATAGAATAGATGGTTTGATGTCTAAGTGATACATCTGGCAGCCTATGATAATTGAATATCACTCATATGTTTGGAGTCACTCAAATTAAATACTTGTAACAAGTTATCAAAGATCACTATTAGGTATTGCTTAAATGTTGTGATAAGTGATATAGTTTTATTCTGAATTAAGATAGTACTTTTTTATTTCATTTAACCATCTTTACCTATAAAAATGCCAACATTGTTTGTAGTAATAATAAGGATTTCATCGTTGTCTGTTGCTTTTAAATATGGATTAGAACCAATGTCCATTAATAAATTAGCTACTTACAATTACTTGTCATCTAGATTTATGACTGAGTAATTTTTCTTCTGAATTCCAAAGAAAAACAAATTACCTATGAAAGCAACTGTAATTGGAATGTCAGATAGAATGAACTTTTCTCTCATTTATTCAAATTTTCCTGTCTTTAAATTGTATTGCATAATATATCCTTCTTTCTTTTTAGTGATCATAACTAGTTCCAATTAATTACTTTTTGAGAATTCATTTAATGCAAAAATGGCTACCTTCTCCTTATATATCACCTCCCCTCTTAATGTTGCTGCTTCTATACAATAGAGAGCCTAATCTGATAAGACTAAAAGATTGGCATTTGCATGAGGGAAGATTTTAATTTGATCAATCTTTGCTTTAGTGAATTATTGTTATTGAATTGAATTAGGTGCCAATACATTTACTGATTCCAGAGTCAAATTATACCTAATCTGATATTCTGCATTTTATTACCTGTAAATGTTTCCTTTTTCGTCTCCAGTAAATAAGAAATTTTAGAAGGCATCCATTGCTGTTATTTTGTAAGTCAGATCAAGAACACTTCTGGGATTAAAAATACTTCCGGTTTTCATTTATTTTTAATTATTCTATGTTTATAATATTAAATGAGTTTAATGTATTAATTACTACCAAAATTAATAATAAATAAATATATATATCATATAACTCGATCAGCACTTCAATAAGTTTTGCTCAATCATCTTCAAGTTTTTAAGATGGCAACTCTTCTATTAGATATTGGAATGATAGATATAACTAATGGCTTCATTCTTTAAAAATTTATTCCTAAAAATATTAGACATAAGCTTTACCCCAATATTCTAAACATACTCAAGAAAGATTCCTTCTAGGTGTAGTTCTTTATGTGATTTATGTTCTTCAACTTATTTTTGAGTTAGTTAATTATTTTCAAGAACTCGATTCCTTTCTTCTTTCCCAAAGTGTTTATAATTAGAACTCTCTATCCGCAAGCATAAGAGACGATTGCCTTAGCATAGTTTTTTTAAATATTTGTAGATTTTTGTAAGAGATTAATCTTCTTTTTTCCAGTTTTTTATTTCGGTTTATTTGATTCTGTATTAGTGTAATTTTCTTCATTATTTTCAACTGCGGTTTCATTTTTATTTTGTTTTATCAATTCAGAGTTTAATAGATTGTTTGAATCAAAGTTATGGTTAGAAAAAGAACTTTAATCACTGGATTTTGAGATTATTTGTTTTATTTCAGGTTCTTAAGAGCTTTGGTATTGAGGTTATATCAAATAGTTAGGCATATATGACATGTAGTACATGGGATAATATTGGGGATATGCTCCAGGTTAAGAGTAAATAAGAACAGGCATGAAATTCTGATTTTACATTGCTATATTTATAATATTGAATCCTAGAATGTTTTGGCTTTAAAAAATGAGTTTTCGGTTTATTTCCTTAATCAATTATATATTTAATTAAATTTATTTTAAATTAGATTCTATATTCCTTCAATAACACTAATACGGTCAATTAAATCCTCTTCACACATCAAAAATCCATTCTTTCTTGTTCTATTCTGTATAAATTCATATAAATTTCATGAATTCTCCAATTATCACTCGATTCAAGACTATTCCCAATTTATGTACAACCATTCATTAAATTCAGTCATTCAAATTAATTTTCAAGCCATATGCTCTCTTTATTTTATAAAAATACATGAGATATTCCATGAATTTATATTTTATTCAAGAGCTCGATTTTTAGTCAAATATTATCATCGCATATATTGTGGGACGTATTAATACTGAGAATCACTTAAACACATAAGAAAAAACTTATTTTATTGAAAATTACTGTAGTGTATTATAATTTATTTTCTAATGATAAATTGATGAATATAAAGTTTATTAGTTGAATAAATAAATTAAACTGAACTGAATTATTAATATTATTGAATTTTATAATAGAAACTTTAAAAAAGAAACCTTTAATATTAATTTCAATATAAGAATCAAGTAAACTAATAATATAATCCAGAGGGAGTTATTTCAATTATTTTCTTTTATGATTTTATACAACTAGCTATTATCATATTAACATAATGCTTAATTGTGATATATCTTATTTAATAAAAACTGGATATATTGTAATTATTGAATATATTATATATGAAATGCTGGAATTATCAAAACGATAATTGTATGGAATATTAATGAGCCATTAAGCTTGCATTGGTTAGTCAAGGAATGGTAATCAATTTCTATTGAGATATTGCATTCTTGATATATTAGACTTAATTTATTTGAGTTTATAAAATATTAATACTATGTAGTGTTTTACATAAAAAAAAAATAAAAATTAAGAAGATGAAGAAGAAGAATTAGATGTTGTAAAGTTGAGATATATGGAATTAGATCAAGAGGAGCAAAAGAAACGAAAACCAATTAGAGCATTTTTTAATGAATTTCAAGAATAATCAGTGCTATAGTTGGATGCACAAGATTATGAATGGTTAAGAGTAAAGTTCTAGGATCTAAAGGAAGCTTTAAAAACAAATGATGAGAAAATCTGGTAAAAGGAAATGCAAGAAAATAAGCAAATATAGCATTAATAAAAGGTGGAATTGGATTAACTATTAGAAATCTTCACGGAATAGAGATATAAAATTAGAGAGATGGAAGCTTAGAAAGAAAAAAAGATAGAGGAACTTGATGAAATGAAGAAAACATATCTAAAGGTCTTGATTAAAACTTCAGCAATTAAAAAGGAGTTGATTAATCAATAAAATAAATTTGCTGATCAAGTGCATCTTGTGTTGAATCAAATACAAGAAGCTAATCTATATTATTGATTTATTATATATAAATTAAAAATACTGATGGGTGCAAATTGCTGCAGGCAATATAATGACAAACCATATGAGTTAACAAATCTCAATTAATTTAATACATCAAATATCTCGTAAAAGAAAAGTAGCACAACAGCAAATATATTAAACAAAGAAAAATGTCAATAGCAAGATGAAAATTTTAAAGAAGAAGCATCTGTTACATATATCCATGAACCGCACAAACTGGAAGGAGAAAATCAAGAAATAAAGGAAGTTAATGGAGATGTTGATGCAGTTGAATCAATACAACAGTCTCATCAATTCTTATAAGATTGCATTCCAAACAATAATGAATCATCATCAGAATCGGCTGAATCCCTTCACTGTGATGATACCAACACAAAAAAAACTATACTCAAACATGAACTAAGATATTGTCAAAAATAAGGTTCAGCCTAAAACAAAGAAGTAATTAAAAAAAAGGTGAGATTCGATCTTAAATCAAATGTTAAATGAAAGTGTATCGTTTGATGTTTCTATTTATTTTTGTTTTTCCTATCTTTATAAATGATAATTAAAAATTTTAGTTATTTAGTATGATAAATAACTTATAAAGATTATTAAAACAATAAAAAATAATTATTTTAAAAAATATTGAATATGACGAATTAAAATTGTAATTCAATAAATCCAAATCGTTAATCTTATGTATTTACATTAAATTTTAAGTTGAATATTATATAATAAAGTATAAAAATACATTTTACAAAAATCAAAGACTAACAATAGACTGCCATGGCTCTAATAATTTTAAATCGACTTAGAAACTTTTAAGTTACAATCTTCCTACATATGTGTGTTCTATTGAATATAAGATAATATTGATTTTATATTATTCTAGAGATGGATTGAGTAAATATAGATCTAAATATATATAATTGATTTTTTGATCAATTGACATTTTATTTCCTAAAATCTGGGTGTTCTTTACTGAAATGTTTATGTATTTAATAATTAATGACTTTAATTTAATTACAAAAACTAAAGTTCACAAATAAATAAAATTATTCATTAATGGATAACGCAACTATTCTCACTTTATAAGTTTACAGTAAAAATATATTTTTTGATCACCCCTATGAATTAACATATGACGGAGACAAAATTTTATTTTATAAGGTATGAGAATCATCCTCATTTATAAAGCTGAAGCAAGGAGTTTATATTTTCAGATTTCAACTTTTGATAAGAATCATGACTCAAATTAAGTGGATAACCAAAATTGAAGGTAATTTGCCTAAAATTATTGGGTTCACAATAAACATCAAGAAAAAATTCAAGAATTTTCTTTGTAAGGACGTTAATGGACTTTTAAAGTAATTACATCATCAAATGAATGTTAGTCTGAAGAATTTTCTGAGCTGCAAATGCAGTTTTGCTAATTTTGATGAATTATTTAACGTCAAAAGTGAGATAAGTAGAGGGTCTTCAGGGAGTGTGAAAAAAATCTAATGTAAATAGACTGGAAATGAATTGGCTGTTAAATTTATTAGTAAAAAGGATTTAACACCTTTAAATTATGTATACTATATATATATTCTACTAAAGTCAATCTTAGAGCAAGAAATAGCTGTGATGAATAAAGTAAAAGGATATAATTATTTTGTGAAAATCCAGGATTTATATCAAGATGATTTATACTACTTAATCATCATGAATTATTTGGAAGGGTACTCGTTGTCTCATTATTTGGAAAACAATAAAAGAATGAATAAAACCTTTTCTTTGTTTTAAATATTCTCAATTATGAAACGGCTATTTGAAGCCTTAATCAAACTATCCTAATTAGAAGTAAATGGACAATTAAATATAGATTATACACAGGGATATAAAACCATAAAATTTAGTTTTAGCAGAAGAAGATGATTTCAATTCTCTTACCATAATAGATTTTGGATTTGCAACCTTCACCAATATTAACAGATATCTTTTATATAAATGTGGTACACCCGGATATGCAGCACCTGAAGTGCTTAATTCTTAATGCACTTATTACTCATTTAGTTGTGATATTTTTAGCAGTGGTTGTATGCTTTATCTATTGTAATTAACTGATTCATTCTTTAGGTTATTTAATGAATTGCCTTTTAAAGGTGACACAACGGAATAGCTAGTCCACAACAACAGAATTTGTTAATTAAATTTGCAACAAGAAAAATGTAATGCTTTCTCTTTGAGTATTATTGTAAGATTTTTATGCAGTTATATAGAATCTTTTGAAATCTCTATTGGAAAAGAATACATCTGACAGAATCACTTTGAAGGCTGCTTATGAATAATTTTCATCTTTGTATGAAATTTATAAACAAAGGTGTGATACTGAGGATTGTCATGACTCATCTCCGCTTGTAAATAGGCTACCTAATTTTGATATCTAAATTGGTAGAATATTTGAATCGAGCTCAATAAAAGAACGAGAACAAGTGAACAAAGTTGTTTTAAGTTGATTGCTAAATTCATTTAATAATATTTAGCATTCTCATTTAAGTATATGATCATCAAAAGTTTAATAATTTTATGATATTTTTATAACAAATATTTTAAATGAACCATTAATCAATAAAACCTGAAATCTATGTAAAATTCGCACATAAAGAAAGAGTAATTAGTAATATTGAGTAATCTATTAACAAAGAATAAAAATGAAAAACTCATTACAACAAACACTAAGGAAAAATGAGGATTTTAATGGTTTGTATCTAAAATTATGATTATAAAAATAAAACTTACCATTATTATTTAGAACAATCATTTCTAAATTTAACTTTTAAAATATTAAACTGAAATTTCACTATTGAAATAGAAATATTATTTATTAATTAAACTAATATAAATTTTATCCAAAAAAACAAAATATTTACAATTTCTAATTGATATAAACAGATAGTTTATAAGATTAACATTTCAAAAGTTCGCATAAAAAAATATTAAAATAAAGAAATAATTTAGTTAAAATTTATAAAATGAGAATATAAAATTCATAAAAATTTCAGTTAACGGATTTAATAAATAATGTCTTCGAGCCTCGAAATATATGTGACAAAATGAAAATTTTATCTGGAATTCATAATTTTTGAAATTTTAATTAAATTAAAATATAAAATCATATATTTTTCATCACTCTAAAACTATTAGAAAATTTAAAGACTTAAGGTTTAATTTACTTACTTTTTGGTTTCTCTTTGTTAGAATTTCTGATCACTTAATTAGCATTGTTATGTGGTAAATAATCTACATAATTTTGCATTTTATCAAATCCTTCCAATACATAGAATTATTATTTGACTTAAAATTGATCTAATTATTTAAAAATTAAAGTTTCTCTATAAATTTATGTTCTTCTTTTCTCTTCTTCTGTAAAAGATAACTTTTTTTTAGCTAAAACTAAGGATTTCCTTTTTTCATAATCCAAAATTGGTGTATTCGATCCTCTTCTACCCATCCCGCTCTATTGAATTAACCCGTTTTATTGAATATTTCTATATATAGAATTCTATGATTTTTCTCGCAATTCTTCTACTGGTGTGGTTTCAACTTGGCCACTAGTTTCAGATACCTAATAAGTTTGAACTTGAGTATTGTATTCTTCTATAAATGATATGGATAGAAATTCTTGAAAGTCTTTAATGCTTGCTTCAATCTATTATTGATCAAGTTAAGATTTTATTTTTTTTTTTTCTTTTCTTTTGAATTTTTCTCTCTCATTAAAATCAAATTTATTAAATTTTACAATTTTTAGATATTTAGAGGGTTGATATGTTAAGTAAGGACACTCAATATCTTTGTGTGAAAATTTATTACATAAATAACATTTAGTTAAAATGCTAGTGTAATTTTTGGTATATAAAATTGAATCTTTGATTTTATGAAACTTCTCATAATCCTTTTGGGTTTACTTTATGATACTTATAAATTTATCTCTGTCTATCTTATATAATTATGTAAATCCCACACTTATAGTTGATTCTTTGGTATTTTATCCAGTGAAAAATTAAAATTCGCCAAAAACATCTCCTGCTTTCAATCTTTTTATAATCTTTTAGCTCTGCTCTTCTAAAATTTGCACTTCCCCTTCAGAAATGAAATATCTAAAGAATATATATATATTTTTATACAAATTTTTATCTTTTATATCTTCTCTATGATATATTATATCCTTAGGAGTGAATTTGACTGGAATCAGATTGTTTTTTACTTGGTTTTATGTTTATATTGAAAAATAATCGGTTATGAGTTTTATCTTTTATATAGTTTTTTATTAAATATCTGATTCTAATTCTAATCTTAAACCAACTGGCAAATCATTTAATATTTTCGTAGTTTCTTCTTTATTCTCCATAACTTCATGTTCGATACTAAATTTAATATAATTCTTCACTCTACTCTAAATCTAAGAATCAACTTCATTCTTTGACATGAATTTACTCATCAATATTAAAGTTCTCCTTTGATATATAAATAAAATCAATACTTAAATTTTGTTTATTCATCATAAATATTTTTCACTATCACTCCTATCGAGTTCATTGAATAAGCAAACATACAAGTAGAGGATATCATTATTATTGATGCAAATGCTACTTCAACCTAATTTTTAGGTGTAATATCTCCATATCCCACAGTAACCATTGTCATTGTAGCCCAATAATAAGAATAATTGTATTGTGCCCAAATATCTTCATTTATGATATGAGCGTATGTTAGCCAGGAGCCTTAATTAATTGTAATGTAACCAATATAATGCCATAAACAAGCTGTAAAGTGAGCAAAGAAACAAATAATTATAATCAGACTTATTAAATCTAGAAAGTGACTATTAAATCCTTTTAGATACAATTATTCAATTTGAATATTATATTTTCTTAATATCTATCGAACTGTTAAAATAATTTATGATATGGCCAAAATTTCATTGAGTACTAAAATTTCATTTAAATCAAAATAAATCAAAAACCAAATTATGAAACTGGTTAAATCTTCTATCAATTGATTTTTTGAGTAAAGAATCCATATTTATTAATTTTCACTGATGATTTCTCCTTAGAGAATAATTGGTCTATAAATTGTAAGCACACTCTCAAATATGAGATATGTGTTGAAGAAAAATTCAATTCCCTTGAAAAATTTATCCTATTATCCAAATGCGGCAATCATAGTGCAAAAGAATAATCTCAAAAACAAAACAAATAAAGACATAAAATCCCATAAAATCGTAAGATTCTTGCCAGGCATTAGTAGCATACTTAATTCCGATACTTTGGTGGCATACCCATTTTCTTTACTGACTTAAAGATATAATTTAATTACTTCATCTCTATTTTGGTTTAATTGGCTTTTGTTTTTTCCTTTTATTCGTAGATGTAGGTTTCGTTTTCCAAGATGTATTTCATTTCATTTGGAAGAACATATGCTGATGAAAATAGGTTATTTTTAAATTTATTGATGATGTTATTTTTAACAAGGGTTCTCATAAAGGAAGGCCGTTCTGATTTCTATATTTTAGGTTCCAATAATTGTCTCTTGCTACCCTTAATGAAATTACTTTATGATTATTAATTAGGATTGCCTTTATTATTCCTGAAGTTTTGCTTGGCTTTGGAAATTTGGAGAATTGTTGGAAAAATTTCTACATTTTGAGAGATATTATTAGATTCAATCTCTTTCTAACTAATATCTGAAGTGATTGAATTCTTAGAAGGAGAATTCTTTTTATAGTTGTTTATATTGGCAGAATCAATTAAAATACAAGGACCAAAATAACCATCTTGTAATAAACAATGATCAGTTCTATTTGTGTTCATTTATATTATAATTTAAATTATTAATCAATAATTAATTATTAGAGATTATATTATAGGGAAAGTCAAGTTTATAAATTTTCTCTGATGATAATATTTGTAATTTTCAGCCAAAATATTCTTATTATATAAATATATTATTGCAGTAATTAATTTATAATAAATTATAATATCAAAATATAGTGGTATTGATCATTTTAATACTAGTTGGACTAAAAAGACAAATTCATAATGTATTTAATAGCACATTTTACAAACTTCAAAAATGAAAGAGTGCCTAAAATACCTTATATAAAATATGAGAAATTAGAGTGTTAAAATTGGTTTGGAGATTTAGAAAAATATTTTAGAAAAAATAGATTGCTTATTATTTCTTGAACAAAAGTTTTTGGAATAAATATTAAATTTTTAATTTAAGAAATCTGTTCATTATAGGATTCCAAAAATCCATGATTGGATCCTTTTATCACAACATTCCTCTCATGTAGAAAAAGATGATAAAAAGTATTACCAATCCTCCCAGTTCAAATAGTAACTTAATTAATTAATTATATAAATTTTTGAAAGAGACTTATGGAATATGAGAATTAGTATTTAAAATTGATTGAATTATAAGAAATAAATGACCACTAATAATTTGTAAAGTAAAAGATGGGTGCTATAATAAAAAATTATTTTCAAAAAAGAATATGTTTTTCGAATACTACACAAGATATTTAGAAAAATAATTATTGATAAAAATATACAGCCAAACCACAAAAGAATTTGAATAATCGATCTATTAAAAATAGTGAATTCATATGCAACACTTAAATAGGGGACTTTAAGAGTTTAATCAAAGAATAAAAAATTTTAGGTTTTTCAAGATCGATTAACATAATTGAGAAACAAAATACTCTCAATTTTAAGATGCAAAATTATTTAGTGATTATCACACTCAGCATATATTAAGTAACCTATTAAAATAATTTTGAGTTTAATTTTCAATAGGAAATATAGAGTGAAGTTCTTAAGTAGAATGTAAAATATTAATTATTCATAACAATTATTATTAATATAATTATAAGAAATGGATGATATATATTCACAGATGACTGATAAATTTAATTGTGATTCTTCGAATAGAACGGACGATTACTTTATGCAAGTTTGCCAACCGTTATCTTCAAATAGATGTTTATAGAGAGAAGAGATCGAATTCAAATTTAGATAATCAAAATAGGATTATGTGTTTCCTCGAATACCTTTTGAAGAAACACCTGATAAATATTAAACAATCGAATCTCCACAACGTTTAAAAACAGAAGGAAATGAAAAATCAGAGGATTAATTGGATCTAAATTTCAATTTTAATAGTTCATCTGAGCATTTATCGGATGATGCGGTTGTATTGTAGCCAAAACCTTATTAATAAAAATTAAAGCCTCCTCAACCTAAAAAAGCAAAACATGCAGCTACATAATAAACATATAGAACGATCTTAAACGATTTAGAAAGGAAGTTGCATACAATAAATTGCAAAGATTTTGTTAAGAAAAAGTGCGAATAAAAAGGGGCCTCCAGAGCAAAGAGCAATTCCAATAGTACAACTCATTATAATAGTCATTATCAACGGAAGTATAAGTAAAAAAAATCAAAGACCCTTTGAAATAGATACCAAAACCTCCTCTGTGAAGAAGTCCATTCCAACTGAATCTAAAAAGTCTCTCAGCAAAACCAATCTAGCAGCCATCTTATCGAAATAGAAAAGTAAGAGCAATCCATCCAAGGCCAACACCATCTTTAATGTCAATAATAGTCATATCAATCTTAATGTTAATATTAATAGTTAAACTATGGATTTACAGCAATAAGCTTTAACCGTAGCTTAAATACTACAAAAAAAATAATTGTTAAATCGCTCGTCTCTATCGAGTTATCAGAGAAATTCGAATCGATGTTCTACTGAACCTTTGGAAGAGATGAAAGCCAGGTTATCAAATAATAACTAAAAAAATAAAACTACAGTTACTAATCAATCTAGATGTAACACTGGAATGGATGTAAGAGCCTAAAGTACAATCCAATACCTTAATCAAATGAAATAGTAATAAAAATAAAAAGCAATAAAAACAGCAATAATAACAATTCTAATAAAAGCAATAACCCACAATGCAGATTAAGCCTTAGTTAAATATAAAATAGTAAAGATTATAATTATAAATAGGAGATCCAGCACAAATACTTCAAAACCAAGAATTTCAACTAGTAAATATAAGAAATATAATTTATCTATAGAAATGAATTGAGTAAATAATTCATTATTTATTTTATTTCAATTACAATCATCTCATTTTTTATTTTTTAAACTAAACTTTTAAGACTGTTGTTATTGGATTTGTGGCTATTACTATAATTAAGATTTATCTTCTAAATCAGTTTGAACAATATTGTCTGCCCAACCCTTATAAACATAGTAAAACTTGAAATAGTAATCTGCATTCTCATCCTTTGTCTTAATCGTGTCAATCACTAATTTTTGATCTCTAAAAATATTAAACAACATTATACCTTGTTTTCAGTTTTACTCCAGCATTGGATAACACTTCAAAGAACTTTGCCATTGGCAGTATATATTCTGACTATTTGTCCAACTTTTTAAATTCAAAAAGTAAATCAAACTTAGGTTTTGTTATTAAATATTATTTCAGAGTATCCAACAAATCTGAGAATGTCTTAAAATATAACCCTGTTGATGGTTTTAATGTAGCATCTTTATCAAATAATTCTCTTGTTCCTCCTTATTACTTTAAAAATTGAATTTCTCTTTCTAATTATACTTTCTCCATTGACATTTAGTTAAACTATTAAAGTTTTGCTTAAATATTTGTTACTGTTTAATCTTACTCTTCTAATTTGCCACCTCCAGCTTAGATAATTGCTTTAAGTTCTGAGTTTTTCTTTTGTAGATCTGTCATTTATGCTCTATTTTGAATTTCCTTTTCTTACAGTTATTCTAACTTTTTCTGTTTATCTTTGATTTCCTCTTTTAATAATTTCGTTTCATTAACCATTTTAGTTAATTTAAATTCAAGCTCAGTTGTATTATTATTTAATTTAGCTTCTTTACTTTTGTAAGTTTATTCCTTATTCATAGATTCTCCTGCTATTTTAAATTATTCTTCTTTTAAAGCAATAATAGTTTTCTTTTATGAAGCCAATAAACTATTTTTTTCATTCACTAAATTTTATAATTTCTCAATCTTCGATACATATTACATGTTTTCATTCAATTTCTTTTCGCTCTCCAAATCTATTTCTAATTATTCCTTCATTGCAATAGTTTTCGTTAATTGTTCTTTTACTTTCTTCAAAGCATTTTTCTCTGCTTCGAATGATAATTCTAAATCTTTTATTTTCCTATCCTTTTCTGATAATTATTATTAATATTTCTCTATCAATACTGGTTATAATTCAGACATCTAATTTTATTACAGATATGAGAAATTATTGAAATTTGTGTTATTACCCATTCTGTTTGCATCTTGTAGTGCTTAATCTCTTTTATGTAATAAATCAGTTAATCTTTATATTTCTGAAACATCTTTTTTCTTATTCATTAAAGACTCCTGTCGCATAGCCTCTATCTACTATTCCTTTCTTTCTAATTCTCTATCCTTGTCCTTAATTATTTCCTGCATAGCCTTTAACATTTATTAACCCGCAGTAGAAACTTTTTCAGCTTCTTGAGCTAATAAAGTCTTTGTATAATCTTCTAATTGTTATTATTAAAACACAGTGGAACCTCCAGCAACAATCTTTTATCTTTCTACATACGCTTCAATTTCTATGCTTTTTGCCTTGACTTAAGCTTCTAATTCTTATATTCTTCTTTATAGTTGTGAATTTTCTATTTACTATTATTCAGTTGGCTGATTTTGGTATTCAGTCTGCTAATTCTACTTTTTCTAAATTGCATCAATAAGCATTTTGCTAGCATCTGTATTTTTTTAAGAAAACTCTTTTATATCTCCTTTTTCAATGAGTCCTAATTAGGCAAAAATAGTTTTTCTTTGTTCATAGAATCTCTTCCTCCAATCTTCTTCTCTTTTTCTTAAGTCCAAATCAGCATGTGCTAATTCATATTCTAACTTCTTAATAGTATCAGTGTATTGTTTATTTAATCTTTAATAGTATTCTTGCTTTTCCGCACTAACTTACATCTCCCTTCTAACCCTAAGCAATTCTATTTTTTCATCAGATAATTTTTAACTAACTGTTATAATTTATTAACTTAATTCGTCAGGATTATTTTATCTTAAGATTCTCTCTAGATTATCTAATTTCTCCTTGTAATTATCAAAATAATCTGCCTTTAATTGTAATTCATAAAACCTGTCTCTCAATTCTCTGTTTTGTCTTTCAACCTCAGATTTCATATCTGACAATTCTTTGACTCTTTTCGCTTATTCTTCAACTCTTTGTAAAGTAACAGTAGGTAATATTTTTAATTTGAGTTCAGTGAGTTATTATTCGTACGATTTAATTTGTTCTGAAAAGATCGTATTTTATGAAATAATTTCTTATGATTGTTTAAGAATTGTTGTATCATATGATTCAGATTACAACTTGAGTTTTCTTAATTCATCCAAGACTTTCTCATACTTCTGATTAGTTTATGCCTCATGCCATCTTGCAACCATGAGATGATGATACAACTTGCCAATCATCATATTCTAATCTGATATTGCCTGTAATTCTTTTATTGTTTACTACATAGTGTCCGTATCATTTTTTATTTTTTCTATAGTTAATTTCATACTCTTAGTCTACATGACTGCAGTATCATACAATTGTCTATACGTTGTGATGGCACTATTTTAATCAGAAATGGTCAATCTCTATTATTCGATTTGCTTAGTCATTTTTTCGCTTTCTTCTCTGGATAATGCTCCTTTCAATCTTTCCAACAACATAAGCTTTTCCTCTCTATCTCTATAGAAAGTATCATTGGATTTCTCCATTTAATTTTATAGTTCAAATAAAGTCTTTGTTGTTTCCTTTAGTTTTAACTCCGTATTAGTTAATTAGTTGAGTAGAACTTCACATTTTTAATGTGCATTTCTCTCCCTCATTTCTAATATGCTTATTTTCATTTTTAATCTATCTTCTAATGTTTATCCTTTATTTTCTAGTTTTGCTTTTTGAAGATTGACATCTGCTTCCTGTAAACTTTTCAGTTGTTCTGTTCTTTACTAAATAAATTGCAACTTCTGGTATTTCTCCTCTTCTGTCTTTGCCGTTCTTAAATAATTTAACATTTCATTATAACTTATTTGACCATTGCGATCTTAATCCATCTAATCAAACAGTTATCTAATCAAATCAGGGGCGATACCTCCCTCTAATTCTCTGAATAGAGCTTAAAATTCCATTAATGTAATAATTTGATCTCCATCTCTATCTATCATGTTAAATACATCAAGTAATGTTAATCTCTAATCTTTAATTGATTGATCCAATTTACACATAATTTGATACTTAATATCTAAGGTTAGTTAGATTGATTTCCCTTAATTAATTAACTCGCTTTTAACAATTTCATCAAATAATACATAAAACTCCTCATAGTTGATTTGATTATCTCCACTAGTGTCTGCCATTCTAAAGATATAATCAATAGCTTTTTGATCATGTTTTATATTCATCTAAAGAAGTGCTTCTTTCATGTCTGCTTTGGAGATGACATTATCACAATTAGTATCAAATGCTTAGAAAGCAGATCTTAAGTCATATCCTGACTCCTTGATTGCATTATATAATTGATATAGCAATTAATCTTCTGGTTTTCTGAGATTGATTCCTGATCTCTTAAGTTTTCGAATGAACTCTTAATATTCAATTTAGCCAGTTCCATCTAAGTCTACAAACATGAATACAATTTCCATATCGTCATTATTGACAGGAACTCCAATGTTACCAATAGCTGTGGTGAATTCACTTCTTGAAATCTTGTTGTCTCCATTCTCATCGAATAATTTGAATATTTCTATAACCGATATATTTTTAATCTTAATAAACTCTACAATGTGTTCATATATCTTAACATATTTATCAAAAGCAGGATCAAAACTCTACAATCTTTTCTTAATCACTTCTTCTTCTAATTGAATTTCCACTAATTCTTCTTCCAATTACCTTACTCTCTCTCCTCTTTCAAATGCTTCTCTCTCATGACTTTCAAGAGTTGCAATTCTCTTTTAGAACTCTGCCTCTTTCAATTGGGCATTAGCCAATTTATCCTAAGTGTATTCCAACTTTTGTCTAAGATTGTTGAATAAATCAGATGGTACTGAATTCTTTAATTCTTTGATCATAACCTTCATATGTTCTTCTGCTGATTTCTTCCATGAAAGCAAATTATATATTTTTTCTAACAATTCCTTCTCCTTTGCCATACTCTCACTCTCTACTATTGTATAACTGGTCTTCATTTATTTATATTCTTCAGTCAATGCATCATACTTTCTTGATAATTTGATCAAATTGACATCTAAAATTGCAGTTCTCTTAGCCATCTCCCCCAACTTGTCTTCCAAATCCTTCTTTGGCTTCTCTCTGTCTCTCATAAAATCCTCATAATGAGCTAACTTAATCTTGGCTTCCACATTCAAATCCAATTAAGCCTTGTATTTCTCTTGGATTTCTCCATACATCACCTTAAATTTGTCTCTCTCCTCAATATACTTCACAAACAATTGGTCTTAAACCAACAAACACTTGCCCTTTATATCTTCCTTAATTGTAGTAACTTCTTATAATAAATTGGTATACTCAGCTTCCTTCTGTTGCAATAATCTCAAGGTCTCTATATTCTACAATTGCAATGATGCTAATTCGTATTTCAATTACATCTGATCCATACCTGAATCCCCATATGCTGAGGACATATCTACTGGAAATCTAACATTAAATCGCTAACTGTAACCTTCTTTAATATCATTATAATTTCCAAATGCTCCTGGGATAGGATTAGGAGGAACACTTAATTTATCCAATCCAGTTGTATCAACAACTTATTTTTATGAAATAATTGATTATTTGACTTATGTAGTCTCCTAATAGTTTTACCCTTTCATAGTTTTGACTATCTCTTAAAGCTGTTCTTTTAGTTCCTGTTATTATTTCTACATCATTTCTTACATCTGATCATTAGTAATTCTCATAATTCCTTACTACGTGCCCATGCCCATAGCTCCATAATCTTATTAATTTTAACGAATATGGGCATTTTCTTCCTCCAACATCTTTACTTTACTTCTCAATTCCTAATTTTCCTTTCTCAATTGATTATTTGATTAAGTATCGAATTCTTCCAAATTCACTTCACCTCCAGCAACTTATTCTCTCAATTTTCTTCTCAACCTTGCTCTCTCTTCTTCCAATTCTTCCACTTCTCTCTCTAATTCAATCACTTGAGCTCTGTACTTCTCTACTTACAATTATCCTTCTTAAATCACATCATCCAATTCAAATTAATAATCATCTGGAACTCCTGCCATCTTTCTCAACACTCTGTTTTCAGCACTCAATCTTTCAATGGCCTAATTCAAAGCATTTGTTTTTTCCACCAAATTCTTCAATTTTTCTCTGTTATCCTAAACTTCATCTCTGTAATGGAATTCATCCTTGACTATATTTTCATCCTTGTATTTCAACGATAATTATGTCAATTGCCACATCAGATTACCATTTTCAAGTTTCACCTTCTCCAATTAATCGATGTATTATTGAACAGCTGCCTTCTCTCTATCTAAATCATCCTTTGCTTTATCTAATTAATTCTTTAAGGTCTCTTTTGTATATGCATCATCCCTATTAACCATCTTTTCTAATTCTCTCATTCTGGTAAAGCAATCATTATATTTTGCCTTCTATTCCTCATATCTCCCCTAATGAAACTCTTATTCTGCTTCCAAAAATGCGACTCTTTAATCTTTCTAGCGACCGTCTTCTCGCAATTACTCAATTTGTTTTTTGAGCTGTATAATTTCTCTTCTTAATTTGAAATTTTCACTCTCAGACATTATATATATCAATCAATAAAATAATATAATAAGTAATTTAAAAACAATCCTTTTTCGCTTTTATTCAATCTAACTTTGCCATATTAACTATTTTCTTAAAACTATTAGAATTAGAGTTTCAAATTGTAAGTATGTACTTTTTCATTCCTCTTCCTCTGTTAATGTAACAGTTTTTATATATTATTATACACAACTGCATTTAAATAGATAATCAGCCATAAGATGAATAATTGCAAAATGAATTAATTAAAAATTAAGAGCGGTACCTTTTAAATATTATCAAATAAGTAGACAAGGTTATAACTATATATATCTCTCACTTTATTTTTCCATTTCCACTTAGAATTCTTTCTATTTTTAAGTTTTTGCCTACATATTTTATGTTTGATTTCTTCTTTCTTTTATTTTATTTTTCAAAACATCTAAACTTTCGAATAATAATCAATCTAATCAATTCTAAATAAGTTGATAATTAATACTATTTTAAATTATAGTTATATAAATATAACAATCACTAAAATAAATGAAAAAGTTAGCTTAAAGTACTGATTTTGATGCAGTAATATAGAAACTCAATATTCAATGCAAAACCAAGATGGATGATTGTAAACATTAAATTTATTCTAACTCTAGATTCAGATCCAATGCATAAAATAAAAAATTCCTCTCCAATGATTTTTGGTGACTATGCCAGCTCCAACACGCCAATTCAACTGTAACTATCTCCTATCGACACAAATCAAAAGAGTTACATTTCATTACTATCAGATAACATTGAATTTTCGGTTAAAGATAAAAAGTAGGGCAGCAACTCATAACAATCGTTGGAACAGACTAAATATACAACATCGGAAGGAATTAGTTCTTTCATTCAAAAAGAAAAAATTATTAATGAAGAATAAAGCTTTTTAAATAAACGACTGAAAGAAATAAGACATATATATGTTAAAAAGTTGGAATAGTTAGATGAAGGTATGTTAAGTTTGATGTAATAGAATACCTGCATGAGAGATTATAAATTTTAGCAGAATTTGAGTAACATTTGAGTTAGAAGAGCCCAAAGAAATTGAAGGAATAACCCTTAAAGAGCGCTCTCAAAAAGAAGGATTCGATATGCTCTTCTCGGTATTATACTCAAAATATTAATGATTCTTAAGAAGATGATTGGAAGTTCATTCGTGATGCTCAAAATATTCTAAGGAGATAGAAATCATCATAAGTAGAGGAATTCACTACTCCATCCAAAGTTAGATTTGTAAAATATTCATTTAACATACTTAGTAAAAGAAATCAAAGAAATCTTTACTAAAAAATGATTCATTTTAAGTATTATAATTTCGATATTGATGAGAGTAATCGTTTTTTATTATTTAATATAATGAATATATTTAAAGTATTATTGCTAGTGTTCTTGATCCTAAGTGTGACAGCTCAACAACTGAGAGGAAACAATGATCAACCTGACACATCATCTGAAGTTAAGAAATGCTCTTGTGGATCAGGAAAGACCACAACAGGTGGACAAGGTTAGAACAAAGTTTCATTGCTTCAATATCAGGACGCTTTAAAGAAATTGCATGAAGGAATTAAAGATGCCTCTACAGATTTTAAGGCAAAACACATATGATTTTCTATTCATAACCAAGAAAATTATATAAATAATTCATTTCTTTAGATTCCTCCATTTTTAGAGAGAGGAAATAATAGTTTCAAGTTTAATTGCAATATATTTTTATAATGAATTGCACTTCCAGAAAAGTTCAGTTGGAAATTGTTAGATAAATCTCTCTTCAATGGGTAGAGGGGAGCCTCATTGTAATACTTTGGAATTAAATTTAGCGATATGATTTTATTATTTATGGATATTGATTAATTGAATTGTATTGGAGTAATGGAGAATGAGGTGAACGAAAGTGAGAGTGGCTATGATTTAAAATGATTATTCTTATATATGAAAACTACAAGATAATACCTTTTTCAGGTAGTCAATTTAATAAATGAAGGTAAGCGCTTCCATTTGACTTCTGTGTCTTCTAGGTTTTCATCAACTACGAATTTGAAGTTTGGGAAATAGGCGGATTCAAGGCTATTTTAAATGGGTTATAGGTACATTTCAATTGCATTGAACTTGTCTTCCAAACTAATATTAATGAATAGATGATTTGGGTGCAATAAATCTACGAGTTCATTATAACTAATATTCTAAGGACGATTAGTCTTTGAAGAAGTTGACTAAACTTTTTTCTTTTTGCTGACCTGTCCCTCGATTGATTAATTCGTTGACAGTGATCTCAGTGAGTCACTCATAATTAGCAGTTAGATATATAAAAAATAAAATATTAATATAGTTTATAAACTAAGTAGCATAATAAATTCATAGTTTTTACATATCTTAAATTGAATATATACAAGTATAAGGGAGATTGGATTTGGTAGGAGTGTGAATTTATGTTGGGCATTTATTAAAATGAATAATTGCAATACCGTTTTTATTTAATATAATAATAAAGTTCAGAGGAAATGAACAAGATCATAATTTTGGCGATGATAGGTCTAATGAGTGTATCAGCATTCGATATTGATTTCGCTTTGTTGCTTCAAGTATCATTCGAATTGATAAATTATTTAGACAGGTTCAGAATCCAATGATGCAGTTTAAGCAGTTTATGATTTATTGAATGATTTGAAAACAAGTAACATCGAAGCCCAAGGAGTGGCAGACGAAAAGAATATCTCAGATGAAGAGATTGGTTAGGCAAGAATTGCTGCATTATCAAAAGTCAATGAATTAAATCAAAAGGCTTGGGCCAGTGCTAAAGCAAGAAGAGAATAAATCGGAATTGAATACAGAGTAACTGATATCATTATAATATAGGAAGCAACAGATTACATTGCCTGGGCAACTTAAAGATTAGCTGATATTGATAGAAGATCAGTCGAATTATAAGAGTTGAGATGCTTCTCAAATGGATTATTTGTAAGAGCAATCAAACAACATAATGATGCTCTAGGAGTCATCAGAGTTTTGAAAAACGATTTGAGTGGATATTTAACAGGATAACCATCCTCATTGGTTGAAATCAATGTCCAAAATGTCTCAGACAAGTTAAAACAATACAGTCAATTGTTCAATCAAGATGCCATGACCAAATTTGCCTAATTAGCTGCAGAATAAGCATCAGGAAATGCAGAATTACATGCATTAGGATAAGAAAATGGATCATCATCATCTACTGACAGATAACCAGGACTTAATGTTGGTTAATTAGTCTACAATGCTCTATCTGATCTTGAAGATTAATTAAAGTCCTCATTAGCCAATTTGGAAGCCAATGAAATTGCTGCCTATTATTAATTGGCTGATTGGCTTGCTGATACAGAATCTGAGGTTGCACATCTTAATGATGAAATCCAAAGAAAGACTCAATTGTAAGATAAATTGGTTGTGGTATGTCTATTGTCTCATATCTTTTAAGTAAGAATAAGCTGCTCTTGCTGTCTAAGCCAAAGCTAACAGTGTTTTGAAGGACTCTTAGAATGCCATCAATGCTGCCACTGCTTCCTTATATGAGTTAAGAGACTTGTATGAAACCGAGTTGAATAGAAGAAATGGTATTGCTTCATTCTATTTTCTTAGAGGAAAATGCTATTATTGATGAAGTCATTCATATCTTCAAATAATAAGTTTTGGAAATGGCCAATCAAACCTCCTATGGAAAGAAATGAGTTTAAGACTTATATCAAACAAAAACCAATTTAAAATTATATTCAAATGATGTAGAAATAATCAATGCATTAAAATCTTTTATTTTAATGTATATAAGGAGAAATTTTCATGTTTGTCTCAATTTACTCCACCTTTTGAGTCTAAGACTTATATCTTATACTTTTCGTTGTGCCTTCTATAGTGTTATACTTATGTAATTAGTAATCCATCGTCATTATTGGTTATCTCTCTGTAAGTTGTTCCTTATTTCTATTATTTTAAAATGGTTTTATTAAGAATTCCTCTGAAAATGGATTCTCTTGAGATTGTCGACTGGTATTCTTATAATTGTCAATCATCTGTGTGTAACCTATTCTACTCGATCTTCGAATAGACTTAATCTAATTTCTTTTCTAACTATTATAATGATAATGTCTATTTCCTATTGATTAATAATCAGCTATTATTGTGGAATCATTATATTTTTCAGAATTGTTGAAGTTGATTGTCGGCAGCAAAGGTTGTACATATTTCATTTTATCTCCTTTTTTCGGTACTTAAAACTTTAACGCTTTTTCAAACATAAATAAAGAAAATGTTATTTTATTTGTCTAATTAAAATATTCTATCCTACACTCTTGTTTTAAAATTTATAATTCTATAATTTTCCTATAAATAAATTAAATCATTTTAACTAATTCCATATAAAATTTAAGCTACTTTGATTAGAAATAAATAGAGAAACTTAAATTAATTGAAATATCATAACTAATATTTCTTATTGGCTTTTCAATCAATATAATTTAATGTTATATCTCAATTGAATTTGCATTACTAGATTGTCTTGAGGATATCGATTTAATTCATGATAGAGTAATTGAAGAAACAGAAGATTAAGATTGTTGAATTTTGATAATGCATCAAAAAGTTGAGAATTGGAAAATATATGAATTTAGTTTATTGAATAAATAAAATAATTTTATTTATAATTCTTATGTCATATTATATCAGACCAAAGTTGAATCGTCCCTAAACTACTTCCAATCATAATAGACCATTAGATAATAGTGCAATCAGGGATAGTAGATTAGTGTATGTTCACAATAAATTTTAGAAAATAATACACTACTCCCAAAATGGGCAGAGAGAAGGAAAATCTATATGACGAGAATATAAAATTGAAGTCTCAACTAAATGAATTAACATAGCAGTTACTTTATGCAAGATCCAAAATTCAGCAATTAGAAGTACATTTTAGTATTCTAAATTAGAGGGAATTGCAAAGATTCGAGAACTTAATTGAGGACTCTATTAAACCTGAAACCTCGCAGTAGAAAGTTTAAATTGAGCGATATGGTTTAATTATGAAGATGAAAACTAAATAAAAATAATTGCTTTTAGAGTTATAGAATAAAACTAAAGAATTAACTGAATTAAAGAGAACCATGAGATTCACAAATTATTAGGAGTTAGAAGTAAATGCCTTTATTACAATACATTAGATAGAATTGAAGAATTACATTGATGAAACCTTAAGATTACGATAAAAGTTGGAATATAATGAATAAATGATAGCGATATAATCATCAGCAGAGCCTTTAGAAAAGTAAATTCTGCATTTGGAGAAGACAATCAAAGTACTCTAGAGGGACAATCTGGAATTAAATTCAAAGCAGTTAAATAATGATATTATCACTTCTAAGTTATAAGTACATGATTTGAATAAACTAGATCCAATTGGATGAGAATTTAAAGTAGAATGAGAAATAATTAAATGAAATCATTCGTTATGAATAGATGGTGAAAGAATTAAATGAATATAACAGATAATGCAATGACTTTATATCCTAATTATAATTTTAAAATAAGGTGTAGGTGTAGAGTCAATAGAACACAACATCTGAAGAACTATTTAAGGTTCAATCCTAATTAGAGATGTTATAGAATAAATATTCATAGGACATGGAGTAACTTATATATATGAATATAAAATAGTCTCAAGAGTTAAGAAATTCGTTCATTAAAAACTGAAGTTCAGAGATTGAATCTTCACATATAGGAGTTGGAGAAGGTTATTGAGAATTAAGAGGATAAGATCAGAGAAATAGAGTGTTCAGTATACTCTCCAGTTTCTCGTGTAGGAAATGCTGAATCACCATTATAAAATGGATTTAAAATAATGCAGATTGAAATGAAGTCTTAGGTAATGAAGAAAAAGCTGCCTCGAGTTCAATTGTCAGATATTAGAGAAATTAGTATGAAACTGAGGTTAAATCTGGTTAAACACAAAGTACAATATTAGGACATAGAGAAATACTTTAATGATTCGGAAGAATTGAGTATTCATTAGGTGAAGAATATATTGCATAAGTAAAGATGTAATTTTAACAAGACCTCCCTTTGAGATTCATGATCCTTAATAGATTAGATTGTTGAGTAGATATTTAGTAGAGGATAATTCTGAAGATTATTTAATTTATGATTAGGATAGAACAAATCAAACAACAATAATAAAGTCGGTTATGAAGAGGATAGTTGGGAAGTATGAAATATTATAAAATGAGGAGGAACAATCCATTTTATAATCTATCAAATAAGTTATTTATGATTACTATGATAGAAATTGAACCCTTCATTAATAGAAACTATTTAAATGATGCTAACAAAAAAGAAGAATCTCTAACCTGGGACTTGCGAATAGAGCGATTTGGATCAAGCTTTGAAATTCCATGAAATACAATTCACTCACAGAGAACAAGAGAGATTCAACTTGATTTGTTTTGAAGTTTCGAATTCTTTGGATATCATTCATTATGAAAAATTACTTACTTACCCAAAATGATAATTCTGTATATTTATATTTATATTTTAAGTTAAAGTAAAATAAAATTCAATAAATTTTATTTCTATTTATCAAATGTACTCATACGCTCCTCTTGGGGTTTCCTTCGCCTCTCCAATTGCAACATCAGTTGTGAGACCAGCTCCAGGTATTACCTGAAATCACTTATTAAGTCTCCTATGTGTAGCCAGTCTCTTATGCACAACCAGTCTCATATGCTTAACCAATCACCTATGCACAACCAGCTCCAGCAACAATCAAGGGAGAATCGAGATACGAATACGTCCCTTATTAGAAATCCGTAGTAGAAATGGAGGAGGAATAAAGAATAGTGAAAGTAGTTGCTTATTTAATATTGTAGGTGCCCAAATAAAAGTGGGTGACAGACTATTATCCAGTTGAATATCAAAAGGAATACGTCCCTTAGGTCACATACGAAAAATAGATCGATTATGTTCCTGTCGAAAAAACTGTCCCAAGAGTGGACTACCTAGAAAGAGAAGTAAGAAGAAGCTCATTCGTGGCTCCAATCAATACAGCTCCTCCTATCCACTATGCCTCTCCTCTTTCCTACAGTGTGGCTGCTCCCATTGCCCCAGTCACTACCAGCTATGTGGCACCTGCGTATAGCACAGTCTATAGATATTGAATATTAAGAAATATAATATGCCTGCATTATAAATTAATTCTAATATTTCAAATCCATGTAAATGAATTAAATGGATGATGAGGACAAAGGCTTTGATAATTTCTTACGGAAAATCAAATTTGCTATTTTCGATGTATTGGCAATCTTAGACTAAGGCGAAGAAGACAGTGAAAGTCTATTGCTATTTTATTTACAAACTGTGGCTGATTATGTTTAGATTCATAGTTTCCCTTTCAATTAGAAAATTGATTACATTTGGAAAGCATCCTCCTTTTTAGAGATAGTTTTTACGGCTTTCAATATTCTAAGTATTGGAAGCTACTTACCAACAATCAATTACCTCACATTTATACTGTCAGTATATTTTTTGTTACTCATCATATTCCTGATGGTTTTAGACATCATATATGTATCCTATTCATTTTCAAGACAACGATTTAGATGGATGTGGCCTGTGCATGTATTGAGATCAGGAGTGTCCATAGTTGTTACTCTATTTTTCTTGCCCATTACTGAAACTTTGATATCTTTGATAACATGCGAGACCAATCAGGATGGAGAATATGCTTTAACTTAATTTCCAACAGTCTTATGTTGGTCAGGTTGGCACATATTTCATGCCATATTAGCCAGTCTTTTCAATCTCATTTTCACAATTATTTGCTCTATTGTTGCTTATGCCTTCTTTGAACCTAAAATGAAGACTAAAAATCGTACATCAAGGTAAGATAGTAATGGTGAGGTAGTCTTCATTTTAAATAAAGTCATCTGCTAGGTTTTATATTCTTTCTTAGGACCTTAGGATAGCTGGATACTCATTATTGTCACCTTTCTCTTATCCTTATGGCTATTCAAAGTGTATAATATTGATGATCCCTACTATGATTGGGAAGTGGGACTCTTTTTCAATGTAATTTCAAGTTATTATTTATGGACAAATTCTTGGCTTCTGATTTGTAAGATATTGGAAAATACCACTTTTAATGGTGGATTGATTGCTTGGCTGTTGGGGATTCCATTTATTGTTTCTATAATGGCATCCTCAAGAAAATCAAAGATTGATATGCTCATTAGATAATCCAATAAATTCAAATCAGGAGAGGAAATCAATAGTCATATTCGATATGTGCTGTAATTGATATAAAATTAGGAGAGGGATAAGAATTCTTACATGTTACTCATAGGATATATTGAAAAACACAAGGAAACATGCAATCCAGATGAGTGTTAATTGAAGGAGAAGAACAACAAAAAGATTTCATAGAACAATTTCGAAGCCATCATATCTGGTCTATTGGCAGAATTGGATAAATTGTTTCAATAGGGCTTAGAGAAATTCCCATAATCAACACAATTGAGAATTTCTTATGCCTTCTTTTTGATTGAAAGATTGAACAATAAAAAGAAGGCCCATTAATAGTTTTTAGAAGCTCAAAAATTTGGAAGACCTGCTTTTGATTAGGAATTTATCATCTACAAAAACAGCAAAGCGATGAATAATAATCAAGAAAAAAAAGAACAAAATAACGATGTAATTAGCATGATAGAATTCGAAAACAATATGACTATTTGTGAAGATATGATGAAATTATCAGCGAATCTTCATAAAGAGTTTTGGATTGAATTGAAAGAGGATTAACCAGACTTAAGGAAGTTAAATGCTCTTGGATAGAGAATCAATAAAACTACGAATATGATCAATGAAAGTTATTTCAAAATGCAAAAAATAAATCCAAATATTTTTTAAACGATAAGAGTGTATGGTTTGTTTTTAATTTTTGTTACTAATGATAAATTAAAGGGAAGACAGTTTTTGCGATTGGCCAAATAAGTCCAATAGTCATTAGCTTAGGTGGAAGATGAAGAATCATTCTCTTTAGAAAACAATCTCAAACCTGCTATTAGTGTGAGTATGATAAAACATGGAGTGATCGTAGGCATGAATCAATTAGTGGTTAATCATCTAGGATACTCAAAATAGGAATTGATTGGGAAATCCATTAATTAATTAATGCCTAAAATGTATGGGGAATAGCATAATGCTTATCTCTAATAGTATTTAGAAAATGTCAAAAATAATCATATAGATAGTGATTACATCAACTTTGACTAAACCAATTACTTCAAACATAAGAACGGGTATATTGCTCCAATGAAATATAAGGTTATGTTGAATCTAGAATATTTACAATACTTTGTTACTTTTGAATCTAATTTAGAATAACAAAATCTTATTCATTTCATAGTAGATGAAGATACCAAGATCTATGAATTGTCAACTGGAGCTATAAATATATTCGGTCTAGATAACAAGGCAGTCTTGAATAGGGACATTAAATTGAATGATTTGATCCCTGATGTTATGCACAAGGACAAGTACGACATTCATTTTAGATCAAACATCAAAAACGAAGAAAGTATTTTATCAAGATAATTTAGGACTTCATTTCTTGAGATGCACCATAAAATTCATACAAATAAGAATAGCAGCTGATGTAGATGAAAATCAGTAGTAACAATAACAATATTATCAAATTACCTTTTAAAACATTGATAAAACTGAAGCCATGCAATCTAATAAGAAGAGTATCAATCGATAGAGCATTGATATACTTAAGTTGAATCCAACATTTTAGATATATTCTGCTCATCAAAGTTCCTCATTCATGTATGCAACTCAAACTAATTAATAAAATTTAGATACTAATTTAGTGTTTTCAATGATGGCCAATTTCTAATAAGGTCCCAGACCAGAAGAAATTGAATAAATTAACAACTATTTGGTAAGAGAAGAGAAACAAACTATTACCATTGAATAAACCATTGGAATAGATGATGTAATAAAAACAAGAAGATTAATCAATGGTTAAATTGTACCTATTGATGAGGAATTTGAGGAGCAGATCCTCAAAGAACTGGAGGAATAAGAGCAAGATGATTCCATCTTTAAAAATAGAAATGATTTCTAAATTAACAATAGAGAATACAAGAATTTCTCAAAACAAAAATAGTAATCTACTATTGTGAATGCTTTAAATACTAATCATAAACATAAACAAATAACCAAACTCAAACAATATACATTATTTTATCTCATCTACTTTATGGGATTTGCCATCTATTAATTTAGTGACAAACAGAGTTTTTATGAAATACAAAATGAATCCTTAACCACTATGCATTATTGCTATCAAATCAATTTCGAATTGCTAAGGTTGTTTACAAGATCAGTTGATCACATTTTGCTTTTGAAGAACTTCACTCAATATACTGCCGATGACATTATATTAGATATCAATAAAACAGTCATCAACTTAAATGATATCACTTTGAAATCAGTCAAATATGATATTTTTAATGATTTGCTAATGACCGATGAAATAGACTTTGTCACAATTTAAAGTAATTGGATCCCTATTACTAGAAAAACTAGATTTGATTAGGCTATTGTGCTTATGGAAACTTATGCTCAAATATGGATATCCAAGAATTCGTCAACATTAAATGACATTGAAATGGTAAACATTCTAAATAACTTTCACCCTACAATGACTTCCAAATTAATTTAATTAAATGCTCTTCTATATGAAAATGGATATGATAAAGTTGAAAGATTATAAACTTCTTAGATTATTTAAATTGTCCTAACATTAATCATAAGCACATTCATCATTATTAGAGTAATCATATTCATGATTTAAGTAAAATAATAAAGAGAAAACATTATGTTCTTATTTTTGGCCATTCCAGATTCTCATTTGAGTCATTTTTAAAAGAATTGCGAGTAATTCTTGAAATAGTTTGTGAGTATTAAAGAATTGATAGCTTAAACTTATGATTTGGAGGCATCTTCAGATGAAGAATAAGAAATTGATGTTAATGATTAAGTTTAAGAAGTCAAAAAGCAATAAGAGGATGATTTTGCCAATGAACACAATAGAAAGCAAGCTTAGAAGTATAAAAAGGTGCTTCAAAAATATTAAAGTAACATCTTAAAGGGACAATTGAATCTAGTCTTAAGTGTGATATTGATCGGTTGGATTATATTAGGAAACACCCTTTTCCAATTCTTTGATTTGGTTGACAAATAATCATTCCTTAAACTAATATGGCCTTAAAATTATCTATATCAGTAGTTCACCATGAATTATCTTGATCACTTAAACATTTATACTCTCATGCTTTTGAATAGTAGCATAGAGGCTAATGGATAAAGCATTAAAGAAGCTGCAAATCAACATCTAAGTGTTTTCAAAAATAATTAAGAGAATCTTAGAGAATTTAGTGTATAGGTTTTTGACTAGTTTCAAGATTTTACTGAATTATATAACACCATCTAATATTTCATGATATGTGACCCAATCAAAGATATCATAGGAGAAGATGAATACAATAAATGTTCTACTTATATTAACACCACTAATCTGCTAGGTATCATTGCTATTGAACAGTATATGTATTAATTTTTTGAAAGAAGACAAAGACCGTACCTCAACCTAACCGAAGAAATATTAGATTCTCCTCAATTAAATGATTCACTATTATTTGAAATCAACTATTGTTTGTTTAATTATATCGGCTTTTCAATTGATTACATGATTGAATAAGAGAATATCATGATCGAAAATGTCTTTCAATCGTCAGTTAACTTGTCATTACTATTGACTATCATATATGTGATTGTTATGTTTTTCTTCTATATTATTGTAGCCCTTCGTTATTTTAATTAGATCAATAAAGAAGTAAATATTAAATTATTATCTTAAGACAAACTAAACCATACAAATGTTGAATATGATTCCAATTGAAGTGATAAAATAAAATAAAAATCTTAGAGAATTTGTCATAGGATTAATAAAAATGATGGATGAACAATAATATAAATGAAGTTTGCTCTATTTGGTTACTTGTTATCATTATTATATAAATATATATATATTATTGAAATGTCATAAATGAAACAAAGTTTTGTAATTTAATTGAAAACACAAATTTATGTTTAAGAATATAAGATATAAGATTAAATTCAAGATCATACATCAAACTCAAAGGACACATGAACCATATCTTTGGTCTTAAGTCTGAAATGCTTTTCTCTAAATCCTTCCCATAACAAAAATTTGTTTAAATATATTGATAATAACTAATTTTTCTCTTGATTCTCTATCTTTTTATTTGTTATTATTTTCTAGAGTTGTTTTAAAATGATCCGTTAATTTTGTGTAAATGACTCACTAAAATTTAAATTTTAATTCAATAACTTTTGAAAGGATATCGCATCACCTATCTTTCCGATCAAAGTTATTTTAACTCTCTATACACTTAGGATGGTTTTTCCTTTAATTTTCATGTGATGAAATTCATCGAATATTTATGAGATACTCATTAATATACTGAATAGATAAACTTATTTAGTCACAAACCCTTGCAATTCTGTCTTGATTGATATTTAGACTTTCTTAGAAAATATTATGTTCATCTAATTTCTTATTTACGATGTCGAAACCCAACTTCATATAGATGTAAGATTCTCATTATTATTATTAAGCAATAAACGAATTTGTTAAAAATTGATCATGGAGTAGAGAATTTTTAATCTAGTACTTGCAGTTTTCATTTATTAGAAAAATTGTATTAACAAGAATTAAAAGATATTTTCTTTACATTTGACCTCTAAATGATGTTTGTGATTTTCATTTTTTAAATCTTATTCAAATATTGCAATTACACAAAATTCGTCCTATAACACTTATTGTATCAATTTCACTTTATACTCCTTATTCAAAACATTCGATCGAACATCTACTTAATGGGTAATGAATCTATATTGATCATATCTTATTATGAGGTCTCGAATCTCTTACTCCAAGTTTTTAAATCTAATTTCTTCTCTCTCCATATGTGTATTCTCTATAATCATCTAAAGTATAATCATCATCATACATTTCTGAGCATCTCTCTTAATTCGATATTATTCTAAATCTTCAATCTTGATTTTGAAATATCATTTATTTGTTAAAGTATTAATTAATCTTACTCTTAATCAAGCTTAATTACAACAATAGATTACTCTAATACTTAATCTATAATCTTTATCCATCTATTCTATTCTCTACTATCCCTAAATTAAAGTCTTTTTGTCTTTTCATTAGTGTACTTCATTACTAAAAGCCCAATAAATACTAAAAATATTGTTAAGCACATTGCTGAATATTCCAAAGTCTCCGTAGGATAATAAGAGACATATTATATGTATATACCAATCAGAGCAACAGCTTGGGGCCATATTTAATAGCCAAGTTGCAATATTGCTTCAATAATTTTATATTAATTACCAAAATGAAAGTAGAATGCTTGTAACCCATAGTACCAGTTGTACTCATAGCTCGCATCATAATCATAATTTGGATCTTCCGTGGTTGTTGGAAAAAAATTGTCTAGATTCCAAATATAGGCTATGTAAATTTATAATATGGGCAATATATATTCATTCCAAGCAGGATGAGAATTTATAATGAATCTCAACAATATTATTGATAACATAAACACCGAAATATTTGCTACGATTATTCCATTAAATGTATATTCTTCAAAGTAGTATAGTATGTAAGCTGAAAAGAATAACTAGAATCAGACTTATTTTTACAATTGTATGTATTGAAAATAGTGTGAATTCTTATTTGATATAGCTTTATTACAATTTTCTATAATCATTTTCTATACTTTTCGATTTGAAATTTAGAGTGAATTTGTTAATTATCATTTTGGCTTATTATTTATTTATTGTATTTATAGAGTTGCTTTTAAATGCCTTTATTTAAGATAACAGAAGAACAAAATTTCAAGGTTTGACAAAATTTGAAGATAATTTTATGATAATATCTAGTTTAATTTAAATGAAAGTCAATTCATAATATGTATAATAAATAAATAAATTTTAATTTTAAGTTGGTTTGTTTTTCAGAATAATGAAATTGAGTTATGCTTCGATGTTTTGGATTTTTTATTAACATTAAATATACCTATATATAATAAACTGTATATTCAAATTTAAAAATTTTATAGAACTCAAGAAAAGTACCAAAGTTTTGAAACAACTTATAACAAGCTATATTAATTTTCATAATTAATTTTACTCAATAATATATACAATGTACAGAGAATTAGAAGCCGCAATTAATAGTATTGATGAATAAACAGAAAAGTAATTTAAGTCTACGATTTCCAAATTGGTTAAGGCATTCTCATTATGTATGGAAAATGATAAAGCAGATTGTAAGAAATACTCGACTATTTTTGATCCTTTAAAAAATAGCCTTGATTAAGAGAAATAGGGACTCTATAAATGCGTAGATGAAAATCAGACCAAATATCAATAATGTATTCAAACCTTTTAGAAAAAGTCAATATAAATAATTTTTTAACAATTGACAAAAATAGAAAAAGAGATTAAGTGATAAGGGATGACAAATATTAGGTTTTATATGTGTTCTTAAAATTTGTTTATTTTGATCGAGAAAAACATTCTTTATTGCTTTAAGTTTTTAATATCGATTATTAATGTAATACTACACATTATTAAAATAAAAGCATTAATTAAAGGAATTAATTATTTTAATATATAAAAATTAAAATTCTCAATAAAATCTATATTAATTAGAATTTCTGTGGTAATATAATCCTTCTATGAAATTCCTATTTCTTCCTTTCATTTTCTGAAAAAACTGTTAGGCATAATTATAAGATATATTTTTTTATTATTTTCATTTTCTATTAATATTTCTTAGTTATATTTCTGCAATATTGCTGATAATACTGATGCAATTAAGAATGCATTAAACTTTGGCTTAGCTTAAAATAAAGATAATTTATAATCAATAAATTTCAAATTATATTACTATCTTAAATCAAATAGATTAAATAGTGAATTTTATAAGATTCTAATAAAATAAGCCAAAATAGAACATATGCTGTTTGACTTTTTTATTTCTTTTGTAGTCTAATACAAAAAAGATCTTAAATGAATTTCAATAATTTAATCTATTATTTATAAGATATGAAATGAGTAAATCAAAAACAAAGAACTTTCTTAACATTAAAGAGATTAAGAAAATATTGAGTAGTAACATCGAATTCAGGGTATTAAACTATTTCAATGCTATCATATTTCAATTTTGCATGTTAAATTTAATCGTCTTTATCATAAAGTCCTTTTATTTTTTATTCTAATATTGCAAAGTGTTATTGTATTTGTTATATTCTTTTTTCAATATCAGTTGAATAGTAATCTAATTCAAAATTATTATTTAGAGAAGCTAGTAAGATGAGGCTGCTTTCAGAATTTGATAAAGTTGTAATCTTTTTCATAAAGGCCTAAAAAACATCTCTAACTTCTAATTTAATGTTTTAATATAATTTTTCCAAGGTAGCAACAATAAATTTGTATTGCTAAAAACAATTTTCTTTGAAAATTTGATCTCTCACATATTCACAATCACAAAGCCATAATTATTGGATATTCCAGTTCTAATAATAAGTTTTAACTCCATCAATATAACTATACACTTATTTTATTTTAATTCTCGATATTCCATCAACCTAAACTTGATATCCTTTGTTTGTTTTTTTAATACTTCTAATTTAAACTAAATCCCCATTAATCAAGTCATTTGATACAACAAAGTTACCAGAACCTGAACCAACCATTTTTATCATTTCTTAATATCTAAATTCTAGAAATTGAAAATCTGTTTATCCATATATAATAACTGATTAATCAAAATGGAAAACTGGAATACCAAATATGCTGTCGTTTTATAAGACTTAAGTCATTTCTTATTCCTCTTCGATTTTGAATTCCTTCAAGTACCAGTCGATGAGATCTTTATATTTCTTATTTGTATTGACTTTGATATTAAAACAATAATCTGAACAAGCAGGACATAATAATTCTTCTTTTAAACTTTCTTCGATGCATTTTTGACAAAACATATGTTAGCAAGGTAGCACCACTGGATTGATAGGAGTTAAAGCACAACAAAGACATATTATTAAAGAAGGAAATTCATTTAATAAACCTAATTTAAAGATCGTTTATACTTTAAGTTCCTTCTTATTCGTAAATTTATTGGACAATAGGTAATAATTCATCAGTTTTATTGTTGCTAAGCAAGGCCGGTTAACGACATAAGGGACATGCACAAAATTCTTAAGTTTCAAAAGAATTTTATATGCAATTTTAGCAAAAAGTGTGCCCACAACTCAAAGACACTGGATTTTTTAAATTCTACAGGCATATTGAGCATTACAAGATGAATTTCATTAATAAAAATATCAAATAAATTCTTGAATAATCATGGCTTATTTATAAGAATTTTTAAGAATTTTATAATTCTCAAGAATGATATTGTTTTAAGATCCTATCATTTTGTGTTGATATAAATCAAAGAATTGAGTGATATAAAATGATATTCTTGAGATATCATTACTTTATTTTTTCACTCTCTAATTATATATTTTCTGAGTTCAAATAATTGCTTAAAATGTAAAAAGTGCCAAGGTGCAGAAGAATATTCTTATTCAATGAGTTTAAATTATTTATAGTATATTTTTTTATCAATGAACAGTATTGAATGAACTCATCTTATTTACTATTTAGATTCAGAACTAATACTTTTATTAATTACCCTGTGGATAATAGAAAAATGCAAGGGATATCCTCAAAATTATCTATCTATATCAACTTTTAAAATAAATAATATTTAATTATTTATTCTAAAATTAAAATTAAATAAAAAAGTTGAAAAAACATTATAAATATGGGAATTGTTTTTCTTGATCATTTATTTAATAAATTTCTAGTATAACAATATATTTTGGATTTCTTCCTATTCCTTAATTTGTCGAGGATATATAAATATATTTTAAATTAATTCAACGATTGTATTATATTTTTAATTTAAAATTTGAAGTAGAGTATATGCCTCATTATCCAGAGGAGATAGAATATTCTGACAAATATTTTGATGATTATTATGAATACAGACATGTTATCTTGCCCAAACACATATTCAAAAAAATTACTAAAGGTACTTTAACTAGTAAAATGTAGGAAAATTGTTAAATGAAATGGAATGGAGAGCAATTGGAGTACAACAATCTAGAGGATGGGCTCATTATGAAACTCATAGACCTGAACCTCACATCTTATTATTTAGACGCCCTAAAAATACTGACCCAAATACTGGTTTACCACCTCCCGGATTTAGTGCGCCATATTGATAGTTAAATATTGAATATTTAAAATTAACAAAAGAACTCCAAATTAGAATCCAAGAAGATAATGAGTTCTAAATAATGGTTCATTTTTTTTTCTAAATTTGTTTCCAATCGATCTTTTATCTTAAAGATGCTATTTAAACTCGAAAACTATGTTTATCAATTTTAATCATTAAAATTAACTATAAATCAAAAATCACTTCAATTTTAATATTTCTGCTAGTAAATGGCATGATTGTACTAAAAATAAATCAGGCTTTATGGTAAATTTCTAATCATAAAACATTGTTTAGCTTATATGGTCTATCATTTAATATATATATTTTATAATTTATATTAAGAACACTCATTTATTTTGATTGATTTCTTTAGCAATGAAACTAATATATTTGGTTTGTAAGTTTATTTTTTATATATCGAATGTAAATTTATATAAAACGGACAGTTGTTCTGTATTTGTATTTATTAACAGTAAATATACAATGTCTACCGGGAATGCTGAACGAGTCCTAAGATATCGCAAGCAAATTGCAATGTTAAATATCAAAAGAAGTTAATGAAGTATTGCAGATAGAAAATATTAATCAAAATGAATTTGGAATATTCAGAACTAAGAAAGGACACCTGATAAAATTTGATGAATTCAATGACTATACACTTGATTAAGATGTTTTAGTTTACATTGATAAAAAAGTGAAAAGTTAATATGTTGTAAGATTCATCAATAATCATTTTAGATGTAACTTGAATACGAAAAGAATTATGATATTGAATAATATGTTATAGAGGGTAGAAATTATGTCTACATAAGAACTAAATTAGTGAATATGTAGAATAAATAAGAGATAATAAATTTGCATTTATTAAATATTTATTAGCAAGGGTCTATTAAATAACTAATACAGGAAACTCTGAATGGACTTTAGTTTAGCTTCAAATTTAAAGATTAATAAGATTATTTTGTATAGATCATATTTGCTACTTTGTTTGAAAATGATTTTAAGGGAACTGAACCATAAGTAACTAATTTAGTTTAACAAATATAAAAAAACTATATCTCATGCAAAGTAAATGAGTGTAAAAAGGATAAGGAACTATTTCACTTGCTTTAAAGTGTTTAATTACAACAAATTGCTCCTAAATTTATAAAATAATGTATAAATATTTCTTAATGTAATTAGGTTCATTAAAGACATCTTAATCTATCCAATATTACAAACTAATCAACTCAATTTATGCTGCCAATATTGAGTTGGAGAAGAATGAAATTAATTTTAATATTGAGTTTACATTAGAATGCATAAAATTGATAAGCTACTCTGAAGAGAGAAATCATATCATGATGGAATTTGATTAATACTTTTGCATTGATAATTTGATTTATCATTTTAGATTTAGTTCAAGTAGAAATTATTGATTAATTTAAGTTAGTTCAAAATTAATAAAGATTTAACTACTATGTAATACTCATTTAAGTCAACAATGATATCAACCAAAACTAATTGATAGAAGAATTGTTTTTTATTATAGAGAACTTAAAATGTTAAAAAGCTATCTCATAAAATATTCACAGTATAGAAAAAATGATTTAAATCAATTCCTTGTTTATTTAATAATAATAAAACGAAAGCAAAGAACAAATCAAAATTGAAGAAAAGACTGAGAAAAATAGATTTATAGAAGAAAAAGTAGAAATTAAGATAGATGAAGGAATTCAGTAAATCAATACTTAATCAAAATTATTGTATTCTAATAATAATAATGAAAAATATGAAGGAGTGCAATTCATATAAATCAATTAATCATAAGGAAGCATAGCATAATTAGAAATTAATAAAGACTTACCGTTAGAAGAAGATTAATAACCTAGGGAAGTATAACAAGAGATTGATATTTAACATGTGAATAATGATGATATCTTTGATTAACCATTACAAGTTGAAGAATAATAGCATTAATAAAGGCTAAATTAAATAGATTAATATGAAAAAAAAACTTAAGAAATCCAAGAATCTATTAATTTTAATGATTCTAATAACAAATAATAACAAGAATAGAAAATTGAAAGCATAGTGTTTGATGAATATAATTAATCAAGAAGATAATAGGAAAATCTAGTAAATTAAAATATAAAAAACAATAATCAAGAAGAACATTTCCAGAACAAAGATCATAATCATTAACATTAACATTAATAATAAGATGATGTTTAATATGGATAAAAAAATCATTATGATTAATATGAACCTCATCATTCCCATCACCATCATCATCATCATCATAGTGACTAATTTAGAAGTACTTAATATGAAGATGAATAATCTTACTCTGAATACGAAAGACCAATCCACCATCGTCACCATCATCATCATCACTAATTCCATCATCATAATCATTAATTTGATGATTCAATTTAAGAAAATGAAGACTTCAATCTTAGAGGCTAAGATGTTGTTCCTAAAAGAAATAATTTAAGGGGTAGGAATTTTAGAAATGATTCTTTGTATAATAATAATGATCCAGAAATAATTGATAAAATAATTATAGAATATAATTTCTCTTAATAGGAGAATGAATTATCATAGAATCAATAAAGTTAATCAAAAAAGGATCATAAAAAAGAAAATCCTATCCCAGGCCCTAAAAAATAATAAATCTAATATGGAGAGGATGAATCATAATCATAATAAAATAATTAAAACCCTAATAATAATAATAATAAAAATAAGTAGAGTTCTGGTAATCAAAATAACAAATAATAAAGTAAAAGCTAAACCTAAAGCTTATCAAATGATTAAGAAGAAGGGGGTAATAATGAATAAGGTAATGATAATTAAACATAAAGTAATAAATAAAATAAACCAAATACTTCATCTACTTAAAAATAAAATACTAAAGATAAGGATGATAAGTAATAATAAAAGGCACCTTCAAATAAAGCTGCAAAAACTAATAAAAGTGGATCCAATTAAGAGGAGGAGGAAGCGAGCAATTAAAATAATAATGAGGATGATTAAAATAATAAAGAAAAACCATCTTAATCAAAAAGTAAGAATAATAGAGATAAAGATAAAGAATAGGAAAATTAGGAAGAAAATGAAAATTAGAATAATGATGAATCTACTAATTAATAGGATCAAGATTAGGAAGAGCCAGCAAAAGAATAAGATGATGAAGAGCCTGCAAGAGAGCAAGAGGACGAAGAGCCAGCTAAGGAGCAAGAGGATGAAGAACCAAAAGAAGAATAATAATAAGATGAAAATTAAGAAGAATAGGAGGAGACTGCCTAAGAAAAGCAAAAGGATAAGTAAAAGTCGAAAACAACGAAAAAATAATCTGAAGTTAATGATAAAAAAAAATAAAAAAAAAATAAAGAAAAAGCAGAAGATTAAGAAGAAGAAAATATTGAAAATTAAAATGAAGAGGAATTATATGATTTTAATGGCAGATACATACGGAACGATCCATTTTATGAACATAGGTAGTCAAAAAGAGGAAGAGTTCCTTTTAATTATCCAACAAGAGATCCATTTTATGATGTGTTTGAAGATGATAGATTTTGGAGATATGATACCATGAGAAGATAATAAGTAAGATATCCTTTTAATGGATATCCTTATAGACATCGAAAATAATCAATTGATCATTCACCCTTTCCACATGTTAACTCTTATTATAAAATGCATCCATATCAGCAATAGACTTATCATTGTTCACCATGGGTTGGAAGAGACTTTTATCCTGATACTGGGTATGGAATGAGTAGAGTAACTGCTGCTTATAAGGGTAGATATACAGATCCTGATCAAGTCTTAAGAGATTTAACAATTAAGTAATAATAATAAAAACAATGGAAAAAATCTATGTAATAATATAGAGATTAAGTTGGGTATAAGTATGGAGACTACGATCTTGATTTTTAGCCAGATTATTCTTAATCATATGAGAATATTGTATAATAATATCCTGATTATGATTCAACAATTTAGGACCCAAATTAATTTCAACCTTATCAGGAGGATTAAAAAAAGACCCATGATTATTTGAATGATCCTTAATATAAATTTAGATAGGGAAGAAAACCATTAGTAAAAAATGATAGAATAAAAACATTTAATCGTTAATAAGAGGAGAATGATTGTTTTGTGGTTTATGATTAGTGCAATTTCTAAGGAAATAGATTAGATTTATGTGGAGAATATCCAGACATTCCACAATATATCGATGGATTTAAGATTTTCTCTTTTATTGTCCCTGATAATCTATAAATAAGATTTTTTCAATCAACAGATTTTGAAAGTACTAATATATATTAAATTAATTAGACAATTTTTAAAATGTTGAAGGAACATCTGATTGCTTAAAAGTTCCATATGAATTAGTTCCAAATTTAAAATAATGAATAAGAATTTAATATAATAATCAAAATTTGCATTTGTATTTATATTTTTCATCTATTTAATCATCGAAATTCTTATTAAATATTTAAGAGTTGAGTAATAAATTTTTTGACAATTCATATCTGTATATTTATTCATAATTGGTTTAACTAGCTCTTTAATAAAATGTAGAAGATCTTTTCCATGAATTCTAACTTTATTTTTATTATTATTTCGGCACATAAGCATTAGAATCTTAAGGAACTTAAACAGATTAAAGTAAACTCTTGGTTCTGTACTTTCCACTTGAAATTAATGATGAGATGACTTGTTTTTATTAAAATTTGGAATTCCAAAGAATCTTTTCCTCTATTTCAAATGTCGTTAATACTCCCAAAGGACATTTAGGATTTAAACATCTGATTTCTCCACCCAATGCCTCACCAATTCGGATTACCACATTTTAATTACAACATTTCGAGATTGGACAATAATCAGTATCTGAAAAATAGATATAAAAAAGTTTAGAAATTGGATGTTGACAAATCAATATGTTTTGTATTTCAAATTAAAGTTCCTAAAAAAGTTCACGCATTATTTTGTATATTATTAAATTTCGTTTGTCAGATGGATGAAGAGATTTAATATCCTTTTCGAACTTTACTAAAAATTATGAATTATTTACCTTCTTTCAATAACTGACGGTAGGAGACTTATTTGTTAATCACTAATAATTACTTTTTTAAAAATTGATCAATGGGTAAAAGTTACTTCCAAATTGGTTTTCATTTTCATTTTCTCTTTATTTATTTTATTCATTTATTGGTTAAATTTCTATTTTCTCTCTTTGTTCACTTTTTGGACTAGTCTTGAATGGCAAATCATCTAATTGGATTTTGTAAAATTTCTAATTTGGTCTTGTTGATTATCTAGCCGTGGATCCCTTTGATAAATTTCCAGTTTATCTATTTCTATATTTTTAATTATTATTCATCATACCTTCTACTTTGGCAAGAGTGAATTGAAAATGTTGAAATTACATCAAGCATATTTAACATTGATAAAACAATTTTATTAATAATAATTATAAAAACAAAAACAAATAAATTTAAGTTAACAAGCTTTAAGTCATACAATATTCATTATTCTTTTGTTTTCTCTAAGGAGAATCAAAATTCTATGAGTAAATCTTCAATTTCTCAATTTTTAAAGATAAACATCGACCTTCTATAGAAACACTAAATAGTATGTCGTTATTCTTATCATTTTAACAAAATTGAATAATAATTGAGATTCGACTTATATTTACAATATTTTATATTCTTGATCTTGGAGCATACGATAATTATCATTTTCAGTAAGGTTTATGTATGAAAAAACACAATTCTATATATGCTTAATTGATATTTACTTTTTGTATTCATTTTCTTTTGTTATTACTGGATGTAATTCTTTGGAGTTTATATATTTATTTTAGAAGATTTTTCTGTATAAATATTTTTATATAACTTAATTGTATAAATGAATATAGCCTATCTAAGTTGGAGGAACTAGCATGAATTCTCAATCAGTGATACTGATATTAGTGATAATGAGGAAAACACTTTTGAGATAGAGTAAAATAATTCTTTAAAATATCTCAATGTTAAACCTTCTAAAAAACACTTCATAACTATCCAAGAAAAAAAATAATACATAGAGGAGTATACTAAAAAGAAAAAAACAGAACTCTGCAAGAATTTTGTGTAGACTGGGAGATGTAAATATGGTTATGAAGTATTTGTTTATTTAAAATTAAGTGTTCTTTTGCTCATGGGGATTCTGAATTATAGCCTAAAACTCATTTGCATTCCAAATATAAAACTAAACCATGCAAGAGATTCTTCCAATAAGGGTATTGTCCATATGGGATTAGATGTTAATATATTCACGATGAACTAATTAATAAAACTGAATTTGATGGATTTCTATAAAATTCTTATAAAGAACTTGGCGTCAAAGCTCCAATTTCCTCAAGTATTAATATGAATTTATTTTAGAATAATTAAAACCTGATTTAAGAAACGATATTCAAAGATTTATTATAGCAATGAATAATAAAAACATCGATTTGGAATTATTTATATATAATAAACCTAGACTGTGCTTTTTTAAATAAATCACAGATCCTTAATATAATTTCTTGTCAGATGACTCTCTAAAAAAGCTTGTCGTCTAAGGCAAAAATTGTGATTATTGATTTTTATATTTAATTAAACATTTAATGGCGGAGTAGCCTCTTTTTATAACTGAAAATAAACAAATATTGCCTACTCTAGAAAAGATCCACCCTGATCAAGCCAAGAATATGTAGGAACTTTGCAAAGAGATGGAAGGTTTAATAGATTAAACAAACACAAATGTAAACCATATGTTAAAGTCTTAACAAAACAGCATTCTAAATGCCTTCAAGCAAGTCTTAGAAAACATGAAGAAAGACATAGATAGAATTAATGAAAAGTTTCATCAATACGTTGCATTTCATGAATAAGAATCCCAAGTAAATGAATCATATTAAACCATTAAAGGTAGTAAATGCTTAAAACAAAATGGTATTCTTTAGATAAGAATGTCATACTTTAAATGAATAATGTAAATAATTGAAGCATAATGTCTAAACACTCGCAAAAGCAAATTAATTTTTAGAAAATGTATTTTATTTAAGCATACTTTAGGAATTGATGTTCACTAAAGAAGCTTTATTAAAATAAGTTTAGAAAAATGAAAAACTCAAACAAATTATTAAGAGGTTCAAAGAATAAATGAATGAAAATTCAGATTTGAAAAACCAAAATCTTAAATTATAACCGACCGAATCTAAGATGTTATAAGACTACTAGTAGCATATCTAAACAAGTGTGAAAAGGGGTAGATATGATTCTTCTCATAATAATAAGAACACTTCATTTAACTCAATACCTAATTCAGAGACTAAATCGAAATTTATTTTTTCATAATAAACCAGAGCTTAAAGTCTATAAAAAAGTATTTTGGCTAAAAGATCAGGAATATTTGAAACGACTATTTTAGATAAATCTTAGCAATAAAACCAAACATTTGAATACTCCAGATATCATTCTATAAAATATGATAATGAAAATCATCAATGATATTTTTAGTGCGATTTTTTCCTTTCTGTAAAAATTCAAAATATATTCTTTTACTAATCCTCAAAATTAATTTGAAATAGTCTATCTGTTATTTGCTAATTATTATATTTTTTTTGTGAAAAAAACAAATTCTCATCCAGATTATTTCCTTCTAATTTTGAAATTTCTCTTGAAAAATTTTGCAAGTCCTTATAAATTGTAAATTGAATCTTAGTTTGATAAAGGGCCGAAATGTATTAGGGATTCAAGATATCATTCTCTATAAGAGCTTATTTGAAGTTAATTTTATTAAAAGGACCTAATTGACTAATAAAATATTATGCCATAATAAATCCTAATGTATTAAATTATTTCTATTAAGTATGTTGATGAGTTCTATTCTGTTATCCGCTATTTTATAGTTCTACTCCTATAGTTGCAAGAGATTAAATATCATTTTTATAGTGATCAATCATTTTAGAAAGTGTATGATTCAAACTGGAGATCATATCATAATAGTTTTTGTTGTTCCAATTTCTTTTTTTATCATCAATTGAAATTGTCTAAATATTTTAGATTAAATTAATAATTGAATTAGGAATGTTTAAATTAGGATGAGTTAAAGTTATTAAAATGGAATCATTTTGCAGTTTTGATTGTTTTATGGATAATGAAAAAGGTTTCTTAAATGGATGAATCTGAAAAATAATGCTCTCATCTGTGTATATTATTGAGAGTAAAATCTTCATAAATTCCATTAAGTTCATAATAATGGATACTAACTTATTTTTATCTGTTCTGATTATCTCTTTTTTAATTGAAAAATTGGTAATATCAATCCTCCTCTACTGATAATTAATAAGCAAATTATCACAAGTAGTCTTAAAAAATTATTCCGTCTACAAATCTTAAAATTCATATTTAATCTATCTGTGGGATATTTTGTAGAGATTCGACAAATTATTATTAAGATTGTATAAATAATAACATTGCTACATTAATTTTTACAAATTTTATTGAATAGCACAAGATTAGTCTTTTTTGATAAAGGTGGACATTTGGGTTTAAGTATGAACTTACTAAATGAGTTACATTTATTAATAAATTGATAATAGGCTTACTTTGGAGTTGTGCTAAGCATAATTTATATCAATACATGTTGCTGAATATCTCTTTATTCAATTTAATTTAAGAACTAATCGTATTTGTCTTCTTTAATTTCTTCGAATAAAAGAATAACTTAAGGTTCGAATGCTTTAAAATAAACCTAGGTAATTTTAAATTTGTGTTATTTTGAATTGACCTCCTTTTCCAAATTTCCAAAGTATCTTTGCACTGGGTGATCTTCACTTTTAGATTTTAATATCTAAATTATTTCATGCTCTATTTTTATAGTCGAAGATTAGGCAGCTACTTCAAAATCATATAAGGTTAATTTTCTCAAAAAGTCTCTTAATGCTTCATTGCTTTGAAGATTGAATTTTTCTTTAAGATTTTTATTGATCTTTTCTATTTAGAGTTGGGAGGCTAATTTGTTATATTTAAGCACGACTACCCATGATGGTAATAGGTCTTCTATCACATTTTCATATTGCTCTTTAGAAAGTCCGGATAGGAAGTTCTTTCTATTTATAATTTCGTATTGATAACGAAGCATGACTAGAATCAAAGTGATAAGGCAGTGAGAAATGATTGCAGATATATCATATTGACTTAAGTTATAAATTGCTACAGCTTAGGAGCAACAGAAAATGAAGGATTAAATTAAAAACTAACTTCCCTATAAATAAATAACTAAATTAATCTTTATGTTGTACTTAATTTAAGACAGGATGAATGTTAGCCCTAATACCAAAGAAAATCTTAAGACTCAAACAATCTCAGACATTCACATATTGTGGCCATTAAAATCAGATTCATGGTGATAAGGATTTCTTTGTTTTGCCAATATTTCTTCATAAAGAAAAATAATGCCAGTTCTAATGCTATACCAACTCCTGCAAATATTTATGGTAGCAAAACCTCTTACAAATTATATTTTATTATTATTAATCCCAAATATAAACTTAATATTCCATAAGTATATTCGCGTCTATGTTTAATGCCAGTCAATAGAGATTACCTATAAATTTCTTCTATCTCCTGAGAAGCAAATTATAAGGTATATGTTTTAATCATTTTATTTCAATTAATTTTATATTTTTTAAATAAATTAACCCTAAGAATGATATGGATTTACGCTTCTCAACTTAATTTGAATCATTTAATACAATAGATATTTGAATCTCAATTAAATTATACTCAAAATCAACAAATTTTTATAGATGTTTTTCTTTATTAAATTCTTTGATAAAATCCCGAACTCTTAAGTGAACATTTAATAAAATTAGAAATAATTACATTAAATTAAACAACTACTTACATCTACAAATGAACAAATAAATAAATTGAACTAAAATAGTTTAAACCAAATTGGTTTTTATATTCATTGAAATGAAATTATTTAATTGCTTATTTCATGATAATTGGAAATTATATAGACAGAATCAAGAAGGAATGTAATTGTATAATTTTTAGTTTCTTTTGGTAATCTTAAATGTGGCAAAATGTTTGTCTCAAATAATTAAAATTTATTATGACTTATGAAACAAAGATAATTATGAATTATTCATATAATACATGTGACATTATAGGCAAAGGCTTTAGTTCTGTTGTTTACAAAGGAATAAATACAAATACAAAGGATTATGTAGCAATCAAGGTAGCCAAATTTCATTATCTTGATTAGGTGATCAATAGAAAATTTTCAGAATAACTCCCAGCCATTTAGAATGAAATACACATTCTCAGAAGTCTCTAAGGACGACATATTCTGAAATTTTATGATCATTTTGCTTCAAAAAATAACATTTATATTATTACTGAATACTGTAAGTAAGGAGATTTAGGGTAGAAACTAAAATAGCAAGGGTATTTCAAATAGGAGTAAGCCGTAGCTATGGTTAAATAAATAATAGATGGTATTTATGTGATGGCTTAATAAAGTATTGAAACATTATCATATGAGATATAATACATCGAGACTTGAAACCATAGAACATTTTACTGAATGAATAGGAAGTGAGAATAGCAGACTTTGGTTTCGCTAAACCGCTAAATAAATTGAAAAATGAAATGAATGTCGGCACTCCTATTTATATGAGTCCTGAAACCTTGATTAAATCACAATATACTAGCAAGACTGATATCTGGAGTCTCGGAGTTGTATTTTATGAATTGCTCTATGGTAAACCTCCATGGGTGGCTCAAACAGAGTAGGAATTGATATACAAGGTACTCAATAAAAGCGTTATTTTCCCTGATTTCCCATTTGTATCAGATAGCGTAAAGGATTTAATCAAATAATGTCTAATCATAGACCCTTATATGAGATTAAGTCTAAATGATTTGGTACAGCATCCAGTTATCAAAAAAAGTAGTAAATAAATAGTCAAGCCTAATGAGACAGAAAGCACTGATCAAACTATTAAATCGGAAGTTCCAAATGCTTCTGATCCTTGGACTTATAAGAATAGTGATAAAAAATTAGTCAAGATAAACTACAAAAATCCATAAATAAATACAATTATTTCAAAATATTTGAATCCTAATACTACAAATCAAAAGGATAACAAATAAATTAAAGATAATTAATCCAACTTTGATGAAATCACATCTATTTTACAAAGCCAGTTTAATTTATGTCTCTTTCTTAATATAATGATATCAAAAATTAGAGATCAGAAATTATTAACTCCTTTATTAAATGAGAAATGCAGAATCATTTTTTCAAAGCACTTATAAAATGTTAAGGAGAATATCTATAAACAATTGATTGAAGGTGAAAACAGATTCAAATTCAAAGAGTGGTCTCTTTATTGTAAGGAAAATACTTACAATAAATTTAGTGCGAAGTTTATTCTTGAGAATGCTTAATTTAATAAGACAATCAAAGATTATAATGAAATGATAAAATCTAATAAATCATTGATTATTGAATATTAAAAATATGATTCTGAGTTTTATTAGATATTATTTGGATTAGAATGGAAAATAATCAGGAAGATCATTAAAAATTTGATTTTAGAATTTAATCATATGATAGTTCAGAATGTAGATTTTTTCAATCAAAGTTATCAGATTACTAAAAATTAGGCAACTGAAATCATTTTATTATAATAATTGTGTTGCTATCTTGAAATGATTGATAAATTCTTTCTTAAAAATTTTGATCAAGAAAAGTTTGCCAAACAATCTAAGATACAAACCTATTTAAAGGCAAAAGAAATAAAGATGTCTGATTATTTGGAAATCAGATTCCAAATCAAAAATTTAATGAGGAATTGATTTATTTATATTGATATGGGGAACTATTTATAATTGGAGTAAATTCAATTTAATATTAGTAATTCATTTTTAAGCTGAGTTTTTATAATCTGAGTATTTCTTTTGGTTTCGCAAACTACCTAATAATTATGAAACTATGTCTTCTTTATTAGACTTAACAGGAGTTTATAATTGATCAGGCTTTGCGTTCAATACCAATTTAAATTGCATATTACTCTCAACTCTTCTATGTTTTGCTAAAAGATCAGATTTCTTATTGACCAGACTATTTACACTATCTCTATAATAATTAATAAGGTTGTATACGTTAGTTTAATTAATTTAGTACTATCTGGTTTATCAGCAGTGGATTATGATTGATGTTCAGGAACATAATAATTGTTATTATTTAATTTTACAGTTTTTTGATAAATGTCTTACATACCTGAAGAGGCTGATTTAAATTGTGATCTTTGAGGTGTTTTCATAGTTTCAATCTAATTATTGTTTGATTTAAAATAATTCTTAAGGGGATTCATTTTATTGAAATTTTGTTCAAATTTGAGTTCATTACGATCAGTAATAGATATGGTTCCCTCTCTAACTGACTAAATTTCAGATGGCCTAGGTATATAATCACTTGATCTAAAATTTTCTGGTTTTACTAAAAGTTTCTAAGTAGATTTGGCATTTGATTTTTAACGAACTCTCTCCAAAATCCTGGATGCCATTTCAGCCGCCTCCTGTTCTATATTGACTTCGGGATATCTATCACCTGAAGTTAAACGGCCATTAATTTACATAAATTTTATATGTTATTTTAATATCTAATGAAATCTAGTTCAAAATACCATCTATTCGTTTGATATAATCTTTTATTTTATTGTAATCTAATAATAAATAATATAATTAGACTCGTGTGCATAGACAAAATTTTATTTAGAATAGATACTGGAGTTTCTGATAAGCTTATGACTATTTATTATGTTAATAATCTCGAATAGACCTAGTTCAAATCATATCATAGAATTTCATACCTAAATTACTCTTCAAAATATTAAATTTTAATAGAAGTCCTTAATTTTTATTATATTCTTTTAAAAGAAAATAATATAAATTTATATAATATACTTCGATGAAATATTCTTCAATAAATCATAAGCGATTACAATTCAAAGCTGAATATTTTCATTTCATTTTTTATCATATTCTTACAAGCTTTAGAATAATAATAGTAGATTCATATTTAGAAAACAAATTTTTTATGATGTATATAGATTTTATTATAATAAGATATATGTAAGATTATTATGAAATCTAATTTAGATATTATATTTATATCATTCTTGCTATCCTTAATCATCTTTCTATCCTTAATCATCCTTCTATTCTTAATCATCCTTCTATCCTTAATCATCTTTCTATTAATCTGAATCTTGTTAAGGTTCAGTGTCTAAGTCTTGGATAATTGCAAAATCTTTCTCTGGAGTTGGTAACCATCTTGGAATTTCAGCGCTTTTATTAGTTTTGATATTATTAGAGTTGTCTTCTTCCTCTTTGATCATCTAATTAAATTCATCATGAGGCAAATTCTTTGCTTTTTCCAATTTAATGGCTAATTTCTTTTATACTTCTTGAGATCTCATTAGTTTCTGCATCATATACGATTCTTCCATTTCCATTTTTTCCTAATAGGCCTTGTTTTATTCACAAGCTTTTTTATTTTCCTATTTGGCTCTATTAAATATGATTAGAAATGAATACTTTTCATTTTCTTTTTAAATGTGAGACAGCTTTTCATTCCAATAGAGAGAAATATTGGATTTAGATTTTTGCATGATCTCTTTGATGTGTTCTCTTTTTTCCCTGTTCTTAACCATGAAATCTTATTTTTGTTTATTGATCATTTCAGCATTTCTTATTGATAACTCTCTAATGCATAATTTGGGAATGTTACTTAATTTTTTTATATTCCTCTAATTTAATTTATTCCATAGCTTTTTTAATCATTTCTAGCTATTCTTCTTATTGTTTCTTTTGATCATAATTTAATAGCTATTTCTCCTTTAATTATGCTTCATCATTTTTTTGTGTTAGCTTTTTCTAATAAAACAGATATAAAGTTTCTTACTTGTTCAATCTACTAATGATGATTCATCTTTAGGTCAATCATAGATTAAGTTTTCTTTTTGGTTTCATCAATTCTCTTAGATAACTGTGCATCCCCTCTCTTTAATAATTTAAGACGATTCTTCATTAATTGAATATCCTTCTCAGTCTCTTGTCTCAATTTCCTGGTGTGCCAAACTGTTTCTTCATTTTCCCTTTAAAATGATTAAGGAGATGTTTTCATTTTTTATTTATTTAATGAATTTAGATTTTATATGTTTGAGAAAGCATTTATTCAAAGATACTATATATCAAATAGATATCCAGGATGAATAACTTAGGTTAATTGATGCTGTATTAAATAATCCTAGTTAATTTAGACTTCGAGGAAACCTAAATATATTATCAAACTAGATTGGTCTGTTGAAATTACTTGGAATTTAACAGGTCAAGAGTAAGCTTTTGGATTGAAAGCGAATCAAAAGTTTAAATGGTTTCATGCAAAGCCCCAAGTCATTTCAAATTTGAAAAAGTAACTACAAAAACATGTGACATCAACTGATTTTAATCTGTTCTACACTTTAACTACTCATTAATCTAAAGAATTAAGTAATGAATTCGAAATCCTGAAAAAGAGTGATAACACTGCCAATTTAATAGCCAGGTGTGTATAGAAGGATTAGATGGATGATCAAAATATCATCTATGGGGAACTTAATATTCTCAAACTCTTAAACCATTAAGGCGTCCCTAATTTCGAGGAATTCTTCTCCACTTAAGATATGTACTATATCATTATGGAAAAAATGCAAGGAGAAAAGTTAACTACTATTATTAACACTTCAAAACTATAATTGAACCTTCGCTTGATTTAATCAATACTTGTGGAATGCTTGCAGATATTACAATATCTAGAGTCAATCAATGTGATGCATAGAGACATCTAACCAGAAAATATACTATATGAGTAATAATAAAACAAGAAAAAAGTTGTTAAATTAATTAATTTCAGTAACTCAGCTAAGGTAGGAACTGAACCTAAGAAATGCGGTACTCCAGGTTATATAGCCCCTGAGATCTTTTTAGATCAATAATATGGATGTGAATGCGATATGTTTTCTCTAGGATGTGTATTCTATAAATTGTAAGATTCCAAAATATTATTAGATTAGCAAAAAAGGATTTGTTTCAGGGATCTAGTCTAGCAGAACTAATATCAGAAAATAAAAAATGCTCCTTCAACCTTAAGTCTTTATAACTAATACGAATTCCTTCAAGTGCTTAAGACTTATTGAGTTAAATGCTCGAGATTAATCCTAAACTAAGGATATCTGTTCAAGATGCTTTAAAGCATCCATTCATTAATGATCCATTCAAACCCAACTCCAATCAGAATAGTCAAAATTTCAGCCAAGTCAGATCGGAAAGATACTTAATTTAAAAAGAACTTTTGAGTGTGCAGAGCCAGAAAAAGAAATTAGATGATGATCTAGATGTAGATTACTTTAATAATGAATTGCCTCCCAAGTGTTAAATTCCAGTGATGGATTCGGTGAAAGGAGGTCAAAGATTTAGCTCTGATTCAGTTCAAGATAATGATTAAGTATGTAGAAGAGTTAGTTCTAAATCAACTGGCTGATTTATAATTATAATGTATTAATTATTCTCTTAATTTTTACTATTAACATTTTATTGTTTTATCGTTTAATTATAATAAATCGAGTATTTTAGGAAGCCTTTGAACTTAAATACCTTTATTTTTGATTCTATGGAAGAAATAAATTGTTCTGATTCTAATATAGAAAATTGAGTATTTTTATTAATTCATAGAAAGTTTGAAGCTAGCAAAAAAGAAACAAAACACTTATTTGATTGATTTGTTAATCACTGTGATAATTATATTTTTCAAAATTTAATCATTTTTAACATTTCAGACAATTCACAGAATAATTAGTGGGATACATTACAAGATAGATTTCAAGACATTTCATACAATACCTATAGCTAGGCACTTGAATCCTTGCAGGATGAGCAATATTCCCATGACATTTAGCACATGGATAGGCTTTGTTACAACATCCAAAGATGGGAATTGTATTACATTAAACTCTGTGACCACATTCTTCTGTGTATATTTTATATGGAAATGTCAAAAGTAGTTTCTCTCTTTCTCTCTCTTTTTCTCTCTCTTTTTCCCTCTCTTTTTCACGTTATTTTATATATTTTTATTGTTTTAAGAATTATTCAGCCTTGGTGACTTTGTCCTTTTCCTTCTTATTTTCTTCATCTTTTAAATTAAAATCTGAATTCTATAGACTCATTATCTTTTTCAAGGTCTCCTATTAATATTACTCTTCCTCCTTAATTACTTCTAATTATGTAAAATAGGGCTATCGCATTTCTTTAACTTTCTTTTCCTTTTATTCATAAAAATTTAATTTGTATTCTAGGAATTCTTTACTTTGAGGATCTAAGAATACTAATTTATTATTTTCATCTAAAAGATGACTGAGATCAACTTCTAATTATTTTTTATATTCATTCCATGCTTTTTCAACTTAACTTATTTTTTAACCCAAATAATGGTTTGTTTCTTATTTCATCTATTCTAACTCTTAAAGGTGTTTTCCTTAGATAAAATCTAAACTCTCCTTTAATTCGTCTTAAGACATTTCATATATATTCTTAGAACCTAAACTAATTATTTGATTTAATAATTCTTTTTCTAGTTGATTCCATTCTAATTACTAGTTCATTGATTATAAAACATTCTTTTCTATAAAAACCAAACGATCTAACAGATACTGTTTTAGTTAATCAAAATAAAATTTGATTTCTGGTGTTTTATCAGGTGGCTTGAGGATAGATTCACTTAAGTTCATAAACTAAGGAAATTCACTATACTTTTACTTGTTTTTTTTTATCATCGAATAATTTACAGAATGTCTACACTTCCATTATCTGTGTGGAATGATCACTATGCTATTCTACTAAACAATATGAACAACCTATTCTACTATCAGCCTTGCAATCGGAGTATTGACAAAAGTATAACATTTTATTGTTTTCATGATTTCTCCTGTGACAAATAGCCTCCATATTCAGACCCATCACTTTTATTATTGAACGTTCATGCATATTTTACATTCTCTATTTTGATAAGATCTGCATTTATTTTTTTTAGTTATTTTACATTAGAGTCTTTGCAGAGTATGTTGCTTTAGAACTTAATAAGATTATGAAATGGTTTACCTTAGAGATGAATTCTAAGCCTATGGACTTGCAGAACTGCGAAACGATTATTATGTTTTTAGAAAGTCATAGTTAATTTGACTTTGTGTCAATTAATCGTCAGCCTTAAGATTGATTATGGGACTTGTGGGTGTTTTATTAGACTTGCGAATTGAAGGCTCAGTCTTAGAATGATGTGAAGATTACTTTTTCATTTTATTTATTATTTTTATAAGCAAAGATTGCATTATTGCGACTAAGCTATCTTTGAGAATTTAACAATAATAATAATTTTTAGAAAATTTAATTCATTATCTTTTCAATAATAAGCCTTTCTTTGAGAAAGTGATTTTTTACCAAGAGCCCAACCTTGATTTGTTTTAAAATTAGAAACGAAATACTTCCCTCTTGAATTAATACTTCCTGGTAATTCATAATCACCAGGACCTGGAGTTACAATTGACTTTTTAAAGAATTCACAGTACTTGTTTAGCATTACTGTTTTTCAGCGGACTGAAGAGAGTTGCACAAGCATTTTTAAATTTGGAGTTAGTATAATAACCATATTTATCTAAACCTTTGATTTCATAAGTTCCCAAAGGAGGAGCCTCAAATTTATGAACTAATGCAATGCTATTACAATTACCTTTCTGATTGAGTCTTACACCCATACTGTAACTGATTGGAGTTTCAGACTATTGAGTTATATAATGACCTGGCCCTGGAGTTTCTAATTGTTTTTCCATAGGCTAGGATGTACATGAAATAAAGTTACATTTCTACCCAAACCAAAAGTATAGCCTTTGCTTTTTAAATGAGAGTATTTTAGTATTCTAGCCCTCTTCTGGAGTTCCTGTTGTTTACGCTCATTAAAAAATTCTAATTTCTAATCCAAGTTATCTGGAATTCCCTATAATTGTGAATTCATTATAATGAAATAATTAATTTAAGTCGATGAGAAAAAATAATCTCACATATCACCTCGTTTAGACTTCTTGAGAACAACAAAAAATGCCTATCCTAAGTGAATTATCGAGTAATGCATAGAAATATAAACTCATATATCTGCAATCACTGAACCTTTATTAATTCTAGTACTTTTGTAACCAATAAAAAGGAAGTTAAGAGGAATTTCACACTTCCCTTAACCCCTTTTATTATATTCGACCATTATTCCTTGAATTTCTATGTCATCTTTATTTTCCTATTATTACAATATTTTAATTCAGCAAAAACTCCTCATCTTCTTACTAACCTATTGCTTATATTCAACCTACTCAATTTAGGCAGTTATTTTTCTTTAGGATATCACTATTTTTATAATCATCACATTATCTGATTGAATATTTAATGCTAACATTTACTTATCACTAATTACTAAATAGGTTTTAGTTTTGTTTTCCTTTTTAATGATTTAGTATCCTCGAATTATCAACTAGAGACATTACTATTTCCTAAGATTTGAAATTGGTCTTTATTATTTGAATTACTCAACACTTTTACATAACTCATTAAAATATGTGAAAAGTTGTCTCAAATATTCTATTCTATTTTTATAGTTCCTCATTTGTGGGATCAATGATATCAAAGCATTACTCATCAAGAATCCTATTGCTTAATGTAATCAGAGTTTAAATTGAGTAATAGTTGATTTTGCGTTAATCTTTGACAGTTCCTTTTATTATGAATAGAAATTATTCTAATAATTAATATAAAAATTTTTAGCATAGTTTATTTGCTTTGCAAAACAATGTTTCTAATGTTGATTTACTTTAATTTAGACAGCTTTAAAAATATAGATTTTATCATTAGAATTCATGAAGAAATATGAAATTAAAAATTTATTTTTCTCATAATTTAATTATTATAAATAAGTAGCCTTAAGTATATTTAAAATTCTGATTAAGATTATTTATAATTCATGTTTGAAAGGATTGTTATTTATTTATTTGAGTATCGATTCCCTGATGATCATATTTATATATATTATACCAAATTAGTTATTTATTCTTGGGTTAATGGGATTACTCTAAAACAAAGATATTCTAAAAATTCTTCATGAGATCCTTTTGCTGCTATGAATGTGTGATTTGGTATTTAGTAAGAGAATGTTTATCCCTTCGGCGATCCACAAGTTACCTAATGGCCTTTGTATGTTCTGAATCCGAGCTAATTGATTGAAGTACTTGCAAATCCAAAGATTTCTTTTATACAATCATCTAATAATAGTTATTGGTTTACTTTTATCTATTTTAAACTTCTCAAAATGCACTCCAAATATTTTGAGTTTTCTACTACTTTAGCCAACAATGGTTTTTCCATCCATCCCTCTGTATTTTATTTTGATCCCTAAAATTCTCTCATGAGTAAATTAAATTTTAATCATAGAAATTGTTATGGGTTGAGCTAGAAGATCCATTTTCTAGAGATCATCAAATAATTTATGGTTTTCCCTTTCTATACCTATATGGATTTCATTTTTTTACATTTTAAAGATACTTAATATTAATGCTTATATATATTGAATAATGGCTAAATAAATTCAATGATGATGACCGTGCTTTTTCACAACAACAACATTTGGACCATGATGATGATGATGGTGGTGATTATCGTTTGCCAAAGCAGCCCCAATCAAAGCACCTCCAATAAGTGCTCCAGCAACGGCACCGCCTCCACCACTATGTTATTGAGGGGGTGGAGGACCTTGCTACTCGATGATAACAGTAGTATTTTATGGTGGAGGGTATTATCCAGGAGGTGGATACTATCCAGGTGGATACTGTCCAGGTGGATATTATCCAGGAGGAGGGTACTATCCAGGGGGAGGGTATTATCCTGGTGGATACTGTCCAGGTGGTGGATATTGTCCAGGTGGAGGATATTACCCAGGAGGTGGTTGTTATCCTGGATATCCTGGAGGAGGATATTGTCCAGGTGGAGGTTGTTATCCAGGTGGTGGATATTGTCCAGGAGGTGGGTATTATCCAGGTGGGGGGTATTGTCCAGGAGGTGGATACTATCCAGGTGGAGGGTATTATCCTGGGGGAGGATACTATCCTGGTGGAGGGTATTATCCTGGCTATTGGAGCTAGGGTTGAGGAGGAGGAGGTTGAGTGACTTATGTGACAACAACATTAACATTCCCTTAACCCAATCCCTTAGAATATTGCTATATTTATTACCAATTTTTTCAATTAATCAGGAGTAAGAGGTACTACTCTAAAGGCTATAAAGTCCAAGAACTTATCGTATGAGCCTCTTGCTGAGGAGAATGTATGAAGTGGAAAGTGGTGAGAAAACGACACTCCTTTTGCTATACCGCACCTGTGACTAACTCCTTTGTAAGTTGTAAATCCAAATTGATTAATTTCTGTGCCAACATATCCATGTATTTCCTTGATGAAATCATCTGAATGATTATATTAAATTATTACCGTCAGCGATATTGTATTTTTCTTTCTTTGTTCCAGAGAGCAAGCCTCCGAGCAATTTGAACTTCATTGAGCAAGTTCCTTTAGCTACTCTTCCATCAATTGCTTTGTATTTAAGCTTGACTCCTGTGACATGCTCCTTGTTATATTGGATTTTAATCATGGATATTTTCACAGGGTTTGCTAGTTTTTAGGTTTCGTAGATGTCATCGAAATGTTTATGATTGGCTCTTTCAATACCAATTACTACGTCTGGAATGTGAAGCATAACAATTAATTATTGATTTAAATGATTTATTTTGTTCGAAAATATCAATTGCATTTATATTCCATAAACATAGTGTATATAAATTTAAAACATTATAGAAAATTGATTCTAAGAATCTTTAAGAAGATTTCAACTTAAAAAACCCAATATTTTATAAATTTATTCATAACCATAAAAATATATTATTACGCAATTTTAGTAAATTCTTAATGGGAAATTGTATTTATAAGTCTTAAGTTGACAATTAAGGTATTGACATCTCATAATTTTAGCTTAGGATACTATTAAATAGGTGGATGGAATTATTGATTAAGCAATCCAAGAGGAGAATGTATAAAAATAAGCAACTTCTGAATAACTAAAAATAATTTAAAATGAAGTTAGGGCCTTAAATTAGGAGAGCCCTGAAAGTAACTCTGGTTCTTATTGTTCAAATCCTCAAATAAAATATCAATCAGATCTACAATTATCTCCTAATTTATTGATCAGAAAATAGAATGATGGCGAGAAATTTCTATTCCATTATGAAATAATAAAGAAATTAGGCCAAGGAGGCTTTGGAGAAGTGTATTAAGTTAGGCATTTAAAAACCAAATTGATAAGGGCTGCAAAGGTTGTTATCAGATAATCAATCGAGAATGAATCTCTATTATTCCGAGAAACTGAAATACTAAAAACCTTAGATCATCCAAATATAGTGAAAATTCTTGAACTCTTCAGTGATAACCAACATTTCTATATAATCACTGAATGCTTAGATGGAGGGGAACTCTTAGACAGGGTCAGAACAATAACTAATTATTCAGAAGAAATAGCAAAAACATATATGAAATAAATATTGTCTGCCATGATATATTGCCATGAAAGAAAGATTGTCCATAGAGACCTTAAAGTATGATAAATATGATATTTGTCAGCCTGAAAACATATTATTTGATACTTTAGACATCAATTCGAATTTGAGAGTTATTGACTTCGGAGCAAGTGAAAAGATGATGTCCAAAAAGCTCACAACTAAAATTGGCACTCCTTATTATTTAGCCCCTGAAATTCTAAGATCCAATGGATACGATGAGAAAGTGGATGTTTGGTCATGTGGTGTGATTCTTTATATATTATTAATCGGAAAGGCTCCGTTTAGAGGAAAAAACCGATATGAAACTTTGCAACTAGCTTAATAAGCGAAAATTGAATTTAATGGTACTATATGAATAAAGCATTAAAAAGCATAAATTATTTAAAGGATAAGCCAGGATGCTCTTGATTTGATTAAACTCATGATTGAAAAAGATCCAAACAAAAGAATTTCTATGAAGGAGGCAATGAGTCATAGTTGGATTTAAATGTAATCTTAGAAGAGTTTAAATTTTGACTAAACCTTTTTCAGAAATATCACTTAATTTAAAGGCTATAATAATTTAAGAGTGGCGATCTACCAATTTATTACAATATAAACACTTAAAAAAGAAGAATGCGAAAAATGCTTAGAGGCTTTTAAAAGACTTGACAATAATGGAGATGGTGTACTATCTGAAGAAGAAATACTTCAAGGAATGCTCATGGTCAATATAAATTAAATAACTTCCTAAAACATGATAAAAGAGATTATGAGTCAAATGGATACTAATGATTCTGGAAAAATCGATTTTACTGAATTTATTACTGCTTCAGTTATGTAAGAGAAACGAATATTGAAAGAAAGTCTGAGAGCTGCATTTAGGCTTTTTGATTTGGATGGTAATGGTACTATTTCCAGATCAGAAATACAGGAGATATTTGGTGGAATTTAAATTGATAATAATGCTTGGTAAGAAATTTTAACCTCTTGTGATGACAATAAGGATGGTTTAATTGAAGAGAATGAATTTCTTGCATTATTAGAGAATTTGTAATGATAAATAATTAATCGTTTATATATAAATCTTAATGAATTATTAATGGTCATCTCCTTTTTTATGGTTGTTTGGGAGGAATCTTTGATTTTTAAGCACAAAAAGGAATGTGTCTTTCGGCTGCTTATTAATTGAAGCTTCTTCCACAATAGTTGCATTAGACTAAATTTGATTTGCTAGCCTCTTACATTGCATTCTATATTATTATTAAATTTCAAACCTTTTGATCTTTAGTCAGCTTTCCACCTTTTGCAGCAATAATGGCAGCTCTAAAGGCTTCGGATTGATTTTTCCAGTTTTGTTTCTTAGCTAAAATTATAGAATAAATATAAACCTAAGGCTTTTTCATATTTTTATTCAATCTTATCTTAGTTTTTAATATGACTTATTTGTTCATTACTAATAATTCTGTGTTTCTATGCATCAAATTGTTTTCTTTATTTTTGGAATACTTTCACACAAATCTTTTCATGTTTTTATAAAGCAAGTTTTGCAAAAGATCTGCCACAACCCTTTGAACATTCATATAATGGTTCAGGATTTTGAATATTTATATTAGGAATATTATCACTTTTTTTAATTGGAATGTCATCGATTGGATTGTAGTACTATTATTATGGTTGGTAAGTGGGTTATTAATTAGTTCTAAGATTACTTTATTATTTATTGTTTGCCGGTTGTTTATTTGATTGAACAGGCGGTTTAATTGATTAATTTGAAGGTTTATTATATCCATTAGATTAATCATAAGTACCTGATGGTGGTCTGTATTATTATTGTTTTTAAACTGGTGGAGGCTGTTTTGCATTATATTGTTATTATTATTATTATTGTTTAGGTTGTCCATATTATCTATTTTAATAATCATAGTCATCCTCAATTTTACCATATTATTATCTACTCTGTTAGGCTTAATTCATTTAAGGCTTAGCTTAAACACCCTATTGAACTTTTCTTTATCCTTCCTAACTAGGCGGTTTATTATTTGAAAATTAATTGTTTTAATTATATCCATACTTATCATAAGAGGGTTAGGGTTGTTGCTTTCCTAAGGATGATTGCCGGTTAGGCTAAACATTTTGAAAACCAATATCATTCATTTAAAATTACTACTGCCCATATTGTTGTTATCGTACGTTATTATTACCTAAATCAGGTTAATAATATTGTTTTTAAGAATTCTAGCTTGGAGGTTTGTCGTAATCTTTGGATACTCAATATAAGTACCATAATTTGGTTTATTACCCAAAGCCATTTCTCCAGTTGCAGCTAATTTTCGTTCTGCTCTCATCTGAGCAGCCTTTTCCATTTGCTCCTTCTTTTTCAAAGCCCACTGATTTGCTTATTGAGAAGCATTAGAGGATGGCTTCATGAAATTTCTTTTATTATTTTTTAATAATTTTTAACCGATAATGAGTGGATCAATTTCATCTTCAGATTCAGAAGAAACATCGTTTGTTTTAACAGAATAAGAGAGAATTTTAAAGAGTTCAAACATATTTAAACAGAAAGAACAAAGTAATAACTAATGTGCCAAGCATCCAAATAAAAAAGTAAATGTTATAAATTAACTTAGGCAAAATACTATGTATAATGTGATAAAACTAAATAATTTTGTTCTAAATGCGCATTAACTTTAGCTTTGAAAGGATTAAAAATTGAGGAGACATAAGAGAATTAGCATGAAGTTCTGAGATAGCAACGGATACATCGCTTTTAAGAACTATTGTAACAAATAATGGAATAATGCATATATAAATCCTAGGAATTTAATAACATAGAGGCAATATCAAGTAAATAACTTCAGGAACATCAGGAAAGTTGTTAATAATTCTTTGATTCTGTTATTTAGACTGCAAATTAATTAAAATAAACTTACTTATAGAAGTTCCAAAATGATCATCATATGTTACTAAACTCTATTCAATTAAAAGCTACTTAAATTAAGTAGATTGATGCACAAATAAAGTAATTCTAGATAGATATCGAAAAAAATCATGACAACATTGTTAAGAAAATGGATATGAAACCTTTTGAAGACATCATGAGTCGATATGAAAAGAGAGTTCTTCAGACAAAAGAATAATTGTCTGAATGCACTTAGGAATTTTAAGCCAAACCTATTAAATTTGAACAAAGTCAGATTTTGGCAGATATGAATAAAATGTGTTACAATCTGTTATTATTAAAGAGTGATGATTCATCGACCTCAGATAGTCGTTCTTTATAAATCAAGTTGGAAAATAGTCCAAAGATCAGATAGAATACTAATAATTCTCCTGTAGATATGAAAGTGTTTGAGATGTTAGAGGGAGAAGATATATATTAGAGTACCTATTCTAATCCAATCAAGGATCATACACAATCTCCAATTAGAATTCTGTAATAGCAATAATAGTAATCATAAATGTAGAAATCGAAATCAAATACTTATTCGAATCCAACATCCACCATATAAAACTCCAGAAGAGAAAGTAGAACAAATACACCCGAGAGCTGGCAATAAACAACTTACAATCAAAAAAATAATCCTTTAATTACTCCAAATGAAAGAGAAAGCTATAAACATAATATTAGTGTTGGAGAATAATTGAATTCATAAAAATGCTTAAACAAATAATTGGAAATTAATGAAAAATATTATGTCTAAAAAAACGAAAAATAAAAAACCTCTTCTGAATTTGATAAAATTAATGAATAAAATAATTAGCAGTTAATAAATAATTTAAGCTAGTTGTACATGTAAAAAAATAATAAGGATACAGATAGGAAAAGTTTTGAAGATGGATAATAATTAACACCTAAACATTAGAAAAATATGACTACTTCAGGTCCTCAAACCTTTAAGCTCATTACTAATCATGCTAGTCAAAGATGTAAAACTATTTTATTATATCTAAGCTTAATACTAGTACCCTTAAGTGAACAATAATTTATTTGAACAAAAAAGTTAAAAAGAATTTTCCAAAACCAATTATGATTCTTTGCCTAACCAAAAATCATTAACTCCACTTCACTAAGAACCTTAATCGAGAAATAATTAATAATTAAATTTAAAAATTGATAACCATTAAAATAGGAGATCCAATTCCAAACAAGCAAAATAGCCTTCTTTTGATTAAATAGAGGGTAAAAGGTAGTTCATCATGGCTAACATTAATTCTTAACAATATACTTCATAACCTAGTTAACATGTTGCAAATGAAGACACTTTAAAAGATAGAATTCTTAAAGAATTATGTAGCCATCCTAGTGAATCTATATATAGTTAGGTCTTAAAATTGAATAGTTAACAAAAATTAAAAAATCAAAAGTTAATCTCAAAAGAGAATGCTGAACAATCAACCACAGTTAGAAATAAAAACAACAATGGATTTTTATGTGTTAAAAAATAATCTTATCAATAATGAATATAATATATTATTGGCTTTAAGCATTTAAATTTATTTAATATTTATTACTTTACTCAAGATAATTAGAACTGAACACTTGAAAAATAATGCATTGAAAGACCATCTAGAATAAATAGCAATAAGATATTATTTATTTTTAAATCATACTTCTGTTTAACAGATGGGACATTTCTTTTAAGAAAGTAGCCATTTTTTAATGCATTTAGAATGGTACTAATGTCTACACTTTAATTCTCTGATTTTATCAAATTTTTCGATATCGTTGTAACAAATAGTACATCTAAAAAATTAAAGTAATATTACGGGTCTTTTTATTTTTGGTTGACCTATCTCTTTGGAATTTTTTTGATTTCCTATTTGGTAAGACCTTTTGAAACGTGCCCAATTTACTCTTATAATTCTAATATTTATTCATAAGTCATTCCATCTGTCTAGAATTACTGTTGAGGCATCATTGCTTCTTAAATAAATTCATAGTATTAGTAATGTCTTAAATGCCTTTACATTTCTTGAGCCATCAGCATCTCTTAATGTGGTCCTCTCATCTATGATTATAGATTTTGATATTTGGATTATAATTTTTTATAATCCTCTTGTAAAATTTTATATTATTCCTTAGTTGCCGTCAGCTCAGATTTTAGTTACTCATTTTACTAATCATTAATGATGATCTATAATAACCTTTCTCAATTAATCATCACTAACAACTATTTTTTACATTTATTGTTATTGCTATGGTTTTAAACTGTCATCTCTTAACTGTCTTGGTACTAAAGTTTGGGCTTTCTGAGCAGGATTAGAAATTCTAAATAGTTTTTATCTTTATTCTGTCTTATAATCCATTTTTTACAACAAAAAATAATTAATCAAATTTCAATGAAAGCTTCTTATCAATGATATTCTGTAAATTCAAAGGATTTAAAACTCTAAATCTATTAATATTAGATACTCTAGGATAGTGGAAGGATTTTAATTCCAAGTTTTTATTTTCCATGGGTTGGCTCAGTTTTGATCCTCTATCAATATAGTTGATTGTCCAGTCCCTTTTAATCTAAAACCTACAAAGTATTCCACATTCGGTTAAATTTGTAAGAGCATTAGAGATGAATGAAATAGCTATTATTATATATTATTAGAATGCATAAGCTTAGAGATTACACTTTTTGTGTACACCATTTATAAAATTTAAGAAATTGGTTTGAATTCCCACTTAATAACATTTTTGGTAGACGAATGGCTAAAATAACTTTTAAGATGTATATGGATACAGTTCCACTTAATTTTGGTATATTTTCGTTATTGAGTTTTCTCTATTCTTAAAAGATTCACATCAATTCTAATAGCTTTTATTACTTTGACTTAATCATTAATTTAATAAATTTATTTCAGATACTGATTTTTTATTTGTTCATTTATTCTAGGATCTTTATATCTTAAGAAATGTCTTTTTGATGGATTAACAAATCTGCTCATTAGTTGATTTATTTTTCAACAAATGAGAAATGATCTCATCTTGACCAATCCGTTGTTTAACATTAAAATTTGCTTATTCTACAAAGAAATTTTTTACGCAGTGAATATAAGGTCGTCTATACTAAGAAAATCAAAGGCTTAATTTAAAATAACATTTACAAAAACGAATTTCTCAATATTCATAAAATTATTTATTTAGACACATTAACATTTATACAAATTTATATAGAATTTTATGAGAAAATGAAATAAAATACTTGAAGTTCATTTTCAAAAAAGTCTTATAATATATACAGAAAACGATTAGATCATAAATGAGAGTTAAATAATAAATAATAGCTAATTTTTAAAATATAAATTGAAGAATATATGAATCACAAAAATATTACTAAATTATTAAGATTTATAGTTTATTTAACCAATTAGTTCCAGTCTTCTCATCTCTGAAAATAATAAGCTCTTTGATTGCATTATATCTTATACAAAATTATTAATTGCTTAAAGTAGTATATCAATTATGTAAGATTTCACACATTTTAGATATAAAACTAAACAGATTGTATTTTAAATGCTCTAAATAATTGAATCACGATTTTAATTAAAAGAATACAAATTTCTTGACTTCTTACATTTTTTAGACATTTCTTAATGGTTTTTTACCCACTAGATTAGGGGTCAAAATTGATTTATCAGATTATATCATTATCAAATTTTGAATTATGTTTGTGATTCGTTTAAGATTACTTAGCTTTTTAGATAATGTAATTCATATTTATATATAAATAAGAGCCTAATTTAGAAGAATTAATTTTGAAGATCTCCTACCATCATGACTACTTTACTTTTTTGGATTAATGATGAGAACCACGATCGTTTCTACTTCGGTTTAATGTAATTATTTTTAATTTGTGACTATAATTTGGAAATAGAAATACAAATACAAATTTCAAGGTTATATAATAAAAATTTTAATTTTCTATATAGATTAAGCAAAAGTAGTATTTAATAACTCTATATACAACGTAAATATAGATTTAAAGTGATATATAAGTTCTTTTGTGATATAGTTAATTATATTGAATTTTAAATCTAAAATGATTTACATCACATTATTGAGTTGTATTCTTAAGAGCATAGCCAAAGATTGCTCATTATTCCCAAGTGATTACACGAAGATAGTCGGAAAGGAGAATGAAATAATTGTATAGGATATATCGGAGTATTTTAGTTAAGTGAAATACAACGACATCGTCACCTTAACTGACTAGAATAGCAAGGTTACTTTGGTACCGCCGATTAACTTAAAAGCTACAAAAGAAACGATTCCTAATGGTATAATATCAAACTTAAATGTTTTAGTGAATAAATTGTTATCATACTCAGTTTTGACTACCAATCAAGGTTAGTGGATTAATAAATTTTAACTATTAGCTATCAGAAATCAAGATGAATAAGTTTTGGCATGGACAGAAAAAATTGTTGCAGGTACTTAATAGAGATACCCAACCTTTGATAAAACAGTTTTACTTGGAAAGACTGACTAAATTATTTGCCAATCTTCAACTATTTTAGATATATCTCATCTAATAACAGATTGCTATTAGGTTAATGGTGAAGAGCCATAAACATATTTTTATTTGATTAGCGAAAAGGATGATTAAAAATAATTAATATAAAATGTGTATCCTTATGAAAAAAATTAATAAAGATACATTGTAAGCACTTAGAACTATATATATAGAATTACTTTGAAAACTAATAATAATCCTGCAATTATTGAATTGTTTACTTATGATTTAGCGAACAAAGACATAAAACTCCAAAAGACAATTAACTAAGAGTTAATTCAAAAATATGTGAATATTACCTAATATTCCTTTGATATGGTTGATGCCAAAATTAGTCCAGCTGATTAAATTGCTATTTTAGACAAGACTGGAAATGTTTTTTTACTCAAATACTACCCTTCTAATGATACGTTCCAATTTAGTCAATAGGGACGTCTCTTAGGAGAATCTATATCGTTTGATTATTAATTCAATAATAACGAATTTGCAATCGTATAAAAACACTCTATCATACAAAGCTATAGAACTTATGTTTCAACAGATGACTTATCAAATTCGAAAATTCATTACAGCAATAATTTTATATTTTTAACTTCCCCCACTCAAATAATAGCATTTGATAAATATTTATAGATAATTTAGATTGTATAAGGAGATTTCAGCAATGTAATGACAGATTAGATTTAAAATGATTTGTTAGTCTTCACCAATGCAAATGTTAGACATTATTTAAGTCGCTCTAAATATTAGATCTAGTATCACAATAATGATCAAGGTATAACTGGAAATGCAAAACTAATTCTAAATGCATGTTAAGTCACTATAGAATATTAGACAGTTTCAATCAACTCTGTAGATTTGTAACTAGTATCAAAGGGAAATATTAAAGATTCTCCATTTTATACAGAACAAATATTTGCATATGATTCCCTTACCCGTCCTAGATAATTAGTTTCTGGCCCTAAATAAAAAATCAGTTTTTAAAAGAAAACTAAAGAAAATGCACTTGGAGGTGGAAATCTTACATATATCGCCGTTACTGGAGACTTCTCAGAAAAGTATACAAATAAAAATTTGAGTTTAACCGACTTAATCTTCCTTTAAACTATTTCTATGGCATAATCTTTTGATTAACCTTTTTCGATAATCACTTAGAATAAGGAAAAAGAGTTGACAATTTATTTTTGTAACAATCTTTAGGCTGAGATATGCCAATAGTAGTATAAGACTAAGTTGAATTTTGAAATTACTAAGGAAAATACTGTTATCCAATATCAGAATTATTAATTTACATTCATCACTATATTAAATGAGAAAACATTGTTCCATTATAAATTTTTGTCAAACAATTATATCAACAAAACTATTACCCTAAAAGATGATGACTAAATCAAATCTATAGACAGCATTTATTTGAGTTATTAATATTTACTAATATTTTCAAAAGCAGCAAAAGCTATTGGAGTGTATAATTATCAGATTGTTGATTTTCTTTACATTATTAATTCTGAAAAATTGAGCTAATTCGGATTTCTCAACTGGGATCCTTAAAAATTGTTTTCAACTGATTTCAGCTAACTTTTGTTTGTCGTTAATGGATAAGAATAGAATTAACTTCTGATCTTGAATTTAACTAGAACAGATTTCTCTTTTGGATACGAAATGGCCATTTCATAATCATAAGATATTCGTGTTATCAATTTTTTTGAGCGATTCGCTATACTTTAATAGTAAGCTTAAGGAAAATTTACGTTCCAAGTTTACAATCGATAAGATCCTACAAATATCTATCTAGAGAAAACTCCATCCTTTTATAACTACCAGATTGAAAGTATTGAATCCTTCTTTTGGGCGCCATACAATAATTTGCTGCATGTCAAAGCAAAATCTGAATTCAAATCTGTTATCTTATCGTATGTTGTTGAGTTGACTGATCACAATTCATTATATTGTGTCCAAGATTGGGACAAAGCCAATTAATTTGTGACAGCAACTTAGGATAACGTATTCTAATTTAATAAAGAAAATGTTTGGATATATTACATATAAAGATATCCTTAATTGTAATATTCAGTTATTTTTGATGACAATACTTTCATTTAAGATTAAGATTACACTATAGTCTACTCAAATGAATAACTGTTATTGGTTAATCGAAAGTTCAGATTGGTTAACAATTAACTTAGCGTAAAAATTAAGAAGGATAAATTAAACATAAAAACTAATTTAACATCCAATCAGGAACACAATTATATTTAAGATATGGGTACTGATTGGTATTCCGGTGAGGTAGCCTAATTTGAATTGATGATACCTCAATTCAAAGACAGAAAAGCAGAAATTATAAATCCTTTTGAAGTTGTAAAACCATATTATCTAAATAATTCTATGAATGCAATTGATTTCAGTACAAACTATATTTTTGTTCTGAAACATGACTCCTATGTTCTAATTAGTAAAAAGACAAATGAAGTTGTAGTCACTGAAAAAATAACTGCAGATTATTCATGTGGAGATGTCATAGCAAGTTTTGATTCCTAGGTCTTGATTTAATGTGTTAAAGATAAATTATAGTATGTTGGTGGAATACAATGTGAGAATACCAATTGTAAAATAGGTAGTTCTTGGCTATAAATTAATGGTGACATCATATCAGGATACATAGATACTGAAAATATCTTTATTATTTAAAAACAGGAGATCTTGGCATACTCCAAAAATATTCTAGACTTATCCAAAGCTTAAAATTACGGTAAAGTAAGTGTTACAGATTTGGATAATTTCTAGTATGGATTAACTATTTAAAAAATTAAGAAGAATCACTATCACGTATATTGCACTGATCACAATTATGCATTAATTGTACTTGAATATAGCATAAAACAGAATCAAATTTAGAGAACCAACAAAATTACTTTCGATTTATACGATTTTCTCAATCAAGACTTCTTTGTGCCTAAAGATACTATTTACTCTTGCATCAAAACAATTAATGTTGTGACTACTGATGTATCATACAAAGCAGATTTTATTCTATTTGGCACCTAAGGTCCTCATTATGGAATACACATAGAGTTTTCTTGTTCTACTGATTAATGCAATTTGATATAAAAAAAGATTGTTTTTGTTTTGTAAGGCTATGGATCATTCTCAATCTTGGGATACATATTCTCAACAGTTAGAATTGTTAATAATTTCATATAAGTTTCATACACAGATTCTGCCTAAATGAGATTGGTCTAGGCAATCTATTAATTACCTAAGGTTTAATCTACCAATTCAGCAGTAACCTTTTTTGCAGCCTTAAAACCAACATTCTATTTTGGATCGTATTAGGTTTAACAGGAATTGTACTCATACGAAAACTAAGTACTATTATATATTTATAATTAGTTGTATTACATTACCAATTCAGAACATATTGAATAATTATCTTTGTATAAGATTAATCCATCTCCAAAACTATTGCTTGACGGAAAATTTGATATATCAATGGGCAATATTGTAGTTAGAAACGATTTCTCAATGGATTCAATACCCATAACTATTAGAGGCCCTGGTGGTAATGATGACGATCACGATAATACTACTACTAGTGGCCATACAGGAGTTTGGGTTACTTTGGGTATATTGGGAGGCTGTCTAATATTGGGAACAGGATACTACTGTTACAAAAGAAATAAAACTAAAGTAGACACTTTAATTTGATAAATATTTTAAGTTATTCAAAAATTAATTATGATCTCAAATTCCTACTTTTTTCTAAAATTTTAGAACAACATTAAATTGAAATTGAATTAAATAAATTTAATTTTCACTTATATTTTTTAAATAAATGTTCTGAATTCTTTAGGACAATGGTCTTTATTTCTTGTTTTCTGGAGATTTGTATCCGTTTCTAAGAGGGGCAGTTAATATTTTAATATCTAGCTTTGATAATTTATGTTGAATAAAAGAGTTTCATCATATCATATCATATTTTGATTATTTTTTAATAATAATAATATCAATTCTTAGATCCTTAAGGAATAGATGAATTACCAAATCACAATCTTAATAAAATTACAAAATAATTAATAATTATTATATAAATAAAGAGAATTAATCAATTTTATTGTTTAGAAAAGTGGTTGGTTACTTTATTGTCAATCCAATTATAAAATTCTTAATTTTCAAGATATTTTGGATACCAGGGGCTTTTGGCGAAATTCTAGGTAATCTTTTACATTTTTTCAAACAAGGTGCTTGCCATCTAAGATATACATTATAATTACTTTTCTAGCTACAAGTGCTACCAAGGCTTTTGGAACGTATCTACATTAAGGATCTGAATTAGTAACAGCCCTTACTCTACATTTATTATCACTAAGTGGTGTGAGTTCAAAAACATAATAATTAAGTATCAAGTTTACAAACTTTCCTTTATCCTTTGATAAATCTACATTATGTAATTTAAGAAATTCAGGATTATTATCAACAGATTTACATAAAAAAACAATGGTTCCGTTAATGTTGAGTCTATCGATGCCTTCTCCAACAAAGACAGCTTTCCTATCTGAGATCAAGGGAAAGTAGACTTGAATATCACAAATCTTGCAACATTTTCCGATCCTTTTAGGCATGGATGATCTGACACAAAAAGGTACATAATTTTGATAGAGTTCAATTTCATTGATTAAAGCCATTAATTTAGTGATGTTGGCTTCGAAGACTGAATCCATAAAAAGAGTTACTGTTGAATTTTTGGAGTCAATTTTATATTTGATTACTAATTATTTAGTGTTTTTTTCAATGACCCATCCATCTGAATCTAACTCATTGAGATTATGCTACATGGTGACATATTTGTCTTGTATCATATCAATGAAATCTCCATAGACTTCTTAGAACCAAACTTCTAATTGTTGATTGTTCTAAATCTCAGCCTTAGCCTATTGAATTACATAGTATGCCTAAAATTAAGGAGTATAGTTACGTCATCCAATTGAGCCTCATTGAAATAATGGTTTTGGGACTGTTCCATTCTTTGTTCAATGACAGATTTCAAATCACTTTGAGGACTTCTTTCAAAATTAATTTAAGAAATGTAACTCTTCTCATCGAACTCTCTAATCACATTTAATTTTAAGTCATCATCTAATTCGGATATACTACGGACTCTGTCCCTATTTTAATTAACCATCATGGATTAGGAGCCGGTCATTATGAATTCATGCTTGATTGGTTATTCGTCTAGGATGCAACTGGCTGCTTTTTTGTCACTTTTTGGTTTTGTTTATTTTTATTTTATTAATTTAGGTAGAGCTTGGATTTTAATGGGATGAATGACTAAGATAGTTTAATTTAGGGAATACATTCATCATATTCGAATAACATCTCTTGGATTGTGGAATCTTCCGTGGCTTTTTTCTAAAGATTTTTAAATGATTCATAAACCTAAATAGATAGAGAAAGTACTTCATCTTAATTTGATAATGATCTCATTTGTTGGTTTAATTAGACTTAAAACGTTTGATAAAGAGGATATATAAATTAAGAGTGGTTAAACGATGTATATTCTGAAACAATAGTTTCGAACTAGTTTTATACAAAAATGGAGGTACATAAAATTGCAATATCTCTAGTCTCTATTATGAATTTAATTGTTCGTAATCTCTGGGGATTTCAATCATTTTGGGTAAAATATTATTAATTTTAGAATTAATCCTAAATTCCTTTTTAAATTGAGTTAGAATTTCCGATATTCTTTAAATTTCAATTTATAAATCATTAATTTAATATACACATAATATGTTATTCAGAAGGCTCTACGATGTCTTAATTATTCTCGCATAGGAGATATGTGCCTATATTAATTTTATACTGGCAAATTTCCTCCTCATATATCGATAGAAACCTCATTAAGTCTCCTGGGTAACACCGTAATTACACAATGCTCTTTCGAGTCGAGTTGATTGGTTTGCAATAACTTCCCTGATCATAGCTTTCAAAATATTGGCCTTATCCTTATCCAGTGTAATTTAGAGGATGGTAGGTGCCATTCAAGAAATTGCTTTGAAAAATCTGAAAGTTTTTTAAAGGTAAAAGCATAATATCCAGTACCTTAACTTCATTTGATTTTTTGGTGAAATCGAAAATGATTGGCGAAGTTGTGTTTCTGATTCTCAGTAATTGAAATTCGACCATTCTATTGACCAGATCAATTTCATATTCATTTCCAATATATAATTTATCAGTATGAGTATCAATGATAATCCAATATTGTTCGTTCATGATAGAACTGTTCATGTATCTCGGTTCCATTTATTTATAAGGTCTGCTTTTGCTTTTGATAAAAATGGTGTGTTAAGGAACTGTAAGAAAGGATATATGTGTCTCTTCATACATTTGACTTATGATGTCAATAAATAAAGATGGAGCCTGAGCTGATTTTAAAGGACTGACATGAAAAGTGATCCCATTGAAATTTTGATATTCCTATTTGATCTTTATCCCTTATTAAGAGTTATTAAACAAGTAGAGTTGGATTTGATCATGTTCAATTTTATAGAAATCCAAGTATTCTTCGTCTGTACTCTCAGAGTTGTTCTATTAAAAGAGAGTGATGTTTTCAGCATAGTTGAATTGGCCATTCCTTTTAATGAAGGCTTTGCCCGAATACTTGAGACCTTTTGTTAGTTACTTATCCAAAGTAGCCATGCCATTTTGATACCCTACTATTTTAAAGGTTTCGACATAACTGAAAACTGAAGTTGAGTTCTCAAAAATAGTTACATAATCATTGATATCCATTTAATCTACCCATTCGAAAAATAGTATGTTCTCAATAATCTAAACAGGTCTCTTCATTTCCACATAGACAGCATTGGTATCCATCAAAATCAAGTTCTTAATTTGGAAGATGGGTTTTGGTTTTTTTCTAAAGGAATTGCCAGACACAAGAATGGCACAGAAATCTATAATTTTTTCAACTTGAACTATATGGACATGCTCAGTAAAGACAACACCTAGACTTTGTTGGGGATGGAACATTTCTTAGGCTCTGAGATTCATGCCAAATATGATGTTTTTATATTAGTAATATTGATTGGGTAGGATCCTCTCTTGAATTTCATCGAATGGTTAAAATTCAAAGGAATCAGAAATTATGGTTTGATCTGCACACTGTTTTAGCAACAATAATTGACTGTGAATAACAAGAGCAATTTCAAAATGATAAGTTGCTGTGATTGTGTTAACAGTTAGGTTGTATCCATAGTTTTTTAACAAAATTTTGGTGTAATTTCTCAATTTAGCAATGCATTCAGAAATGATGATCAATTAATCAACTTAATTGATAATTTGATGGTAATGAGTATCAAGTGTGTAAAGGGCATGATCAGGTTAATGAATACCATTAGTTTCATCAGTAGCTCTAAGGTAGGATTTGGAAATACCAAGACTGAAGTCCTCTTTATACTATTTTAGTAAAAAAATGAAGTACTTGTTTTCTCATGTTGAGCATGGTATTCAGATCGTCAAATTGACGGATGTATTTTTTGAAGCAATACTCATAGACGAATTCTTTGGTATAATGTTGCACACATTAATCTTCTAATGGAAAAAGTATATGGTTGACTTCCTCATCGGTGAGGTTTCTTACGATTGTCAATTTGTCGAGCTGAAATGGCTAAGTTATCTGGGGTATGGGGATTTAACAGAGGACTTTTCTGCCGTCTGAGAATTAGAATAATAGTTTACTTTTTAGAGTTATTTATTTAGAGACTGAATCATAAATATTTTGAACTGCAAAGAGTTCAGGGTACCTTGTGTAATTGTTTTCGATGGCTTTGTCAAATACATGAGTGACATATGTGTTGTCAGCTTAAAAGCAATGAGCTATTGTATATATTAGTATAATTAACATATTAATGAGTATTGGATAAGTTCATCCAAGTAGCTCAATTCCTATTGACCTCAAAGAATACAAAACAGAAATAGAGTAATAGACCATTTTTAATATTGTAGTTCACTAAAACTATTTTACTCAATACGGTAAAGTAAGCAGACCTCCAAAGAAACTTCTCTCATCATTCAATCTCCAAAAAAGTTCACATTCATTTAAATTTTAGTGCCAATAGCAATCGACAATTCTTGAGTCCAAAACACAGCTTATTTATGTTTTAGGATTAGACCAATCAAGACGATGTCATTAATAGCTTTTAAGAAAAACCAATCAAAATGAAATTTGGGAGTGCTGTTAGAAAATTAACAATACTCCAATAATTCTTCAGATATTTGAGCAAACAAAAAAAACAAGAAAATGTATTTCAATCAAAATAGATCCAAAGAAAACGGTAAAAGTTACCCTTTTACCCAGACCAGTTATATTTGTGGAAACAATTCATGTTGCTTTAAACAGCAGTCACACTAATGCTTTACCCAATCTACATAAGTCTCTCTGATTTCAACGAATTTGTATAGATAAATCTTATATTCATTTAGGATTCATTAACAATAATTACATTTTTGTTGGATGCACTCTATTTAATTGATATAATCTTAAAATAAATAACTTGCCAAATAGATAATAATTACAATTTAATCAACAACTTTTTTGACATCTTCCTATTCAACCTGCAAAGATGGCTCATCTTCGACATCATTAGTATCATCCCCTACAAATTATTTGCCCCTACTTTCTTTGATTTAATGGGATTAAATCTGCTCAAATTGTTGAGATTCATAAAATACTTCTGCTATAACGAAAGATAAATTTATTAGGAATCTCATAATTCTTTGGAAAAGTCTGAATATTTTGAAAAACTTTTTCAGTTGGATGGCAAAATTTTAAGTATTTTGAAAATATTCAAAAACATGCTCATTTTCATTAGTTTATTTGGGTGTCTCTTTCATTCAGTTTTGCTTTATGAAGGACTGGCACAGAAAGAAAATAATTATTCCATCTACATCTAAGGATTGTACTGGGCTATTTAAACAGTAACCGTCATTGGCTATGGAGACATACCTTTGACGACCTCAATGCAATACAATTTAACTATCATCTGGATATTCATAGGAGTTGGATTCTATTCATTAACAATAGGGAATTTAGCAGATATCTTAGACTAACAATCTTCGACAGATGGCTATGAAGAGGATTTGGAGGCCTTGGAAACGTTAGTGTAGAAAATCATAATTCCAGAAGAGTTGAGTAATCAGTTATTTTCTTACTTTTAATATAACATTGAGAATAATCCTTTTTGGAATTACAGAAAGTAAATTGTATTTATAAATAAGAATCATAGGATAATAGAAACATTGCCATCTTAATTAAAGATCTTTGCCATAGCCTTTTGTCAAAAGCAATTGATTGAAAATGTCAATATGTTTGCTTTCAACATTAATTTCGCTGCAGCCATACTACCCTACTTTACAATGTACAATTTCAAACAATTTGATACTATCTACTACAATGGATCTCCAAGTTTGGATGTCTACTTCTTAGTCTCAGGAGAAGTAAGACTATGTGATGAACAAGGGAACACATTATTAAATATATAAGAAGGTTACATATTTGGAGAAATCGAAATATTAGAAGATTGTTATAGAAAACAGTCAGCAGTTGCCTGTAGAGATTCTTTGGTAATAATCTGTCCTATTTCACAATTCTTATAATTAATTCAAGATGATGAATCTCTGCTGTTTGAAATTGAGTAATTAGGGTTAAGAAGGAAACTTTTACTCTAAGAGAACCTTTCTAGGATTAAAAGTATTTTAGTTTATTTATATAGAAAATGCAAAATAACTGAAAAGAATCAATGTAATTGAAGGAGATCCAATGACTCAATATGTTTATAAGAAGTATTTGCTGGAAAAATAATTCAAAGCTAATGTCATTAAAGAAAGTTATTAGCAAATTCATAAAAGGCTATTGCGAAGTATCTTTGGCCATTAATAAGAAAAGAAATGGAAACATAGAGCAATGTTCAAAATGGCTGTGAGGAAGATCATAGATCATCTTAAATAAAGCAAAACTTAGAAAAAGACAAACGGTGTTATCGGCAAACAAATGTTGCAAAACTTTGCTCAAGTTAAATAACAGGAATTGAAAATTTAAAATTAAATCTATAAAAACAAAAAGAATGGGAAAGATCAATAAAGAGTTAAAGTGAAAGACATCTTAAATCATTTTAGTTAAAAAGATTCTGCTCCTATGCTTATCACTCCTTATCCTTATTATGAGGAAATCTTGAAGGAAAGAAAAGAAGAGAAGCAGTAGTTAAAATAAAAATAAAATAAAATCTAAGAATTGTCGAATAGATTGATCAAGATCAACCTTATTGGACAATACCAAATATGTAACACTCTTTATGAGGACTTAATCGAATAAATCGACATCTTATATGATGCACAATATTAAACACATGAATCGCAAGACCAAATGGAATCTGTCTACTATTAAATATATTCATTAGTTTCATCAATTGATTGATACCTATTTTATATTTGTAATTAATTCATATAAAAATCAAATAGTACTCTGCTCAGAAAAATATTCTCTGCTGATTTTAAGCAATTCCTAAAATTCCTTCACATTTAAGTTTGTCACTCCACGAACAGCAATCAGCCAATCTTTTATTTTGCAATAGCTTCCCTAAATAGGAGCAATTAATTAATTAGTTAATTTTGAGATAATAAACCCTTCAGACAGAACATACGCCATATCTGGAGTTGCAGCTAATAGGATTTCATGAATTGCTTGTCGTTTCACTTCACTTGTTCTTCTGCTTTCATTTATTTTCTTGGGTTCATATATATATTCCAAAAATATATTTGCCTTGTATTACACTCTAGGTTAAGTTTAAGTTTGTATTAAGATCCTTTTTTTCACTTGTGATTTATAACATACAGCAATCAACCATTCAGACAACTAACTATTAGATATTCATTATTACAAGAATCAATGTGAATTTGATCTTCTCTATGTACTTAGGGTCTTTTGAGTAAAGTTCTCCATAGTTTAATTAATCATTCCAAATTTTAAACTATCTGTATATTTCTTGATTCCTATCCAAGAATACTTCCAGTTCTCCCTAGGTTTCAGCTATTGTTCTAAATATTTGATCGCATTTATCATAATTTTTAATGTAATCCAAAGTGATTGTTTATTTTTTGGTATTCTATATCGGGATGCTTTCTTTGACTTCTTCGAATGGCTGCTCTTGTTCCATGACAAAATTGAATTGAATTTCGCCTGGTTCTTCATATATATTTTAATCTACATCTCCATAAACAGAATAGATATCAATGAGATCTATTCCTTTATCAAGTTCTGATGAGTTCAATTGCTGATAAATGGAGGGTTGACTGTTTATTAGTTCAATGACTTTTTGTAAGAGCTCTAAATTTATGATTGACATTGAAGTTAATTTTTTTAATGATTATTAATTATTATAATTTCTATTTAAAATTAGTTCATATAATATCAAATTAATTGTTCTATTTTCATTTATGAAGGTTTTAATTATAACTTATATTCTCTCTAAGCAGCTTGAATTGCCTTGACTTACCAATGAATCAGATTATTAACTTTATATCTGCTAGTCTATGGTTTCGGAGTCAACAATTGATTAAAGCTGGGATTGCCACTTTAATTCCTGGAAGTCAGAGAAGATTAATTATTATTTTAGACTGCATTTAGATTCAGAACAGGCACATTCTTCTTCACTCTTTCTGTCTTCGCAGACTTCTCAGATTTATAGACCATTAATTTCTTAAGATCAAGGGCTTTAACTAATTATTACTATTTTTCAAGTGATTTTTTTGTGTGTTGAGGATGGATCTCATTAGTTTTTGAACTCACAAATTTATTTCTTGGAGTATAAACCTTCTACATTGCAATTTTATTATGAGCAATCTTAATAGATTGATTAGAAGTGCTCTTGAAGGAGTCCACTTATTGGATATGCCTTTAAGATAGAGGTTAATTGAATTTGCTAAGTATTTAATGAAGAGCTTTGCTATCTAACGAGACTATCTTTTGTGTATTTTTATTTTTCTCGATTTCCTAGAGGGACTTAATGATTTTCAATTCTAATTGCTTTATTTCAGGGATTTGTTTTTTTTAATCAAGTTGTATATTTCGTGAACTGCTTTTATTTTCTACTTTGATTTTCTTGGTCGTAGGACATTTGTTAAATAGCTACAATAGATTATCCTTTATTAAATGAGTATCTGCCGTCTTCTCTTTTGAGAGTGATTAATGTTTGTGGTTGAGTCTGCTTAATGAATATGAAGGATAGCGAGCTGAGAGAGGCATTTTGGCTTCTTGTGGGTTCTATTGAATTCTGGATGATAATGATAGACCCAACTCGTCAAGTTTCAACTGCTTCTTGAAATTGCCTTTAGACTTCTTGAATACCTAATAATTCTTGATAAGGGGTGTGCTAATCATATTGATTATTTTAAGGATCTCACTCTGCTATTCCTCTTAGACCTAAGTTATTTTACTGATCTCAATTTATTGCTTTGATTCCTATCGAGTTATGTCTTTGAGGATATTTTCAATGTTAGTGTTCAGATTTGAGGTTGAACTGCTTTCTGAATTGGGAGTGCTTTGAGTTTCGATTGGCTTGTCTCCAACTATTCCTTTTTAGGGTAATTGGGGATTTTATTTATTTTCAAACTCTATTTATCTCTAGATTCTATAATAATCTAATTTTCTACGCTTATCATAATAGTAGTTTAGAGTTTAGAGTATTTGTTTAGTCAATGCAAACCTTGGGAGATCTTTGTGAAATTTATAAAACTCTTTGAGCAATTTCATTTTATTATCATATACCTCATTAATATAAAATCTTTTAAGATATTCATCCTCATCATCAAAATGCAGATAATCCTATTATTAGATCGCTTTGATACTTAGAACAATATTACAGATGAAGTTCGTTGCTTACTTAAAATCTCGTTAATTTCTCTTGTGTAATAATAGTTTTAAGAGGAGGCATATTTATGATAAAGAGTGTGGTTAATGATATTGTTTGAAATCGAATCCGATTAATAGTTTTTCACGAAACCCAAGGTCCGTAATTAACAACTATGTATTTTTTTCATATTAAAAATATATTTGATTTCGTGAATTGAAAATTTATATATTAAAATGTAGGAGGACTTAAATTCCAGCTTAGACTCTTTGGAATTGGATCTATACCATAGACCTAATCCCTAAATCAAAGCAATCCTAAACTTTCTAAGATCTAAAAATCTAAAATTCTGTACAGACCCTCGCAAAAAAGAGGAAGATTACTATTCCAAAATGGATAATATGGAAGATAATAAAGATCTGGGGTTGGTGAGAAACAAGTTTTTTAAGAGAAATAACAAACATTTCGTATGTGAAACTAAATAATGATCATAACATGTTCATTCTTCCTTCATAACTATCAATTACATATTTAAAATATTTTCAATCTTCATACAATATATATTTAAATCTTACGCAATAATTAATGATAAAAATTCGATTAATTTTCTTGTTCGAATTATTTTATGATACTTTTGACAAATACTTCAGCGATATTAATAATTGATTATTTTTAAACATCAATATTATTAAATACAATAATTTTATGAACATAAATGAAATCCTAATTCCTTATAGATCTGGTTAATTTAAACATTAAAAATATTAAGTATCTTAAACTCATCGTTATATCATAAGAGGTAATTTCTACAAATATATAACACTCTCTCAAACCATAGCAAAACTAAGTATAATTGATTCTAAATACTTATGACTAGTTCCACTTGTAATGTAATACTATAATTTGTTAATAAAATGCGACCATTTATTATATATTAAGATATATGAAAAAATTCTGAATTGGATTTGAAGGCAATGTTGATTAACATATTTCAATCGATGATTACTTGGTTTTCATGTTTTAAAAATTAGATATGATTAAATTTAAGCAAGATTTAATTCACTATACATTATAATATTAGATAAAATAAATTAGGTAGATATTATTCTTGTCAATATTTATAGAGAAATATATTGAATATGCAGATCACTTGAAATTTATATAATATCTTATAAATACTTTTTAAAGATTTTAATGATATGTCTTTACTTTTGTTTATACATATTTATAAGAACACATATTAACCATCTACAGATTTAGAAGCAAATAAATTAGTGATAAAAATAAAGATTATATCTAATTGAAATTCTAACAATGTGTCAATAATATTAGTCTAAGTTTAATATTCATAAAATAATTATCTAATTTAAGGGTATATTAAACAATATTTTACAGATATTCAATGAAGTATTTCTCCATGTAAATTTTAATTATTAAAATAATTATGTACTAATAATCAATTACATAAGCATTTTAGCGGTAACCAAATTTGGTTCAAACATAATATATTGGTCAATAATAGATTCCAAGGGTACAATAACAGAGATCAATCACTCCAGTGTTGCATAAACCAAATGCTTATACGGTTTCTTTTACTTAGAGGGATGATTTTAGTCAAAGAGGATAGCAATTACCGAAGAATATGATTAGCGATGATTCGCAATTTATGAAGGCATTGATTGAAGAAAATTAACTATTAAAACAGTAGGTTATGTCGAAAAGAGCTGAACTATAAAAAATAATAGAATATTATCATTAGTGCTCATGAATATAATAAGCTATTTATTTCTTATTTTATTATTTATTTAAAATGAATGAGAATAAATCTTTACATGCCAAAAGATAGTCAGCATTATCATTATGTAAGAATATTTATATAATATGTAGTGAATCCTCCATAAACTACTGCTTTGTCTTGGTGCATTGTTACTTCAATTGGAGATGAACTAGCTAGCAAATCTCCTTCCTTGAAGTTAGAGGTTGCAAGTCTTACCAAGATAATGACAGCTTATACGGCGATACAATTATGTGAAGAATTAAATCTTGATTATGTAATTCAAGCCGATATAATCTAATTTTAGAATGAAACCTTTATTCGTATTCCTAGAATTGCCACATAGATAGGAGGGACATCGGCCTTTTTAAGAAGGGATGACACATTGTCTTTAGAAGAATTGTTATATGCACTCATGTTACCCTCAGGAAATGATGCTGCGATATCTATTGCACTGCATTTTGGATCGATACTAAATACTCATCGAAGATAAAAGATTGCCAGTTACATCACATGTGACACTATCTAAGGGTTCTATGATGATACTCAAATGAGTAACATGAATAGATTTGTAAGATAAATGAACGAGAATGCAATGAAATTAGGCATGAGAGATTCTTAATTTTCAAATCCACATGGTCTCAGTTCAAAAGTACATATTTAATACTAGGTTAAATATAGGCTAATAAATCAACAGCATTAGACATGTGTAGAATGAGTTCAGCTTATATGAAGATTCCCATTTTAAAACAAATTTGCAATAGCAAATCCTATTCTTGTAGAAATTATGAGTGGTTTAATACTAATTAATTGTTGCATTTTGAAAATTATTCAGGAATTAAAACAGGAATAACACCTAATGCTGGTGCTTGTCTTGCTGTCTCTTATGAGAGTTTGTTGGGATCTATAATAGTAGTCTTGATAGGAGCAAAGGATTAAAAAAGGCGATTTGAAGAAACTGACAAACTCATTAACTGGGTATCCAGAGAATATACATTGTATTTTAATAAAACCATGTATGCTCCTCCTCGGACTGCCCAAAGCAAAGGCAGATCATTTATTATAAAAAAACAAGTATGATAAACTTGATTGCATCATATATTCTCTTTCATAAAATATATATTTAATCTCATACTTCATTAACTCTCATTATAAACTCTATACATCCTTTAATCATCATAGTATAATTTAATTGAGTTTTTTTACTGAATCTATTAGCTAATCTGAATTACTCAAAACTATAAAAAATTAAAGGTATTCTGAAATATTCTGAAAGGATTATATTAGTAAATCTTTATAAAAATTTGATATTAATATTGTATAGATGAAACTAAAAAATAAATAAATTATTTTACTATGGGAATTTGTAAATCTAAAAAACAAAACCACTCACCTCCAATTTTGAGAAACTAAAATGTGAAAACAGCGAATACTGCTGATATCGTTAGAGAGAATAGTCCCAATAATGTTGCAGCAGGTTCTCAACTAGCATTCTCTCAATAAGACTTCTTTATTAGAAGTCAGGAACTAATGACTCCAGATAGATTAAACACTGCAAACAAAGGGAAGTTTTTTAACACCTACACTTTGTTGAACAACTTAAAAAGTCCCAACGAACAAATACGACAAGTTTGTACTGTATAACATAATTAAACTGGAGTTACGAAAATTGGAATTATATAAACCCACCATTATAAACAAGCTGATTTAATAAAGGTTCAAAACAAAATACAATAGCTTAAAAAATTAGTATTAAATATAATAATATTAGGATCATCCAAATATCATGTCTATTTATGAATTTTTTGTTGATTCCAAGTAATTGTATATAGTTACTGAAAATTATGATGGTGGAACTCTATTGTCAAGACTAAAATTTGAGAACAAGGAAGAATCAACAAGGAAAAACTAGTTGATTTAAATTTACTTCTAGTAAATTTTAGCAGGTTTACAATACTTGCATAGTAATGGGATAAATCACAAGTATAAAATATTTTCTATATAGAAATCTCAAACCTGAAAACATTTTATTTTAAAGCTAACAAAGTTAATTGATTAAATTAGTTGATTATAGTAATACAAGAGTGAATAAAAAGGATGATGACATCCTTGATCTTACTTATCTAGCGCCTGAGGTCATTTAAAATTAGGAATTCTCTCAAGCCTCCGATATCTGGTCATGTGGTGTATTACTCTATGAAATATGGACAAAATTCTAACCATTCAAAGGGGATAACTATAAGGAGAAGAAGGAGAATATCTTAAAATGCAGAATTACCAAAGATGAAAATTGGAATCAAATTCCAATTTAAGCTTAAAAGTTGATTAATTCAATGTTGAAAATTGATCCATGTAAATATATCATCTATTGTTAGCTAAACGACTAACTGCTGCTCAATGCTTATAGAATGAATATCTCAAAAATATTGTAAGCTATACTGATAAAACTTTTGTTGAAGATGTATTTTAGAGAATTTAACAATATCAGTCAAAATCTGAATTTCAAAAATTATTGTTGTCAATTATGATTAATAAATTGATGGATGAAAAGGAGAAGGAGAAACTAATGGTTGCATTCGAAGCAATAGATGATAATAAAGATGGAAAGATCACAAAAAGTGAACTCAAAAAGTTCTTAGCGTCAGAGAAATAGAAGTCACTCACTAATAAAATATTCTAAATTTTAGATTCCAATTAAAATGGATATATAGAGTTTAATGAGTTTTTACTAGCTTCATGCAATACTGACAAACTTGTTAATCAAGAAAACCTCGAATTACTATTTAAATTTATCGATAAAAATTAAAGCTAATAAATAACCATCAAAGAATTAAAATCCTTATTCATCGAAGCCAGATTAACTGATAAAGAATGGGAACTGATATTTAATTAAGGAGATTTGAATTAAAATGGAAAAATTTCATTTTAAGAATTTTCTCAACTTTTATAATAAACTTCGAACTGAATTTGAATATCACTATATTTTTATTATAGAAAGTGATTTGTATAATATTTTTCTTACACTCCCTGTTTCTTAATAAGGGGAGTCATTTTCTTCAAACTTTTCACAAATAGATTCATTATCTAAGGATTTCATCACTAACAATTAATAGTCCAATCAGAAGATCTTCCTTATTACAAAACAAATATGATTAAGTCCATAAGATATTTGACTCTTTTGTAATTTTGATAATAGGAAATATCTGATGAATGATCTATAAATTAAATTTTAATTCGATATATTAATAACTCATTCATGTCCTCTAAACGGCGTTATTATAGGATTGAGTTGGTGCATATACATACAAAACCATAAGAGCCAAAATTAAATAGTACCGGAAACAACTGAAACATACATTAGCCTATCTTTAAGATTGATGTATTACAATAAATTATCGTTCAGATCGCTTAAATTTTTGGTTGCTTTAGTAACAACTCCTTTGAGCCATACTGTAACTCCAATTCCAATACCGATAAATATGATTGTGCCAATAAAGATTCCAGCAGACATTTTATTATTAATATTTTATAAATAATTATAATAAAAACTTGAGTTCATTCACTATTCACTAATTATTCCCATAAATTATAAGCTCCTTCTCCTTCTTTTAAAATATCCTATTTCCCATTCTTCTTCGCTACATCACCATTTTTCCTCAATACAGTCACTGTGGGAATTCCTTTAATTTCATATTTATCAACCAGTTACTAGATTCTCTTATCATTATGTGGAATGGCTGGCCAAGGCATCTTTAAAATATTGAATGCATACACCTCTTCTAAGTATTTTTTGAATTAACTTTCTGATTCCTCTTATGATACCCATATAATTTCGAGCTATTTAGTTTCCAAATTAACATCATTATAAAACTCAACGAGAGTTGGTGTAAAATTTACACAAGGAGGACACCAACCTTAAATTATCAACTGCATTTACTGGCACAAAAGTAGAGTACAATCACCTTCATATCAGACAATTTGATTTTGCATGGCCCATTTTTATTTACAAAAGTGTCTCCAAAAAAATTGTTATCCATTATATATAAATATAATATTTATATAATAATAATAATTAAAGCTACTATTGATACTTAAATTTTCATTTATATAGAACCTTCTCTTAACCATATTTTAGTTGCTCAAGTCTAATTAGAAAGATGGAATTTCCATCATTTAGTTCCATCTAGAGTAGGAAATCTTGCTATTAATTATCATATACGATGATAGATATTTATGTTACCAAAGAGATAAAATTTTATTATAATTTATTTAATAATTATTGTCCTTTGCTTATTCTAAAGGAATTGTATATTTAATGATCATGTCTAATATAAATGTATAAATACACATGGTCTTTAATCTTTAGTTAAGGAAATAACTATCAAAAAACACGTCAAATAATTTAATCATTAAATTTTTGCTCGATGGCAGAATTTTCACTTTGGCTCCAGGAAAATCGCAGATAGATATCAATAGACTTGGCTGCTGGAACAGTTAGTGGAATGTATCTTTATATATGGACTAAGCTTTAATTGTTTATTTGGACACCCAATGGATACTTTGAAAGTGAGAATGCAAATGTCAAAAGAAAACTTTTGGAGGTCAATAATAAAAATAATTAAACACGAGGGGATACTAGCATTTTACAAAGGGATGACTTTTCCCTTGTTATCAGTTCCTTTTTTGAATGCTATAGTATTTGCTGTTTATGAATATTCACGACGGTAGTTTACAGGTTATAATGAAAACGGAAAACCCATGACTTACTTCTAGACGTAAACAGTAAATATGATTTATTATAGTGCAATATGTGGAGGGATATCTGGGAGTTGTGCAGCAACGTTGGCATGCTCCATTGATTTGACTAAATGTAGATTATAGATGCAAATAGACAATGCACATAAAATATATAAGAATCCTTTTGATTGCTTATGGAAGGTATTTGATATGAATGAGGGGTTAGATTGCTAAATAAGAAGGCTTTAGATATATATTTAGGGGAATGAATGCAACATAGCAAAGAGAAATTTTGGGATATAGTGCTCAATTCGCCACATATGAATTCGTTAGAGATTAATTGATGTGGTTATAAGACAAAGGGGAACCATCATCTCATGATTTGCTGATTTCTGGAGGGTTAGCTGGAATGGCATGTTGGGTTGTTGGATATCCTTAGGATGTAAGTTTGATTTGTATTAAAATAGACGATTAAGACTATACTGTAATGTGAGATGGGTACTACATAAAGAAGATTCAAGCCTAAATTTCTTGATGGAGGATTTATTGAGTGTCTCAAATATAGGATAAAAAGTGATGGAGTTCCTTCTTTGTGGAGAGGGTTCTCAGCATGTATGCTAAGAGCCTTTTATGCTAATGCAATTGGATTCTATGCTTACGAAATCTCTAAGGATTAGATTTAAAAGTTTTATGCATGAATATTCAATTAATTACTCATTAATTTTCATAAAACATGGGTTGTCTGTAACCTAAAAAGAGAAATAGAATTGTAGCCATGTAAACCATGAACAAAGACTAAGTTTTCACTTCGACTGCTGATATCCATCAATTATACAACTTTGGGAAGGTGTTGGGAGTTGGCTCATTTGGGAAAGTATTATTAGCGAAAATGAAACAGAACTCTGAAAAACAATATGCTATTAAAGTAATTGATAAGAGGAGAGTAAAAGGCAAAGAGGCATTGCTTGCTAATGAAATATTCGTCTTACAATAACTTGATCACCCTAATATCATTAAATTTTATGAAGTTTATTAGAGTCCTCTATATTTCTATATTTGTATGGATTATTGTTAAGGAGGCGAGCTCGTTGAGAGGATAGCCAAATAATAATCAACTCTATCTGAAGGTTAAGTCTAGACTATCTTATAAAAAGTATTCAGTTTTTCATTTATAGATTTGTTCAGCCATTGTTTACATCCATGATTTAGGTTTGGTACATCGTGATATAAAGCCTGAGAATATTATGTTTAGTGAAAAGGATATCTATTCGGAACCAAAGTTGATAGATTTTGGATTGGCAAACAAGTATGACACTACTCACATAAAGTATTTGAATCAAGAATATTCTAAGACGGTTGAAGACATTTGTTGGAACACCTCTCTACTTACCGCCTGAAGTAATTGATGGTGAATATGATGAAAAATGTGATGTATGGAGTTTAGGAGTTATGCTATTTAGTTTGTTATGTGGCTATCCACCTTTCTATGGCAAAAACAGAGCCTAATTGTATGAAAATATCAAAACACAAACTGTAATTTAGATAAATGTTAGTTTAGCTTGTATTTGATAGACGTCATTGGAGAAATATCAGTGAATAAGCAAAAGATCTAATTTAAAAAATGCTCATGAAAACACCAAAAAAACGATTGTCGGCCAGAGAATGTCTCAAACATGCTTGGTTCGAAATGCAATTTTAGAATGTAAAAGTTCATAGAGAAAAGAGTTAATAACTATTAACTTAGACTCATGAAGATAATAGAACTATTTATTAAATGCTCAAAATGTTTAGAGGAGGAGCCAAATTTAAAAAAGAAGTTACTAAAGTTCTCGTTAACTAAATGAATGAGAAGGAATTACACCATCTCAAACAGGTCTTCCAAAAAATAGATGTTGACAATTCTGGAACCATCACCATTGAAGAATTAAGGGAAGCACTCTAATAAGAGGTATTTATTTTTAATTGAAATAGGGATCTCCTGCTTCCTTGGAAGAAATAGAATAAATCATCTAAACCATAGTATTGGAAGAAGATGAAGGGGAGAGCAACAACTTGGAAATGGACAAAGAACCTTCCCCTCTTGTTATCAAATACACTGACTTTTTGGCTGCCTGCATTGATGAAAGGAAGGTCTTGACCAGAGAAAAAGTATTCTAGTGTTTTCATTTAGTTATGGTCACTGTTTAAGTATTTTGATACTTTGAATGTCAATTATATAACCAAAGAGGATATTAAGGAGGCCTTGGCTAGACATGGAAGACAGATGTCAGATGAGAAAATCGATTAGATGATTCAGGAAATTGATCCTAATCATGATAATAAGATCAGCTTTGATGAGTTCTTATAAATGATGGGGGTTGCAGGCATTGAGCAAACTATGAATATTAGAGATGAAGTCAAAGAAATTGAGATATAAAGTTGATTATATAAATCATATATTATTAGCATCTCATTAATCAAGTTTATTATCCTTGTAATAATAGTATCTTTTTCAACTTATCTATGTATAACTAAATATATGCTTCAAAATCAATTAATTTTTCTGATTATTTATGAATGATTTATTACATAATGCTTTTTGAAATTTAAGCAAATCTAAAATCTTAGATTTACAATATAATAAATAAATAATGGGTTGTTTTTAACCTAAAGGCATGAATAAAATTGTTGCAATGCAAACTACAAATAGGGATTACATCTTTACATCAACAGCTGACATTCATAAAATATTTTCATTTGGAAAGGTCTTAGGAATTGGTGCATTTGGCAAAGTTCTCAGTGCTAGAAGAAGAAATAACAACGACAAATAATTTGCTATAAAAATGATCGACAAAAAAACAGTCAAAGGCAGAGAAGCCATGTTGGCAAATGAAATTTATGTATTATAAAGACTAGATCATCCCAACATTATAAAATTCCATGAAGTATATTAAAGCGAACTGTATTTCTATATATGCATGGACAAGTGTAGGGGTGGCGAACTGATGGAGTCTATCCCTAAAAATTAAAAATCATATACTGAATGCCAAGTTCGAGGGATTATGGTTAAAGTATTACTCATTTTTAAATATTAGATTTTTTCTGCTATCGCTTACATTCATGACTAAGGTATTATACACAGAGACATTAAACCGGAAAATATTTTATTTTCAGATTGCGATATAAATTCAGAGCCTAAATTGATAGATTTCGGCCTCTCAGTTAAATATGATGCATTTAGCTACAAGTATCTATCATTAACAATTATTTTCTAGTAAATTAAAGTCTGGAGTAGGTACTCCAGTGTATTTGGCACCAGAAGTAATTGAGGGGACCTACAATGAAAAATGTGATGTTTGGAGTCTAGGGGTCTTGTTGTTTAATATGTTGGTTGGATATCCACCGTTTTATGGCAAAAACCGATAAGACCTTTACGATAGCATTCGATATTAAAATGTATGAAATTTCAATTAAATCATAGTTAATATTTGATAAAAAACATTGGAGAAATATAAGCGAGGAAGTCAAAGATCTGCTTAAACGAATGCTTAACAAAAACTCAATGGTTCGAATATCCTCTAAGGAATGTCTTCAACATCCCTGGTTCTAATTGCCTTTTAATGAAGGAATACAGAGAGCTTCGAGGAGGAGCACTGGCTTCTCAAATACTGCATCAGAGGATGATTAGAGAACCTTATATTAGATGCTTAAGACTTATAGACTCGGAGCTAAATTTAAAAGAGAAGTAATGAAGGTTCTGGTCAATCAAATGAATGAGAAAGATTTAGCCAAACTTCAATTCATTTTTAAAAAGATCGATTTAAATAATTCTGGAATCATTACTGTACAAGAATTGCATCACGCTTTACAATAAGAGGTATATAATATAAATCTACAGTTTCTAGGGTTCTCAAGCTACCTTGGAAGAGATTGAGGAGATTATGGAAAAAATTGGTTATGACGTTGATGATATGGATGATATCACCTTGTCAAATTCACATAGATCCAATCTTAGGCCTGCTACTATTAAATATAGTAATTTTTTGACTGCTTGTATTGATGAGAGGAGAGTATTCACGAGAGAGAAGTTATGGTCTATTTTCAAGTACTTTGATACGAGAAATGAAAATCATCTATCTAGAGAAGCCATAAGGGAATCATTTGCTAGACACGGTCGTTCAGTTCCAAATGAAATAATTGATTAAATGATTGCTGAAGTCGATCCATTAAATGAGAATAGGATTCACTTTGATACTTTCTGTTAGATGATGGGTCTAGCTGGAGTATAAGAAACCTTAGAATTCAAAGACGAACCCAAAGATCCTTCATCCTTAGCTCATTCAATATAATGATCTTATTCATTCTTTGAAACTTACATGTAATAATATATTTGTATGCATAATTATTATATAAAATAATTCTTTATAAAACCTATGTCATTATGTTTTTTACTATCAAAACAAATCAAATACTTTTTTCAAATCCTATTAAATTATTTAAAATGGGGTGTGTTTCAGGAGCTGAAATCAAACAGAATCCAATAGTTTAAATGAGAACAAGAAACTAGGATCTAGTCTTCACCTCTACAGAAGATATTTCTAAAATTTATTAGTTTGGCAAAGTACTTGGAGTAGGTTCATTTGGAAAAGTCGTTACCGCTAGAATGATGAAAAATTTGGAAAAACAATGCGCTATCAAAATCATAGAAAAAGCAAAGGTCAAAGGTCGTGAAGATATACTGGCTAATGAGATTTACATGCTCTAAAAACTAGATCATCCTAACATAATTAAATTTCATGAAGTTTACTAAAACAAATAAAATTTTTACATCTGTATGGATTATTGCAAAGGAGGAGAATTAGTCGAATGGATTCCTAAAAAGTACAAAAGCTTTCATGAACAACATATTCAAGAGATAATGAAAAAGGTTAAAAAACATTATCATTGTTAATTAGATTGTGTCTGCAGTTTCTTATATCCATGATCAAGGCATAGTGCATAGAGATATCAAAGCAGAAAACATTATGATTACTTCCAAAAAAGATGATGGTGAACCTAAATTGATTGACTTCGGATTGGCAAATAAGTTTGATACATCTCATCTAAAGTATCATTTATAAAACATTTAATTAAGGCGTCTAAAATCTTTTGCTGGAACTCCTATGTACATGGCGCCTGAAGTAATAACGGGATCTTATGATGAAAAATGTGATATATGGTCTTTGGGAGTTCTGCTGTTTACATTACTTTCTGGCCATTTGCCATTTCATGGAGAAACTAAGGAGGAATTGTATGACAATATATAAAAAGCCAATGTATGACTTATAGAATATGTACAGATTTCATATACCTCAACCATTTGGTCCCACATAAGCAATGAGGCTAAGGACATCATTAAAAAGATGCTTTTCAAATAACCTGGGTTAAGACCTAACTCTAAAGAACTTCTGAAGCATAGTTGGTTCAAAAAATAATTCAAGAATGAAGATAAAAATTCATCAGCTTTAATCAATTCTCTCACTTCAAGCATTACTGAAAATAGATCAATTTATTCCTTATTAAAATAAAATTAAGGAGGAGCTAAATTTAAAAAAGAAGTTAAAACTCTTTTAATCAATTAATTAAGTGAGGCAGAATTAAATTCATTAAAAGAAATATTTAAGAAAATAGATGTTGATAATTCTGGGACTATTACTTTCTAAGAATTGAAACAGGCCTTATAAGCTGAAGTATGATTGCTTTGTATTATCTCTTTAGGGTTCTCCAGCAACCTTTGAAGATATAGAGAAATTAATAACTAATGGTGGTCCTCCTATGTCACATGAGGAAGTTGGAAAAAAGAAAAAGGAGTTTGTCATTAAATATAGTGAATTTTTGGCTTCTTGTATTGATGAACGAAAGTTCATTACTAAAGAGAAGGTAAATACATAATCTTATACGTAGTTATCTTCCTTATTTAAAATATTTGATACTGATAATTCAAATTTTATTACTAAATAAAATATTAAAGAAGCATTTGCAAGAAATGGAAAGTAAATTTCTGATAAACAAATTGATGAAATGATTGCTGAAATCGACCCCAATCATGACAACAAAATTAGTTTTGAAGAATTTTGTTAGATGTTTGACAATGCAGGTGTAAATAAAAACTTCACTGAGGATGGAAGTATGTATGCATGAAATATAAAAATAAAATTATTTATTTCCAATTTAAGTTCAATTATATATAAATAAACTTTTTATAATTATTACATACAACATACATACATGAATTAGGATTAATCAGCTTTTGATAAAGTCACCCTATTTGCAGTTGTTTCCCTATCATTAGTAAGCTTTTTATTCTACTAATTCACATCAAAACCAGAACTCTATGGTGGGGATGGGTGTGTTGCATTAAGAGAATGTGCATATTATTTGGTTTGGCTATACATAGTATATGTCATTTTAATTTGGTACGTTTCTTATTGAATGTAAAACTAGCATATTGATCTAATGGAAACCCCAACCTGATTCCAAGATTAAGCTCTACATATATGGAATTTTGCTAATTGGATTTGTCATTAGCAATATATTTTTAATTATTGAATATTTTAAAAATGAACCTTGCAATTTATTGAGATATGTCATCTTTTGGTATTTGATTCTAATGTCCATCACATTTGTTTTATTTATGAGTATAGTTGGAGCAATAATTTATATGATGTGATTATATTGATTAATAATATTATTTATAAACAATGCAAGAATATATTAAATGAGAAGGATCATTTATTATAAAACTAACAATTTATAGATAGATAATACTGAAAGAATGTATATATCAGAAATTATCATTAATAAAAAAGCTATAAAACAAAAGAATTTTCAACTTAGGATCAACCACTATAAATATATAATTAGTAAAAGATATGAAAATTTAGAATTCATGTGATTTAATTGAGTCGAAAATACAGTGAAAGCCTAAGTTATTTTATTCATGATATTAACCTTTAAATTTTAAATATAATCAAAAAATTAAATTTTAGCTGAAATAAAGATGAAAAAGTAAGTATTTTTTGGAAATCTAGAAAAAGAGAAAATGAAAAATGAAATCTTTTCTTGATAAAACACATTTTAAGAAACGTCGTTTATTTATATTCAATAAAAAATAAAGATCTATTATTTTTATAAAAAAAATGTAGATATGAAGACGAATCACCTCAAGCTCTTTGGTCCTATATTATGATAATTTTATAATTTAAAATAATTTTGACTCATAGACTTTCATATTTTTTCTGTCGACCAAGCAAAATTTCAGGATTAAGTTATTGAAGCAAAGGCGGAACTATTATAGCCATACTGGATTAAGGATATAAAGTTTTATTTAGAAAATTTGGATATTAAAGAGTTGGGGCTGTTCTTCCAGGATAACGAGAGTCATGAATGAAGTTACAATTATCTCCTCTTGTACAACCTAAAGAAGAATGAAAATTGTGACAATGCTTGGTTTTGTAAGCTCTTAATCGAAGAGCCTAAACAGGATTGATAGTCTATAGCTACTCAAGTCTAAGTCTCTGTTAATCCTGTTAAGCTTTTACACGGTCAACTTCACTCATTATTGTTTATTTATCATTCAATTTTACTTCAAGGATAGATTTAAAATTTTTTATATATTTTTCCTCACCAATATCCTTTAATTTTTATATAATATCATGTAATAAAGTTACTTAAATAATGAAATATAAATACAAATGGTTTCCTGGCTATGTTAATGCTTCTACTCAACCATTTAAACCAATTATTGCATTTTCGGTTGTAAATCTTACTTAGCTTGATTGAGAACATCCTTCTGTTTCATTTATTCATCAGGAGGCTTTTTAAGAATTCCCTTAACTTATTTCTTATTAGCATTTTTGTTCTTTTCTTCTATTTCTTTGAGCCCTCTGCTACAAATAATTGAGACCATATAGATGAGATCTTCTCTTTTTGGTGGATCTAAATGGATTGATTTTGGTTGCATGCCTGATTGAGTATTAGAAATCTCGTTATACCCTGGTTGATCTGGAATACTCTAATGGTTGATGAATATTGAGATACATCTCTATTATAGAATGCAGACATTTTAGATTCCGTTCTTTTCTATTAGACTGCAGTCTCAATGTAGTTGGTGTCATAGTTTATTTATGATTACAAAAACAGTTCTAAAGATTAGAAGTAATATATAACTTGCAGGTTTAATAAATGGTATCTATTCTAACATCTATTGAATATTATCTTATTGCAATTTATGTTCTTATCCTTCCATTAATGATTCTCGATGCTTGATATTATAAGCTCCATTTATTTGATTAAATCTCCTTAATTCTCCAGCATATTGTTTCTGGAATTATGCAACTTCTTCCAAGGTCATTCCTCTTTGATTAGGTTCGTCATCTCGTTTAAAATATTTAAAATTAAGTAGAAGTTCATCCCTTTGAAATCTATTCAATTATGCACTCAACAACATTACCTAACAAATTTCTTCTTGTTCTTCTTTTTTTTATTAGATGATTCACTTGAACTTGATGATTAATTTCTTTTTCCTTTTTTCTTACGATCTTCTTATTTATCCTTCTAATTATTGTTTCTTTTCCATTCTTCAAGCAATGGCTTGAATTTAATATAGCACCTTGACCATTACTATTATAATTGTTCAATCATATTAGATCGAATGTTATCAAAAAGTTTTTTATCTTTGATTTTTAATAAAGGCTTAGCAATTTCAGATTCTCGAACTATTTCTTCACTTAAATTCATCCTCAATATTAAAGTCAAAATTTTATATATCAATTCTTCATTAGGTTAGATAGATTTCAAGGCATCCTTTAAGTACTGTGTAATTATTTTCATTGAATTAGATTATGCAAACCTCAAATTAATAAAAAGGAATACAGATCTAAAAAATCATTTGTTTGTAAAATCAAATTATTCAGCAATTGAATTTTAGGTTAGAGAGTGACAGCAAACTTCAACTACAAATGGAGCCTTTTCAAGAGTTCCTTAATTTGTATTTGATAATCCATCGAATTTTATATTTATTTATATTATCATTATTATTCTTATTCTTGAATGTATTAAATCAATTCTCTATTTTTCAACAACTGTTCAATCTCCATCAATTCATTGACTTCTTCTATTAAAAATGTTTCCTTCTAATTGAATAACTCATTCTCCAATCTCAAGTCTTCATCAAGAATAACAAGTTCCTACTCAATACGCTTCTTAGACTCTGTGATTGAACTAATGTCCCTATTCTCTATTTGCAACTTCTATGTAGATTCTAGCAATTGACTTTTCAATTTGAGAGTGTCATTCTTTAATTCATTAATACTTATTTCAAGCTGATCAATCTTGTCAGTATTTAGACTATTAAGTTCTCCAACTAACTTTTTTCTTAAAGAAATCAAGAGTTCTTGCACCTAATTATTATTGACTATAATTACTTATTTATAAGTTTATTTGTCCGCAAAATTGCTTTTTATACCAATCTGTGCTATTTGTTTTAGCATAGGTAAATCTAATTTGATATGTTTAATTGTAGATTTTCCAAAATGCTCAATTATCTCATTCACCTTTCCTCTCTTTTAGAAGAATTTAATGCCTACCTTCTCTTCATCATATAAAATAGAATCAATTGTCTGAAGCATTTGATCTATTTAGTTGATATTCAAATCATATTCATCAATCAATGAACTTAAACTAAAATTATTAATGTATATGCAATACCTGTTCTGCATTTTTATCAATTGAACCTCTTTTTAATCAATCGTTTTATAATTTTGATTGATCAGTTGATTAAGTCTTGTTATTTTTTATTCATGGAACTCCCTTTCTTTCTCTTAAGGCCCATCAATAAAGGATGATTATAACAAATCTAAATCTAAGAGTTGTGCTTTCAATTACTACATAGATTAATATATTTATGTCTTCCTACTAATATGAAAATCTTGCAAAGTTGAATATTCTGATTCAAAATCTTCTATGGATTATTCAATCAATTAATTTATCTATGGCTAATCTAGTTATATCATAGAAATAATCAAAGATCCAATTTATCGTTTTTCAATGCGATTCAAATATTATTAATATTTTTGAGTTTCCCTCTTGCTAAGATTCATAGCATGGTTAGAGGTCACTAAAATAATAACTACAATTTAAGATAGTAAACTTACGTACATAAGAATATTGCCAACATTAATATTAATAATAATAATTATAAAATGGAAGAATAATAACGATAAAATTATAGCGATTTAGTAAATTAAGAAATACAATAAAATAAACCCATAAAATGGGATGCAGATAACATGCCTCAGACTAAGGTAGGTATAATGAAAAAGGAAGCATTATATATCTTTTGGTTTGAATTCATTGGAACTTTCATGTTGACTTTCAGTATTTATGCTAGCAAGTATATATGTCTTTCTAATAAGCTAAGTAATAACCCCTTTGTTTTTGCTTGTGCCTATGGAATGTTAATTTTGGTTGCTTAAAATTAAAAATGTACATTCAATCCTGCAATCACAACAGTGTTATCAGGACAAGATAACGGATTATGGGTGTCAGTGGCAATTAGTAGTTAATTTGGAGGAGCATTTTTGGCAAGTTTGTTTGGATTTCTCTGTTTTAAGAATTAGTAAAATATTTATAGACTACGAACAATAGTTTGAATGATGTTCCATATTTAGCGTAAACAAATATTGAGGCTTATTTTGCAGTGATCTTTGGGGAAATATTCGGGTCTTTAATTCTTTGTGCAGGATTCATATTTTAATATGATGATTTAATGGGTTTATCATCAGATAGATTAGAACATAGCATAATAATCAGTGCTTTATACTGTGTTGGCAGAACACTTAGTTATGTAGCTAAGAGTAGTTTGAATCCCAGCTATCGCATTCGGGTAAGTGATATTTTGTAGATGACTAGTTTAGTGTTATTTGAATGTTGTAAGGATGGACACTGGGTAAGGTTTTGGAACTTATGGATTTACTCGGTTTTGCCTTTCTTTGGGGCATTCTTCTCTTTAGCACTCATTAGGGCAATTTACAGAGACTGCTATGAATAATAATTATAAGCTGGTTTAAGACAATGAATAGATAAAAATGTTTATAGAAATACATATATATAAATTATCATTGTTATTATAGTTATTTGTAATATGCTACTGATTAATTATATAACAATGTATATTATTGAATTTCATCTGCAGTTCTGTCTTATGAGTTAATTATGGCTCTAATCTAATCACAGGCTGATACCAAATTTCCTTATCTCACTAATTCAATAGCATACCTTATCTTTTATAGTAAATCCTAAATATTATGTTATTAGCATACTTCCTAAGTGAAAATTGACTACATTTCCATTAAGATATATGTTAAGGTGATAGCCATAGGATCCATGGACTATTAGGTTTAAAGTAGTTATTGCTATTGTTATTATTGCTATTATTGTTATTGTTATTATTATTGTTATTGTTGTTATTATTGTTATTATTATTGTTATTGTTATAATAATTAGATTTATTATTATTATTACTGTTGCTGTTATTACTACGTTGTTTAGATTTGTACATCAGAATCTATTTAGTATAATTAATAAATGCATACCATGCACGTATTGGCAACCTGCCCCATTCTTACAAAAGTTGAGTTTGATGATATTTACAAGGTACTTTTTTATTTCTTATTCATACTTTTAAACAGAGGTGATTAATTTTTTTATTGTTGTTCAATTGTTGTTGATTAGGGTGCAGTAGTGATTGATGAAAGTGCTGAAGCAGGCAAGGGATCTTTAGATTATTTCAATATCTATTACCATTCATTTGCCTTTATTCTTCTATCCCATGAGCAAATTAGCATTTCGAACCAATGGCACATTATTTGGTTGCTATTTTTATAGATTGAGTGTTCATACCTTAATAGTGTCTACAGAGGATAGTTTTATACTTTGCATTTGGAACTGTTGTGCTCTATAATTGATTGATCCCAAATTAATATGACATTAATAATTAAAAAATTTATATGCTGAAAACCATGTCTTCAAAAGAATCTCGTAAAAGGTCGAACAGAAGATCCCATAAAAAACCCAAATGGTATTCCTGATAATTCAACCATAGTTCTACAAGTACATCAAGTATCACGGATGAAGGATCAAATGGAAGTTCTTCAACTGATGATTATAAGCATTACAGATTTCGAAAGGGCGAATACATTAAAGATTATAAAGTAAGAAGACATATTTCTGATGGAACTTTTGGAAGAGTCTTGAAAGTGAGAAGAAAAAGTTCAAAATCCTATGCAATGAAAATAGTGAGAAGTAATCATGCAGAAAGTGCTTAGTAAGAGGCAGACATACTATTTTATTTGAAAAAAAAAGATTTAAATAGATACTTTGTTGAAATAATTGATAGTTTTTATCATAGAGGATATTATTGTATGGTCTTTGAAAGAGTATTGTTTGATAAATATTGATTTTTTAGCTTGGACCAAGTTTATATGATATGCTAAGAATGAATTAAGATCGTGGAATCCCAATGAATTTGGTTAGATGCATAAGCAGATAATTATTAAAATGCATAGGGTATTTGCATGATATAAGATTGACTCACACAGACTTAAAACCAGAGAATATTCTTTTTAGTAGGATACGTGAATTAAAAAAAGGGCAAAATGATTTGTAAGAACTACATTTAAATTTTACTAGGTATTTACCAGCAGATCACAAGATCAAGATTATTGACCTCGGTGGAGCGGAGTTCGATGATGAAGACCATAATTGTATAATTAATACACGTCAATATAGAGCTCCTGAGGTTCAGTTGTAGTGTTGTAAATGGGATTACAAAAGTGATGTTTGGGGAATAGCTTGCATTATCTTTGAACTATACACAGGTAGGAATGAGATTTAAAATATTAGGTCATTTACTATTTTAAACGAGAAAAAATGAATACGAACATATGGCTTTGGTGGAGAAGATAACAGAATAGAACTTTCCTTATTGGATGGCAAGTAATGTGAAAGGTAGTCTAAAGTATTGTTTCAACACAAAGAATGTCACCAATGGAAAGTACTATTAATGGCCGTAAGGAACGACTACAAAGGATAGCATACTCAAGGTCCAGAATCAAAAAACTCTAAGAGAAATGATTCTTGATCCATTACTAAGAGATTTGTTATAAAAGATGCTAGAAATAGATCCTAATAAAAGAATTAGTTGCTTCCAAGCATTAGATCACAAATTCTTTTGTAATTGATTTGGACAATTATTTTGTTATAATAAATTTAAATAATATTTTAAGAAATTTTGAAAAAATAATAAAGCAATTTCGATTCATATCAAGGAATTTAGAATGATACTAATCAAAATAAATAAGAAGAATGGAAATATAAATACATTTGCATATGAAGACTTATTCTGACAATAAATTATGTTTCATTAAAAGAACGAAATACTTCTTGACAAAAGTAGTGAATCATAGGTAAGAATGCAAGAAAAGAGGAACAAAACAGCAATATAAAGTTTTAGGTGTGAATGAACTTAATTCCTACACAACTTCCTGAAAATTGACATGATTAAAGAGAAGGAAAGGTATAAATAAATGTAAAATTTTCATTTGATATGATTAAATTGAATATTATCTATTAGGAAGAGTTAGTATTAAACTAGCACTTCAATTGTATAAATATCTATAACAACAATCATGAAACTCAATCTGACTTGAAGACAAAAGTCGAAAAAATATGAAAACATTGAGTTTTAGACAAATTACAAAGGAATTCTTATTATAATATATTCTATTTTTCTTTGGAGAGCAAATCAGGATATCAAGCATGACGTCTATTGGACAACTATGTATAATAATCCAGATCTAGTATCTAGAGTCAGAATTTCTTTCTAACTCAATAGTCATTTTGACTTATTTTTGAGTGATGAGAAGGGATAATCTGATTTCCCAAGAAAAGTAGCAATTAGAGGATTGTGATTAAAATATCATTAATATCAAAAATTATAAATATTTCAATGTTTTACATTTCATCAGTCTTTTCATTTTCTTTAAAATTATGATTGATTCCTGTCCACCAACTTCATTATAAATATCGTTTAAAATTTAAATTAATCCAAATCATTTTCCCTTATTTAATCATAGTAATCATCATATTCATCTTCCTTTTTTTAAATCACTGCTTTTTCAGAAACTACCTCTTTTGAACATATTTCTTTAAGAAAATCTTCGGTGTGCTTTTGTTTCCAATATCCTTTACATGAATCTTCATTTTATTTATACTATACGAAAAAGCTATCTAAATAATTATATAAAACTGTGGGGCATTAGAGTCTTGCAAGTTCCTTTCAGTTGAGATGTCCTAAACTGATTCGTTGTCGTGCTTCGGTCTTATCTTCTGTATTCCTTCATCTAATTTAAAATTCAGTCCTAATTTTTTTGTAAACACTGGAATTTTCACTGCCCGAGTTTTATGTGATTATTCTTCATTTTATATTTCTGCTTTTTCTTCGTTTGAGATTTCTTATTTAACTGCACAGGTATTGCCCATGATATTATTTTTATATTAAAATTATTCGAATTAATTTTTAAAGAGCAGTGTTGATCTTGATTTTAGATTTAAATTTTGTAAGAATGCAATTAATATCCTATTTAAGTTTTACAGATTTAAAAGTCTTTGTTGAAAAATAAATTAACATATTCCACAATAACATTATATAAAATAAAAATTTAATAAATATATATACGATTAATTTGAAGAATCAATTAAATGTATTTTTGGATATTTGAGTATTAGAATAAATTTGAATGTCCCCCCAAATAATTATAAATTTCTGATTGGAAATAGATGTTCTTCTAATTATAAATTTGCTGATTTAAATAGATAGAAAAATATTTGAATTTTGTACGTAAATTGATGAAATAAATAATTTTTATTTATAAAACATTTATATTATCAGTTATTAATTTAAATAATGAATAATTAGTCTTCAAAATCTGTACGATTCAATGAAGGTCATAAAGTATTACAACCTGTCAATACTAATACCACAAGTTCAGGATCAAGCAAATCGTCTAAAGTGACTTCAGCCATTCAAGAGTTGAGAACATCTTTTAATAATTAAGCACAAAAGCTTACATCTTCAAGAGTGTCAGATCAATTAAATGAATCAGTGGCTACAGTAACAAGAAGTCCTGGCCACTCATGTGCTCCAAGCATATGTTAACCATGCTAACCAATGTGCCAACCAATGTACTCATCTGTCTGTTAACCATAATTTATTTGTTAACAGCAACCTGTTTGTCCCCCATAAGCATATGTAGTTTAGGGAGGGAATGACTAAAGACATTTAGAGAAAGAGATCAAGAAATTGAAAAAATAGAATAAGAAGTTGAAACAAAGCAAGGAAGAAATAATAGTGTCTACCATAGCTGAGACTCCAAAAAAACATAGACCATAATAACATGTGTAAGATCCTGAAATAGATACAATCAAAAGAGAAATTCAAGAGATGGAGAGAATAATAAGATAGATGGAGTAATAGCCAAAACAATAGAGCAATTCAGAGATAGAGTTGTATATAGAGGACAATAAGAAATGTCTGAAAAAGATGTGCAAAAAGATTAAATCACTCGAAAAGGAACTTTACGAAGTAGGTCGATAAAGGGATGAAGCCTTAATAATAAAGCAATAGTTGGAGAGAGAAAACCAAGAAATGTTTGATAGGATAGGGGAATTAGAATCATTACTCAAGGTGGCTGATAAAAAGTAATTTTTATTATTAATTTAAGAGTCTTTGACTTAACAGTATAATTAGAAAGATAAAATGGTTACGTTAAGTAATTAGAGGATGAAGTAGAGAGGTTGAGAAAGAAAAAGAAAAAGAAGCAAATTGAGATTCAAGAAAGAGTTGTTGAAAAGATAGTGGAGAAACCAGTTGAGGTAATTAAAACAGTGCATGTTAATCAACCTCAACAAGTACATGATGTTAAACCAGTTGAGATCATCAAGGAAGTCATTAAAGAAGTTCCTTCTGAACCTAAAATTGTGGAAAGGATAGTTGAAATACCAAAAATTGAATATGTGTATCAACAAGTTCCTTAGTACATTGAAGTTCCAAAAGTGCAAACTGTTGAAGTTCCTGTAGTTTAAAGAATCGAAGTTCCTTATGAGGTCCCTTATTATAGAGATGTTCCATATGAAGTGATCAAGGAAGTTCCATATGAAGTTATTAAAGAAGTGATCAAAGAAGTGCCATATGAAGTGATTAAACAAGTCATCAAGGAAGTGCCCTATGAGGTGATTAAGGAAGTTCCTGTTTATATCGAAGTGCCAGTGGATAGAATAGTGGAAAAGAGAGTTGAGGTGCCTGTCGAAAGAATAGTTGAAGTTCCTGTTGATAGAGTTGTAGAGGTACCTGTGCCATATGAAATTCCATATCCTTATGAGAGAGTTGTTGAAGTCCCATATGAGCGAATAGTGGAAGTTCCATATGAAAAAATAGTGGAAGTTCCCAGAGATAGATATGTTGATAGATATGTCGATAGATATATGGACAGATACATTGACAGACCTGTAGATAGATATGTGGAAGTACCAGTTGAAAAGAGAGTGGAAGTTCCATATGAGAAGATTGTTGAAGTGCCAGTTGAAAAGATTGTTCACGTGCCTGTAGAGAAGATTGTTGAAGTGCCTGTTGAAAAAATCGTGGAAGTTCCTGTTGACAGATATGTAGATAGATATGTGAGGGATGAATCAGAATTAGAAATGTTGAATATCGAAAATAGGGAATTACAAAGAATCATTGGTATTTGGGAAGATAGAGCCAACAAATTAGAAAATGAAGTTATCAAAGAAAGGAGAATATCTGACAAATTAAGATTTGATATCGAAGAACTAGAATATATGGTAGAGGATGGCAGAGCATTCAACAATTAATAATAAGAACAATTTAGACATTATTTGAAGGAATTAAAATCAAAATATGAAAGCAAAATCATTGAGGCTAGAAAAGGAGTCGTCATTAAACACCATGTTATTCCTTCAGAAGTGCAATAGACAGTTCCAACTTTTATTTAATAACCTATATCAACAGGCATTTCTTAAAACTTGCCTCAATTTGGTGGATAAAAGATTAACTAATGATTTATTAAACATATATAAATTATAATACTTTAATCTTAATAATTTTATTACAAAATTAATAATTATCCTAAATTTCTAATAGGTTTTTCGATTAATTATAAATTTGTATAAAAATATTTAAAGATAGTTGTTATTTTCATTATTGCTACCAATTTTCTGGAATTATTTGAAAATTATCATCTTCAGTATAATTTATCAATTTTCCATATTACCAAATTCCGACTTTTTTTTTTCCATCTGGGTATATCATTATTCCTTTCCCATGTTGTTTTCCATCTTACCATGGGCCTTAATATTGTTTATAATCTGGCCAATAGAATATTCCGAAACCTTATTTTTTATCATTCTAATATTCACCGTCATAGCATTTACCGTCCTTCCAAATGTACTTTCCCCTCCCATGCATTTGATTATAGGCCCAACTACCGGAGTAAGACTGGAATTATTATCTATCAACATACCCTTCCATCAGGCCAATCATATCTGCCAATTCCATGAATTTTGTTATTCTTCCATTCTCCAGCATAAACACAACCTTAATACCACTTGTAACATCCTTTTCCACATTTTTTACCTTCTTTAAAATTTCCTTCATATACAGAACCATCTGGCCAAGATTCAACACCGAATCCATCAGGTTTGTTATATAAAAATTAACCTTCAAAAATAGGCCCATTTTAATAGTTATAAATTCCTTTGCCATGCATTAGATTATCTTAGAAATCACCTTCATAATAGTCTCCATTTCTTAACCATAATTTTCCATTTCCATTAGCTTAACCATCTTTAGTTTAGCCAAAAAACTTGGAATCATCATCCATTTATAATTCTTCTAGTTTTTGGTAGTCAGATGGTATTGTATGTTAACTTTCTTTTTGCATCTTTGAAAATTGAATACTTTTTTCTTCCATAGTCTTACTTATTGCTGTCGAAGGTGGATAATCTATAAATAATTTTATAGTGATTCTATTATACTTGGATCACTTTCAAAACTATCTTCTAGATTTTCCAATTACATGTTGTGTTTGTGTTCTGGAACTATATTAGCTAGAATAAATTCTTTTTCATCATTGATTTGGCATTTAGAACACTGGAGACCCATAAAAATTATTTTAATTTACTAAAAAAATATATCACTGGTTGAAGGATTCAACAATCAAAAAATAATTAAATGAATCAATATCATAAAATAATTCATAAATATGGAAGTTAGAATTCTGATTGCTTAAAATGAGGCTAATTAAATAATAAATGAGATTTACAGTTTAATATTTGATATCTTGTTATGAATATGTTCTCCTTTTAGGTTGCGTAGGCATATCATTAGAGTTTAGAGAATCTGTATTAGTATGAGTTTGGTGGATCATTCTTTGATAATAGATTGGGGTCAACTTCCCAGATTATTTGGATTATTGACTGGAAAGTATTGACTTGTCCAACAAAATTTGAGTAGAGTCTCTGGTAACATTTTTATATTGCTGAAGTTTTCTTAAGATAGATTTTGGCAAATGATCTCCTGAGTAATCTAATATTTCATCCCTGTCATTCTTATCATTTTTTATTGTTGATATATTAGTGAAGTTGCACAAACTACCTTATTATTGTTATTATTAGAATAAACTTAATATTCCTTCTTCAAAACTTCTGCCACCTGTATAATCTATCGATTATTGATTCTCATCAATAAAATCAAATTGAATATCAAATTATTTTTTTGCTTTTTTTATGTATTTCGATTATTGATTTTTCAAATATACTAAATCTTTTTACTTTTTCGTTCTTGGGGAAATTAATTAATTTATTTAATTACTCTTAGTTTATATTTCACTAAATATTTTTTATCTGACTTAATTGTCGATCAAACTCAAGTTCTTGTGCCATTTCATATGATTTTGCTCTATCTTAGGTAAACTCATAATCGAACTATAATGAGGTAAAGATTTCCTTTTGACTCTCTTTTTCAACAACAGAGAATCCTCATCCCCTTTGTTCTTTGTATCTTCTAATTTCTAATTCATTTAAGTAATAAACTCCTATGTTTCTGGGTCCATCTTTTAAACTCCTTCATAATCCTACTTTAATTCACTCAACTTTCTCCTTGCTTGTTAAACTTATAAGTTATTGTCCTATTACTCTATGTCATCATAGGGTAATTTCATTATTTCTTTTATTTTATCAAACCTTTCTATCTTACTTTTGCTTTAATCATTAATTTATTAAATGAGCTCTTCTCGATTTGAAACAAAGCTTAAATGCGATATTAAACTCTTATAATATATTGGTAGATATCCTTCTTCTAAGTTCTTCCTCACTTTCATTGCAACTTAGGTAAATTCTAAAATTCAATACAGATTTACATTCTCCTACTTCCTAATCAAGAACCGATTTTTAAAACTCTTCCAAATCAATCCATTCTATTTAAATAATACATTTATACTGCTCTTATCTTCATCAATCTTTTCAAACAGCATTCTTACTTAGTTTCGATTTATGCTCATTCCACTCTTCACACAAATATCATATAATTTATCAATTGCTAATTTATCTATTAATATTTCTAATTTGTATTACTTTCTTTCTTCTTATCCAAATTCTCAAATATAACTTATGCTCTCTCTTACTGTTTGATTTCCTCTGGTAAATACAAATAATTTCGTTTTACTTTTTGAGGAAATCTATATTAGAGATTAAAATTTACCTCTTTTTATACCAATCTAAGATGTCTGATGTTTATAATTTAGATCTTTTCATTATATTTTTTTATTATTTTTTATTAATTATATATTAATATCAATATTTAAGTATATTTTTCATATTGCAAATATTCCTGCTTTATTCTAATAATCTGTCTCAAATGACTATATTCTGACCTTAAAATTTAACTAAGTACTTCTCTCTTTATTGTTTCATCTATTGTCTTGAGACCTATCGTACTCATGTAATTTTGTTAATAATAAATAAGATTCTATTTATGAAGGCTTTTAAATTTGAATCAATTTAAAAAAATATACTTATTGCATAAAATAATTATGAATAAATTTGAAGACGATTTGAAATATGCTCAAAAAGCCAATGGAAATGAGTTTTTAAACTGGCTTTAAAATCTCAGCTTTGAACTCGTAACATAAAAAGAATATTCCTATGGTCAAGAGTTCTTGAAATTTTAGCATCAAGTTTATGAACTAATATTCAAATAAGATGGGATATTAAATAGTAGTTTTCGAACAACTCAAATGCGATTTGGATCTATAGAGGATACTCTGTTTTTTATCAAAATTCTTAATGTCCTCTCACCAAATGAATAATCATTTTATCAATCATTGCCTTCTGAATATCCTTTAAACCCAGTTCAAAGTGATATATTGCCTGCTCATTTGTAGTTGTTTTTGAAGGATCCATCCATCGTTAACATGAATTCATCATTTTAAACATTTTAAGAAATTTTCCAAGAAAATATTTTGGTTGAAAAAACACAACTAAAATTTTGTGTTAGCGCTAAAATGATGTTTTGGATTTATTTACTAAATGGTGCTGTAAATTTTAAAGAAAGTGCCTTACATGCCACTGAAAATAGTTAAAAAATACTTGATTGTGCATTTAGCAAATGCAAAAAGAAATTTAACACCAAAGACTTTTTATTAAAATAGCTTACTTTCAATCCATATTTAATTTTGATAAGAAGAATAATTGAATATATGGTTTTGTAGATCAAGCCTGGCAATCCAATTTAACATAATTAAAATAAGCAAGTTACTATTTTCACATTTCAATAGATGATAATACTATTATAAGAATATTCTATGTATGAACATTTATATGTATCAAAATTGCTTGATTTAAATTTAACAAATGAATAATAAAAGTTATTCTATAAAATCAAACCCAGCAGTGTCATATTAGATACTCAAATGATGTTAATATTTTTAACTATCTTCTTTAATAATAGGTATGGATAAGACTTAGAAGCTACATACTCATAATTTAAACATTTTATTAAGAGTACAGATATCCTCAGCAAACAAAGTCAAATCTATTATTAAAACAGAGGGTTCTTTTTTGAATGTGGAAGACAAAAATAGCAAGTTACTTACTAATAAGGATTATATAAATTTTTATAGAACTCATTTGAATCCTATCACAACGAAAGATAATGCAATTAAATTTCATTGCTTTCCCATCTATCAACTTATGTCTTATTTTTGAGATAGTAATTTGCTGTCTATGAGATTTCTATATATAATTAAGTGTTGATATTTGATTAAGCACTATTGTCTTGTTTAATATCACAAAATACAATATTAAATTAGCTTTCCAAACAATAAAATTTCTAATACAAAAGTAACAATCCAATTGCTCGATTTATCTTAAGTGAGTTGTAACCTATTTATTAATTATGCAAAAATAAATTCGGATATTGCCCTCAAGCAATATTGTTTAAGGAATTTAGACCTTCAAATTTATTATAATGTATAGAGTCTAAATTTAATTCACACGAATATGAAGTTAATTTCCATTATAGAGAATTGGATTAATATCGAAATCAAATGAAAAATCTATTAAGAGTTCATTATCCATTTTACACTAAATTATTAATTACAATCTTTAAGTGCATTAATAATCTAAGCTATTTAAGCGATACAGAATATTAAGGAATAATGCATTTACTTACATTTTTATATTCTTAGGATCAAAATGCATTGTTTTGTGATCTATTGAAGTGTTAATAAAACTAACCATACTAAAATCCTGCATATTTTGAAGTAAAAAATTTCTGTGACATCTATATCAAAGACAGCAAAGAGGAAGACTTTTTGATAAAATAAAATGAAAACATTTAAAAATGGATATAACAAATAATTATCTGGCTTATGCAATACCAATAGCAGAAGAATATAAAAAATGATAAAATTGTAAAATATTTAGGAGAATAATTTAACATTCAAATGTCGACTATAAAAGTAGTGCCCATGAGGAATTTAAGTCCTTCCAAAAGTACTGGAAGGTTGTCAAGAGCTAAAATGTAAATTTATTAATTAGATATAGTTAAATTAATTAATGGAAAGCACCTTTGAGGGATTATGAGTTTTATTTCCTCTTTGTCTTGATGTGGTATTTGAGCTACTGTTTAGACAAGCTTCGAGTTAGCAGATAGATGAATTTCCTTAAATTCAGTGGCCAAGAAAATTTGCTTCGCCTGTGAATCTTTTAATCGTGTCAATTCTTACATACATCGTGATAACTTTAGTCTTTATGCTCTTTTGACATATATTTGTTTATCATTTATAATTTTAAATTCATTCTCATTTTAATTTCATGAGCGAATAAACTGTCAGTTCAACAGCAAAAAATATATAAAAAAATATTGAAACAAAATAATCCACTTATGTCACTTAAGATTTAAACTACTTTGTTTCTGTAACTACAGCTTAAATGTATTTACAATTTTCGACATGTTGTCAATCATACTCATAATTTAATGGCACTAGTCCAGTTTTTTCATTATTTCTATAAATTCTTTCTCCGAAAGGGGTCCCTCTCGGTTTTTGCTCTTTTTCCTTAACTTTCTGGCCTTTTGATTCTTCTTAGAACATTAGATTTCTTCCTCATCATCAGAAGTAAGATTTCTTTGGTGATTGAGATGGTTGAAATCAGCAAAATCGACATCATAAGATTTTTCATTTTCATTCTCGAAGCAATCATCCTGAATAGAAGGTTCAGGACTCTGCATTCTAAATAAAGTCTTATTGAAATTCAATTTAGAAAGGTATTGATGGCATTCTTCTTGTATCAAATAATTGTTCTCTTAAGGTTAAGGTAAGTTGTCATATAAGAATGGGCTGATATCCATTGAGAGATTTTATAAAATATCTAAATTATTAATTGAAAGATATTCAAAATCGCCTTTATGATGACTTGAGTTGATTAATTATTAAATCTTGATTTTGAACTATTTTAATATAATTGATGCGTATTAATTCAAACAGCATAATTAATATACAGAAAATCCTGTATATATAACTCTATGCATTGCTAATTAGACTTACTCTACCATTTTGAATCAATCAACATCAATTCTACCACGAGTTCTAGAGATATAAACTTTTAATTTCAATATTTATTTTTTATATGTCGTAATAATTTAAAATAAGATATTATTTTTTTTACCATATATAAAATCAATTATTTACAAAATAGTTTTCTTTTTATATGGATGATGGATTAAAGTTTTACTTAAAGAATTATTTTTGAAAAAAAATTTTCATTCTAATTAGAGTGCGGTTTTTCCTAAAAACTGCATTCTCAATAAAATCATAAAGTTTTATTATATTCATTTCCCTTTATTCAAAATTTCTTTTTTATTGAGAACAATTTGGATTCTTATCAATTTCCAATAATTATTAATTTATTTATTTTTACTTTTTCATTAAAATAAATAAAAAATAGTAAAGTAAATTTTTTAAAGATTTTGTTCAAAGAGTATGCTATTAGTATTTGATTTTTGTTTTAAATAATGTTGATTTTTAAATCTTCTTATAACTCAAGTGTTATTGTATTTTCATTACTGTACTAAATCTCTGAGGAGTATAATTAGTACAGCAGATTATAGGAAGTATTTAGAAATGCTGAATAATCGGAGCTGACATCATCCACTAATTAGGCCTGCTTCATTATATCCACATCACAATTTAATTGTTCCCCATTTAATAATGGGAATTGCTGTCTTGTATATAAAATCAACTATTTGAACTTTCTCTATCAACATTATTCAATACCTTAACAACTTATGTCATGTTTCCCTTTGAATTTCATTAACTATTCTAACCTTGAACTACTTATAACTAGCTTCATATAATTTCCTATCATTTAAAATAAAAATAGCACCTAAAATATATTTTATAAACATACTTAAATACTTCGTTTTCTTAGATATATTTAATATAATTAAACCCATAACTTTTAGTGATTCTAATGGATTTTAACTTTTAA